AATTGATTGATTCTCCAAACCTGAAAGAATACCAGAGTCCCAATACTAGTACACATGCACAAGTGTGCCAAGATATTAAATAAAATAATAAGAGTCATTGTGCAATGCAGATATCTTTTGGTGTGAAGTGAAAAAAGAAAAACATTAATAATTTGTTTGTTGGAATTTGAAACATCAGTTTAGAACAAGGAAACATAAAAAGCAAGGCCTAATGAAGTTAAGAATCAGCTTTATCTGTGTCACAATCATATGATTATTGTCAATGCAAACTGAATGTAGACACTGCATTGTTAATACACAAACAACATTATAGAGATTGGCAATTAGTATGAATATATTGTTTTATTTTATAAAAAATTGTAGTTGGTACAAATACTCTTGAATATGTATTTTAACTAATTTATAGGGTCCCCTGTGTCTGAATTGGGTTTTTTCTGCTTTGTAAAATTAAAAAAAGGCCAAAATAATATATATCTTTCATTGATCATATTAAAATATAATCATGGTAGTATTTGGCAACAAACAGCTACCATTCATATACATAAAATCCTTGTATACAACATGCACCATTTAACCCTTAAATATCAAAACAGATTTCAGTGATTTCCATTTCTTTTATTTTGAAGATTGTATCATGATATCTAGTTGATGACGTAATTTTACAGTGCCCGTTACTCTTACAATTTCTTGAGAACATTTCTCATTGCTCTCAGTTATGTATCTGACAAATACTTACATGTGTTGCTGTCAATATTCACAACATTGAGCCTACGGGCAACGTTGCATGAGACCTTCACATTTCGCGTAACGTATCGCCTCACAGTTTAACATAATGAAATGCATGCATATGATGTGGCCTGCTCGGCGATGCTACAACATAGATATAGGAACGTATACAAAATCTACTTAATTTTCATAATCATACATCAAGGGCAACACTTTCAGTACCGATTGCAAAACGTCAACAAAGCGACCTGGGAGGAACGATCAGCTGATTTCACCGCATCGCTTCGAACGCCTATCTAGTGGTTAACTATACAATATAATCAGTCGTGGTCATCCCTGATGTATAATTATATCAAGGAACATATATTTCCGGACATGGCAATAAATAAATAATTGTTTAGGCGAAAAGATATACTGTCCGCACACAAGTGTGACCGTTGCCGACAGAGGTGAAGGTTGTACTAGTTAACTGTCTATAGACGTCATAGTAACATGTAGTGCTCGTATCGCGCATACCACATGCGCCGTCAGTTTAAGGTTGGACCGTCCGGGTCAGCGCACCTAGCGGGTTAGTGAAGGGAAGATAAATTGAAAAAGATCGCCCATTCAGTGCAGTTATATGGAGTATTCACTATATCAACCTTAATTTCCGTATATATACGGGTAAATTTATAAAGTAATTATTTCGTTTTGAATGAAAATCGTCTGGGAACCGAGGTTTCCGTATATCTGAAGTCCGTATAAGCGGGGCATGACTGTACTAGACATAGAGCCACAAAACTATGTAGCTCACCTCAATTATTATTTTTTTTTTAAACAATTTGATGCCTCAGTCTTATTAAGGTGACTAACATCTACAGTGAGTTTCAGAAAAACTTGTGCAAACAATTCTAGGAAAAGAAAAACAACATAATCCAAAATGGTTGAGTGCAAATCATGGTGTCATGAAAAACTTGAATATTCTAATTGTCAATACTATTAGGGAGGGTGAGCTAAAGATATCTCCCATCAACATTCACACATGTAGCCAAGGATAACATGATGTAGGTAAGACTAACATGCATGAGATGCAAACACGTTTTAGCTTCATATCCATGTCTTTTGAATGTTCATGATCAAATACCAAACCTTTTGTACACTCATAATACCACATGTAAATGACTGAACTCTGATATTGTTTTTATGAAATTGAAACTAATAACATAACTAGTATGAGAATAAGCATGCAGAGGATATTCTAATACCAACCATGATCAGGTTGGCAAAGGAAGATACACAGTGGGTGGAATCATATCATTCTTGGTTCTGTTCCGTATACAAACAATATTAGCACTTATGTGCTAGGGGCTATATCGAGATTTATTGTATGTGTGGAGCACTGATTTCACACACAAGGGACATACATGAGTCTTAAATTAAGTGTGATACGTAAATTGAATGTAATAATTGCTTTATTATCCACATCTAATATATTCATTATATTTTGTCGAGTCGCACTTCACTCTGTAATGATGACCTGTGAAGAGCCAGGTTAGAATAGGTCTTCAGCAACACATGCTTGTAGTAAGAGGCAACTAACGGAATTGGGTGGTCAGGCTCGATGAATTGGTTGATGAATGTCACTGTATCCCAACTGGGGTTTTCAGGCTCGATGACTTGGTTGGTGCATGTCATCGTATCTCAACAGGGCACATCGATGCTCATAATGTCTGGATTGTCTGGTCCAGACTCAACAAGTATTTGTCACAGAGTGACGAAATATCCCCCGCCATATACACCATAGTACCAAATATGAAGACAATCCAGCGATTAGTTCTTGAGATGTTGTGGCAACACCGTTTTCCAACTCAAAAAAACAGATTTGCCTGCTGTGACCTTGAAAATGGGGTCAAGGTCACCAAATCTGACAGGTGTATGCGGTGTCTGTATATACACTATAGTTCCAAATATGAAGACAAGCCAGCGATTAGTTCTTGAGATATCGCGGCAACACCGTTTTCTAACTCCAAAAGCAGATTTGCCTGCTGTGACCTTGAAAATGGGGTCAAGGTCACCAAAACCGACTGGTGTCTGCGGTGTCTGTATATACACCATAGTTCCAAATATGAAGACAATCCAGTGTTTAGTTCTTGAGATATCGCGGCAACACCGTTTTCTAACTCTAAAAGCAGATTTGTCTTCTGTGACCTTGAAAATGGGATCAAGGTCACCAAAACCGACTGGTGTCTGCGGAGTCTGTATATACACCATAGTTCCAAATATGAAGACAATCCAGTGTTTAGTTCTTGAGATATCGCGGCAACACCGTTTTCCAACTCTAAAAGCAGATTTGTCTGCTGTGACCTTGAAAATGGGATCAAGGTCACCAAAACCGACTGGTGTCTGCGGAGTCTGTATATACACCATAGTTCCAAATATGAAGACAACCCAGTGTTTAGTTCTTGAGATATCGCGGCAACAAACAGGTGGGACGTACGGACGGACGTACGGACGGTCGTGAATACTATATCCCCCGCTTCGCGCTTTCGCGCGGCGGGGGATAATTATTTACAGACCGCCGTAATATAGCTGGAATATTGCTAAGTGCTAGCTAAATATCAAACAAACAAATCACACTGTTGAGGGTGTTTTTACGCTGTTTTTAGTAATATTCCAGCAAGATCATGGTTGGTGGGAGGCACCAGAAATGGGCTTCCCACATGAGGAGGGATTCGAACCAGGCCTTCTGCGTGACCAGCTAATACTTTAGCCACTGCCCCCACGGCATTGAGAAGGTAACAGTGTCGAAATGACCCAACATTAGCCTCAGCCTTATGTTGACCCTGACATACTGAATACAATGTTTATCAGAAGAGCAGTCATTATATCCCATGTATTACTGACCAAGGACATGTAGTACTTTGTGCCAATCAATGTCAAGACATGAATTATCAATACTTTGTAACAATACCTAATAAAAACTACTTTACAAACAAACAACACATATTTGAATTTTAGTTCTAAATATTTCCTGGTCACAGCAACAATTGAATTCTGCTTGTAAAATTCACTTAATATGCTTATTGTATCACAAATAGCTCAATAAAGTAAATGAAACAGTTACCATGGTTACTGGTAACTACATGTATTATGATTTCTCTGCAACGATGGTTATCACTTCACAGCAGATTGATGGGTTGTTCGGACAGCAGTACACAGGTATGTCTGGGAGATACTATCTAATATATCATTGTGCATTGTCTGCCTATGACTAATAAGAAACTAGTGCTAGGTGTAAATTTATTATAATATACTAAACTATGTTTGCTAGGAGATACTATCTTATACATCACTGTACACTGTCTATGACTAATAGGAAACTAGTGCTAAGTGTAAAATTATTATAATATACTAAACAACGTTTGCTAGGAGATACTATCTAGTATACCACTGTACACTGTCTATGACTAATAGGGAACTAGTGCTAGGTGTAAAATTATTCTAATACACTAGTCAACTTTTGCTAAGGAGATACCATCCGTTAGACCAGAGTGCACTATCTGCCTATGACTACTAGAGACTTAGTTCAGGGTAGGAGGTCCTTCTGGGTAGGATACAGGGCTTCAACAGGTCCTAATTTTTCCACTCTAGTACCCGGGAGGCGCTTGAGTACCCGATACTAAGACCCTTCTGATAATGCAATTATATTTATGAATAAGAGTTGATCATGTATGCTTATGTAGCCTCCTTTCTCTAGCGAATAAAGGCACATAATATATAAATAAAGCCTAAATAAAGTGTGTTAGATTTTCATTATCGTAACTTTCTAGGACATGTTGACCCATGTACCTGGTACAAGGCAATGAGACCCGTGAAGATTCCGGTGTAGAATAGGTCTTCAGCAACTCATGCTTGCCATCAATCTCATTAAAATCAGATCTTAGTTCTCGCTATTGCTAAACAAAGATCTGAGGACATCCCTTTAGGATGCACGTCAGAACGACCTTTCATCCAACCAATCACAGTGTCGCTTACCAGATCATGAAAGTGACTGTCGGAATGCGTTTTCTAAACATGCAACCACGAAATATTTAACACGGGGTATTCCGAGCGAGAGTTACGGGTTCTATTATTATATCCATACAATCTAGGCCATCTATAAGCCATTCCAGAATGTTCTTCTTACAGTTTTAATTTTTTTTAATCGAGAATACGTCCATATATGTTTCGAAGCGTAGTCGCCAGTTTCAAACTAGTGTTGTAAAGCTCGAGAAAGCTGCCCTTTGATTGGCTAATGTCGATTTCTTGTCAGTCATTTCTGGTCGGTCAAAATTCATGAAAGGTCGTTCTGACATGACCTGTAATGGGATGTCCTCAGATCTTTGTTTAGGGGTAGCGAAAACTAAGATCTGATTTTACTGAGATTGCTGGTACAAGGCAATGACAATACTATCAGTAGTTATCTATATATATACCAGCTCTCACTTGTAGCATAGATTGCTTGACTTAATAAATAAGATATAATTCTTTCATCTTTATACATCATGTGAAATGAACAAATTACTTGAATTAGAGTTATCTCTCCTTAGCATGTACTCGAGTCGACTCAAATTTTTCTGAAACTGACCCGGCCCCGAGTACTCGAGTACTTGTTGAAGCCCTAGCCTGATATACTTCAGGGTGAGAAATACTTCAGGGTGAGACAAACTTCAGGGTGAGACATACTTCAAGGCAGGAAATACTTGGGAGTACTCATGTGGAACCCATGGCCACTGAAATAGCCGTGACCTACATGGTAGGAGCCAAACCTGGAACAGAAGATACCATAATTGTGAGTGAGTGAGTGAGTGAGTGAGTGAGTGAGTGAGAGAGAGTGAATTGGGTTTTAATCAACAATATTATAACTATAAGTGACTGCCTGTAGCAATCCAGTTTTATCCCATCACATTAGTGGTCGATAGTGTGAGGGTAAGGTCACAAAGGATTCACTAACATTTGTCCCCATGAAGATGCCGGTCTTCAGCAACCCATGCTTGTCGCAAAAGGCGACTATGCTTGTTGCAAGAGGTGACTAACGGGATCGGGTGGTCAGGCGTGCTGACTTGGTTGATGCATGTCATCAGATCACAATTGCCTAGATCAATGGTCATTGTGCCAATTACTGGATTGTCTGGTCCAGACTTGATTATTGACAGAATATCATCATATAGCAGGAATATTGCTGAGTGGCGTCTGACATCAATGTTACATCATCTTTATATCAATGATAGGATATTGAGGAAAGATTCTATCTTGCAATTCTTAATGAGGAATATTCCAATTGGAACAATGAAATGTCCTTCACATGGCATACCACAAATTATAGATTTATATAATCTTTCTGTGAAAGAGTCCTTACTTGGAATTAAACCGTATTCTCTCTTCCACCTTTTTACCATCGCTGGACGTCTTGGCGTGGTCGGAATATTTTTGCGGATCGTCTGGGATGCGGAACCTTGCTACCTGGACTTCTGTATCACTCAGACCGCCATGTGTGATCCGAGCATATCCCAGTCTACAATCGCAAAATTACAAGTGATAATTATGCATTTGTGTTAACTCTTCATGGTTATTAATGCAGGATATTTACCATCCCCAAACACACTCGCGTGATAACCTCTATATACCTGATGTATTCCCACTGCCAGTCTTCATCTGTCACCTTATTAACCCTTTATACCTGATGTATTCACGCCATCAGTCCTCATCAGTTATCTTATTAACCCTTTATACATGATGTATTCACACCATCGGTCCTCATCGGTCACCTTATTAACCCTTTATACATGATGTATTCACGCCATCAGTTACCTCATTAACCCTTAATACATGATGTATTCACACTGCCGATCCTCATCAATCACCTTTTTAACCCTTTAAACATGATGTATTCACACCATCGATCCTCATTAGTAACCTTATTAACCCTTTATACATGATGTTTTCACACTGCCGGTCCTCATCAGTCATCTTATTAACCCTTTATACATGATGTATTCACACAATCAGTCCTTATCAGTCACCTTATTAACCCTTTATACATAATGTATTCACACCATCGGTCCTCATTAGTAACCTTATTAACCCTTTAGACATGACGTTTTCACACTGCCGGTCCTCATCAGTCATCTTATTAACCCTTTATACATGACGTATTCACACAATCAGTCACCTTATTAACCCTTTATACATGATGTATTCACACCACCGGTCCTGATCCGTCTCATCGATGTCCTTGACCTTCCCATGGTTGATCAGCTGGTAGTAATCGCGGCTCCCAGGCTGGGATGTCACATACCCCAGGAACACGGCAGGATTCTCACTGGTAAATATAACAATAAATTTTCATGAAACTCTGAGAAGAGCAAAACAGAAAATAGTTGTCGCCACTGCTCAACATCCTCAGCAGTTTTGCAGACCCCCACCCCACAAAATATGCTTCCTATTTCATCCGACCATAAAACTGAGGTACATAGGTCAGGTTTTTTTTTCTATATTTTCAAAGCAGTATTTGCGCAACAAATGTACATTAATGGCATAACCACTGACAAAACTAGGATGGTGATATAATATACGATGGAACTTAAGGAAATCAAGAAAAATGGTTTAGGGTCCAGTGCTCCAGACTAGAGTTGGTTGGGAAACCAGAAACACACATATTCTCCTCACACCCACCCAAAACTTTATCAACCAGTTTCACTTGACCATGATCAGATGTGAATGCTTCAGCAGCCATACTGAAGAAAAAATCTCAATACACCATTGAATTTATTGTGAGTGAGAGAATGAAGTTTAATGCCGCTCTTACCACTTTTCCACAAGGGATATGAAGAGCTTTAGAAGCCATTCTAAAGAACAAATCTCAATACGACACTGAGTTTATTGTGAGTGAGGGAATGACGTTTAATGCCGCTCTTAGCAATTTTCCGCAGGGATATGAAGAGTGGGCCTCACACACTTTGCTGATGTTGGGAATTGAACCAGGGTTGAGCCAACACTACATCTACTCAACTACCCAACCACACTTAGCCTCTGGGCCACATTGCCCCACCACAGAGACAGAAGGATCTATTCAATTTACATCCACTTTTTGAAATTAAGCGAACCAGAGTATTACAAAATTGTCCAAATCAGTATTACATATTTGACTGTGTATTTTGGATTTCATTTAGAACGCAAAATATTTTTGGAAACATTTTCTAAATTTTGTTGGATGAAATGAACAAATGAATACATACGCATTACGTAGTTCAGTTGATAGGAATCTAGCCTGAAGCTCTCTGTCCAGCACATCGCGGTCATTGCCCATGTGCGTCACGACGAAGTCTACAAGTTTACCGGTGTAGTTGACTGTGGCGGTGATGGCTGGTGCAAGCTCACCTAGAGAAAGAACAATCCCCCCAAAATATTATTGCAAAATTATTATTATATTCACTGGAATAGTACGGATGGACCGAATTTAGGGTCGGGGGTGAGTGACTATGCCACAGTGTGAAATATTACAGCTACACTACAGCAGTTGTCAATAAATGGGCCAGACAAACCAGTGAATGACAGTAGGAGTAGTGATCCAACACTCATCATCAGACACACAGAGACTCACAGACTGCCACCCTGATCCCAAGTAGAATCATCTCTTATGACAAGCCATGAGAAGATCCGGGCTACAATTCAGCAAGCCATGCTTGTTGCAAGTGGCAACTAACGGATTCAGGCAGTCAGCCTCGCTGACTTGGTTGATACATGTCATTGCATCCCAATTACGTAGATCAATGCTCATGATGTCAATCAGTGGACTGTCTGGTCCAGATTAGTTTATTTACAAATGTAGTTGGAATATTGTTTAGTACGGCACTAAACAACAATCAATCAATTAGTCCTATGACACGAATGAGGCACTGGGGATTTATTCTGATCCAGAATCTCCACAAGGGAGAGAATAACAGATCCCCAATAAAGGGAAGCATGTTATTGACATGTACCTCGAAGATAATGAAGGATTATCCGGAAATACAATACAATAAGATCATCAGACACTATCATTTCATTCAGTTAACTAACTGGTTCATATGACATATTTTATTTGAATGCTGCAGTAACTGTTAATCTGCGATATGGACATAGGCAGATCCAGAGGGGGTAGGGGGTCTGGCCCCCACCCCGCCCACCTTGAAAACCAAATGTAGTAGTATGGTTTAGGCAGTAGAATTGACCGAGAAAGGATTTTGATATTTTAGACCCCTCCCTTTCAAAAAAGCTGGATTCGCCCTTGATTCCTATGTTCCTTTATTTTTGTTCATCAGGATATGGAGTAGTGGTGTTCGCTTGTCACGTCAAGCCCTGGGTTCGGTTCCTCACATGGGTAAATCGTGTGAAGCCCATTTCTCGTGACCTTGCTGCAGTATTGTTGGAATATCGCTAATAGCTGGGAACTGACACCATCTGTATTCGTAGGAGATCACATGATACCACAAGACAAATAATGCAAACATCTAACCAATAGAACCCTTCTGTACTAGATATGAAAACTTGTTACCACTGGTTACCGGTACTCAACAGCTACATTTATTCTTTGAAAATTGGTTGTCAATTCCTAAAGCGTACCAAAATTGCTGCCAATTCTTTACTTATTGTATGAGAAGATCCGGGTTCGAATAGGTCTTCAGCAACCAAAGCTTGCCGTAAAAAGCGACTATGCCTGTCGTGATCATGCTCACCGTCTTGGCTGATGCATATCATCGTATCCTAATTGTGTTGATCGATGCTCATGATGTCAATCACAGGATTGTCTGGTCCAGACTCGATTATATACAGACTGCCACCATATGGCAGGAATGTTGCTGAGTGCGGCATTAAACAACAAACAAACAAACTTTTCGTATGAATATACAATAACTAGTGTCGACACTTACCGTGGGGGGATGGAAGCAGATGATGTGTCGACTTCACGATAGGATACTTCGACAGAATCAAATTCCTACAGACAAGAAAAAAAACCTTTTGATATACAAGATCAACTCAGACATGCACACTTTCAATCAATGAAATTAGAAATCTGTGGGGTCAATAAATTCATAATATCAATGACTGGTTATCTATTATATTATTTTCAGTCTGTGACAGTCAGTTTTTGGTTTAACACCATTTGAACAGTATTTCAGTTATATCACGGCGTGACGGCTTGATGTGGAAGGTAAGCCAACAAGAAATGAAGGTCCTAAATGATAACAACTTGGTGAAACCCAAGAACATTGGCATGGTGCAGACAAACCAAGAAGCTATCCTCAGATCTGGGATTTGAACCAAAGATCATAGGTTTCTGGCACCTTAAGGGAAGGTGCGTGCGTGCATGCGTGTACTATTCCGGAATAGTGTTTTTTGTCTGAGAATACACTGAACTGAAACTATACTGGCCTGGTCTAATGCTGGGTTTTATAGTGCTAGCCTACTAAGATACCAAGTCGCAGTTCAATGTTAATACACCACTCAGACACAGTATATGTCGCGTTATTGCACTTATATTGTGATGTGTATGCAAGTGCGTGCGTGCATATTTGTACTAGTCCGAGTTTATGTCGGTTTTATAGTGCTAGACCATTGACATACTATTCTGCATTCTGCCATTCAGACTCCGAGCCGACCAGTACATGATCTAGACCCTTAATGCAGGGTAACAAAAAATACTATCTTTAAATGTCTTTTGGTATGATGTGGCCGGTGATCGAACCCATGACCTTCCGTTCTCCGGGCCAATGCTCTACCAAGCAGGTGGGCAAATATTACAGGGTGTCATTCAAAGCTGTAAACTTTTGAACCAATGACATGGCTGCACATGAGGCAACATCCTCACCCCCACGTGTGGTCTTTAGTGGACACTCCGAAGTCAACATACATCCCCAGCCGCTCCCCTAGCCACATCCCCAGGTCATTGTTGCCTAGGAATGGCTTGGAGGCGTCACTTTCCAGCAGCGTGATGAAGTCAGCACCTGAAACATGCGGAATGTCGCACATATTTTCATGTGATCAAACCAGATGTGAAATCTATGATTGTATTAAGCAGACGTATCTATTATTTATAGGTTCTAATGGTCTAATCCAGACCTGTCAGAAATTTTCTTTGTTTTTCTGTTTTGTTTGTTTGTTTGTTGTTTAATGCCACACTAAGCAACATTCCAGCTCTATGATGGCCGCTGACAGGTCAGACAATCCAGTGATCAAAATAGTCATTGTTTGTTTGTTTGTTGTTTAATGACGCACTCAGCAATATTCCAGCTATATGACAATGTTCTGTAAATAATCAAGTCTTGACCAGACAATCCAGTGATTGACATCATGAGCATCAATCTACCCAATTGGGATACGATGACATGCATAAACCAAGTCAGCGGGCCCGAGCACCCGATCCCTTTAGTCACCTCTTACAGCAAGCATTCAAGCTCTATGATTACCAGACAATCCAGTGATCAATATAGTGAGCAACAATTCACGTCATCAGGGTACGACGACACGTTATCAACCAGTTCACCGCGACTGACCATCAATCCAAATCTTATGACCAGCACAGGTTGCTGGGGAATCCCCAAAGGCAAGTGAGTATTTTCTGATGTTTCAAGTATCCTTCAATAGTCAAAGTAAGTATTGAGTGAGTATGGTTTTACGCTTTTAGCAATATTCCAGCAATATCACATCAGGGTACCCATGTCGGGAATCAGACCTGGGTCTTCGGCGTGATGAGCGAACGCTTTAACTACTAGGCTACCCGACTGCCCTCAAAGAAAGTAAGTTTAGTGGTATAAAACTGGATTTTGTTGCTTGTTACGTTATTGTTTTGTTTATCTTTTTTGTTAGCATCAGTAATCAGTACTTTTATGATTATTGTAAATCTATGATGAAGCATGGTAGTCATGACAGTAGCATACCTGAGATCTGTTTGTGACAAGAAACTCGGGAAGCAAAATGGAGTGAGTGAGATTTTATGCAGCTTTTAGTATCTGCAGCTTTTAGTATCAGTGTCTTAAATAATTTGTACTCCCATAAAGCCAGAGGTGTTACCTGTTTTTTGGTTTGGCTTGTTGTTTTACGACGCACTCAGCAATATTCCAGCTATATGACGGCGGTCTGTAAATAATCGAGTTTGGACCGGATAATCCAGTGATTGACATCATGAGCATCGATCCACGCAATTGGGATCGATGACATGCATCAATCCAGTCAGCAAGCCTGACCACCCGATCCCGTTAGTTGCCTCTTAAGACAAGCATGTCGCCTTTTACTGCAAGCATGGGTTGCTGAAGACCTATTCTACCCTGGATCTTCACGGGTCAGGTGTTACCTGTGTCACTAAGTAACTGGGCCCCTCTCTCCAGGCTGGGCCAGCCCTTGTTATCATAGCCAAAGTGGTAGGTCCAGATGGCAGCAGTGAACTCATGCGGGGCGGTCTGCAGAACACACACACAGTAAGGTGGATTACAAGACACATGCAAATATTACAATCAAAACTTTCAAATTGTTTTTAAACATGGACAGGGTTTCAGATTAGTTCATTTTCTACGACAATGAGTGATTGTCATCCAAAATGTCCTAAAGATTTTTTTCCAATTTGGTAATGATTTAGCATGTTTATAAGAATATCCTATCAAAAGCTGACAAAATCATGTTTGTTTGTTTGTTTATTTGTTGTTTAACGCCGCACACAGCAATATTCCAGCTATATGATGGAGGTCTGTAAATAATCAAGTCTGGACCAGACAATTCAGTGATTGATATCATGAGCATCATTGCCAATTATCTCTATCAGTACATAAATGTATTGCCAACTTGATCCAAAATTTTAACATTGCAATAATATTTATAATTGTGTAAAACATGAATTCTGTCTAGATTAATCAATATTTGTTCAAAACTAGAACAATGGATGGGCATCAAACCATTGCATTACTTCTACAAAATGCAACTGTTAAGAGATGGGAATCAGGCATACAATAATGTAGAGTAGTTAGAGTTACCTCCCTTCAATAACAAGCCCTACTTACCTTAGGTGCATGGTCGTACTGACGAGGGGTGTATCTTGCACCCAAGCCCCCCAGGCCAGCCACGACTAGGAGAAATAACACTGAAATAAAGAAACACAAATTACTTTTAAACGTAGACACAAAAATTATCTTGTCTTTTGATATCACATTTTTAGCCTTGGAGTCTTAAACTTAACATATTTGGTATCAAAAGACGCAAGAGTGAGGTTCTATATATATTACACCAAATCATTCCACTAACTTTTGAGCGTCATGAGCGCAAAGTGATGTCATTCGATTGTGACATCATGGTAACCGATGACATCACAATGGTCTGTAAAGGATTGTGATGTAATTTCATTTTTATCTCAACCATTAACTCCTGTGGAAGACAGTTTGGGATGAAGAGGTATTGTATCAATGATATATTATATTATATCAAAATCATTTTCAGCTGATCAGCTAACTGTCATACAGTAAATAATTGTAAACAAATCTTTCTGTCAGATATTTGATCAAACATAAAGCGTCAATATGTTCTCACAAATGCTATGCGATGTAGATGGCATCTTCGTTTTGTTGATGGTGACAAAGGCAGCTCTGCTCTCCGTTATTTTACCACCTGAAACACAAGGAATCTATTATATATTCACATGGACACTGCAGCTGTTGGTTATGTGGGCCTTTATGAGTGGAAAATGAAACGGATGTTTTCTTCACGATTAACACTGATATGCTATTTGTGGAAACTGAGAGTATTTGGTTGTTTGGTTATGTTTGTTTGTTGTTAGACACAAAACTCAGCAATATTCACGACATACGATGGCTGCCTGTAAATAGTCAAGTCTGGACCAAGCAAACCAACAATTCATTTAAGTGTGATGATCCACGCCGTCAGGGTACGATGACACACAATCAACCAAATCACTGACCCAGACCACTCCATCCATTTTGTCAACTCTTACAACCAGCCTAATTTGCTGGGGACCTATTCTAACCTTGAATCCCCAGTAAGGAAATGTTATCTTAGGCAGGACCGCCTCCGTGGTCTTGTGGTAGAGCGTCCGCCCAGAGAGCGGAAGGTCCGGGGTTCGATCCCCGTCCACGGCATACCAAAAGACGTTAAAATATGGTACTTGTTGTTACCACACACGCATGTGACGTTAAACCCAATTTCACCTCACCTATCTCAGGCAGATTGAAGATTGTGACGGTAATCTGCCTGGATACAAAAGGAACTGTTGTTCGGCTTTGTTTCGCCATTTCCTATCGCAACAGTTACTGTACATTTATTACTTGATAAAGTCCTGTCACTTGTTTTCTGTCAAACATCACAGAAGGAACACAGGAATGGTTTCAAAAGTGAGTAAGTTGGGTTTAACACCGCTTTTAACAGTATTCCAGTTAAATCAGTGTGTCAGCTTAATGAGGGAGGAAAGACCGAAGTGATGCAGTTCTCAGACATTATGTATTGGAGAAAACACGCTTACGAGGTTTTGGTAGACAGAGCATGAGCAGAGGGAAAAACTGGTTTTTCCCCCACCCCCAGGGCATGCTCTGTCTACCAAAACCGAGGGAAAGTGTTTTTCCATACTTATAAACCGAAAAAAGAAACTTAAAACAACATTTATCAACATTTTTATGTTTTGAACATACTTTCCATGAACCTTAGGAAACGCTCGTAAAATATCTGTTGCTGGCGTACGGATCTTGAAAAGGACATTCTAAAAAACAGTGTGGCTTATCAACACCTCTGTAGCCTCGTGGTACACTCACTGGGCTACAGATATGAAGGTTGCGAGTTGGATCCTCGGGAATATAAAGAAAACATTTGTCATTTGATTTTACATTTCATTACATGTTACAATCTGAACTGAAGTTATATTAATAAAATACCCAGGACATCATATAAAATCCCTGGGATATTACAACACATTATATAGCAAATATGACTTGAATATCCTATAAAATCCCAGGGACATTACAACGTCCCTGTTTATGAGATTTAACCCGACTGGAAAGTAAAACCTCACAATATCTTTTAATGCCTATAGAAAGAAGTCTCTTACTTAATAGCGATCCCAATGAATAGGTTCATAAATCTTTCATGAAACCCACTAGCACGGGCATGGAGCTGACAAACCTAGAAACCTAATCGGGGCGAACCGGGATTCAAACCCACAAACAGAGGTTTTGCCTCCGTTGACTGGGCCACCCGTGCACCACTTCACATGCTTCCTTCTGAGAACTAAACCCAAGTCTTCAGTGTGGTGCTTGTCAACCCCATCTCCCACAACCAACATGATTATCAAGGGAAGTGGTCATACAAAAAAATTAAATGACAGTGGAAATAGTTATCTTACTGACATCTAAAAGGTCAAAAGACATACCTGAATACAGTCCAAACAGGATCATCACCATGACGATTCCTATCAGCCAATCAGTGTGCTCCCTTGTGTACACGCCCCCAGGGACAAAGTTGTAAGCTACTGTCCACACACCAAATAATACTTCGGCAACATACACCACCATGGCAAGAGTGAGGCTTGTTGCTGGGCAACCAGACATCTGGTCAAATAGTTTCGGCCAGACAGACATTACATACACTGCTAAAACCAGGCCACCTGAAAATAGCATAAACATGGACATGCTGGATACATACATGCATCACAATGTATATATCAGTTGGATTTAATTTATTTCAGGGAAGTGAGCAGGTTTTCCCCCCCAAAAAGAGGAAAAGTCCAGGGGGGGTCCAGAAAATGTTTAAACATTTGATTGCATCTTAAGCAATTTCGTGCAGTTTGGACAATATTCACACCAAGAAATGTAATAATTTTTCGGAGTGTTTTTTTAAAATCAATGATTATATTTTTATGCGGAAGATGATTTTTCCTGAGGACTACTGTTTTAAAAAACATGATTTTCTGCGTTTCTGCGGAGATTTCACATCCCTGATATTTTATATATTGCTGCAATGAGTATTTCAGGCATTTCATGTTAAAGTAGACACAATTAATGGATAACAACTTCTTTATTTACTGCAAAAGGTGATGTTTCGGTACAGATCATTGTCAAGCAAGCAAGCAGCCTTGCTTGACAACAGTATAAGGATCTATACCAAAACGTAGCCTTTTACAGTAAATAAAGAAGTTGTTTTCCTGAAATTGAGTCGATTTTGTCATTTGTCAACTTCTAAGTAATGCCTGTCAAACAATTGTATCATGGTGTTTCAATTCGATGAGAGTGAGTGAGTGAATGAGTATGGTTTTACGCTGTGTTTAGCAATATTCCATTGTACTCATGTTGGGAATCAAACCTGGGTCTTGGTCATTGTCATGGTTGCTGGAGGTAAGTGGGTCATGTACCTATTCAGCAGTCCGTCATAGGTCCCCAGACCTTGCCAAAATGGTCCAAAGCAATGAGTGTTTTGCATTTGAACAGCTAATGGGCAATTGATACACTAGTCAAATTTGCGAAAACATTAAAAAAACGTCTAAAATTGGACTGGAATTCTCTGAGTCCTTTTCAGTAATATTCATACAAAGTTTCAGCAGGTAAACTAAAATCAGTCAAATCACTCCACTCCCATCTACAGTGGAAACCACCCATGCCTGCAATATACATGTGTTAACAAGGACAAATCAAAATCCCTCTCTCACCTCCAAAACCCATCCACCTAGGCAGGAAGTACATGGCAAAGAAGCCGAGGAGGCCACACACCCACCACCAGGTTGTGTTGGAGACATGGTGGCACTGTGACATGTAGGCGCCGAACGCCAGACTCAGCAGTACAAGGCCCCTGTCAGAAGACAGAGAACAAGTCCATTATTTATAGAATCTAATCAATCATTAGCATGGGCATAAGGTAGGCTGAAAAACTTAGAAGATATGTACATGTTATTGAATACTTCAGAATTCAAACAAGTTTGACCATTGATTTTTCAAAGAATTTTTAATAAAAGGTTAAAGTTTATTTAAATGACTCTCCAAAAGAACAGAAATCAATGAAAAACATGTGGAAAAAATACCTTCGAAATTTCAATTTGCCACCAGCTGAGATTTTGATGTCAAAATTGACCTAGCAGATTCCGAATGAAAAGCCGAAAACTAAGATCGATGCTGCGTAATCAATGTGTAATTTGTTCAAAGATAAAACTCTCAATCAAACTTGAACTGTAAAGTTTTCAATCCATCTTAGAGATTACATTCACATAATGACAGTGATAGTCAGTGTTGCAAATTACAAAAATAATGAATATCTGGGTACACAGAACGCCATACCAACTAGAAATACAGACCATCATATCAGTGTACCAATATCAGACTACTTTCGAGTACTATCAGAATGTTAAGTTATTGAGGTGATATATTAATGTTTTGATTGAAATAATAATGAATACTAGAATTACATTTTAAGAAAATTGATATGTTTCAAGCTATATCACACTGCACGAGGTTATATATATATATATATATATATATATATATATATATATATATATATATAGTAAACTACATTTATAATGAACATGCTCAAGTTTAGTATGTTAAAATCCAAAAGTGATACACTTCTGCAAAATGTAAAAACTAATTTTCTCAATTTCTCACAGTGCCAAGTTCTCTTTATCTACAAAACAGCATGCACAATTTTTGGTTTTTAATGGTTCCTTTTACACATCTTGACAAAAAAGATGAAGAAAAGTTTCTACAAGACCATTCTATTTACCAAGGCACAAAAACCAGCGAGCAAATTTGAAATTCGAAAATGACATGTAAAACAGTGCTTATGATCCGGGGCAGAATTGGTCTTCAGCAACCCATGCTTTTCCTGTAAAAGGCGTCAAACAGGATCAGGTGGTCAGGCTGTCTGACTTGGTTGATGCATGTCATCATATCCCAATTGCGTGGATCTATGCTTATGATGTCAATCACTGGATTATCTGGTCCAGACTTGATTATTTACAGACCGCCATCATATAGCTGGAATATTGTTGAGTGCAGCCTAAAACAACAAACAAACAAACAAACAAACATATACAAATCAGTGCTACACTGGTGACCATGGTTACAGGAATTGGTTGCATTAAACTCACCCCCATGGATAAGGCATAGGGCCATGGTCAGGGTAACCTTTCACCACCCATCGGAGGATCAGTGACACCTCCCCAAAACAGGCATGTGTCACGTACAACAGACTGCCAAACCCAAGGGATGCTGGGATCCAATATGGCCGCTCTGCTTTGGATAGTTGTTTCGAGACATCTTCGATTCTGTCATCCCCTGAAAATAAGATAAAGAAACCAATCTTGCTTGATCATACCTTTAATTTACATCCCATTGTGTAGATTAGTCTGAGACACCAACGATATGCAGTTACATATGTGACTGGTAAGCTTCTAGCACATGGGTTTTATACTCCCCAGGAAGCTGAGAATAAACCATCAAGTGCCCATTGATCCATTGACCAGGTTAATAATACTGTAGCACCATGACCATTTATTTGGTGAATAGAATCTTGTGCATCAAAAAATACCTTAGTAATATTATTATTTGTCATAGGATGGTAAAAAATAGCACCATTATATAGCTATTGTACACTATCCCTGTCTGTGATCAATTTTCATCTTGACCATGTTGACTACCAGTATATATTTTATTCTATCCAAATATTGAGGACAGGTGATTTCATCAGGGGATGTTCATAATTACCTGACATGATCTGATCAAGAGCAGCAATGGTGCCAAGGGAGATAACTGCTGTGTTTGTCGAGTTTGACCACCAGGTGGGGACAAATGATGTCAGCCATATCCGACTGGACAGGAATGCAAACATCCCCAACATCAAACTCCAATAAAACTGGGACCTTAAATTATTTTAAAAAAATAAATCATTTGGAGAATAATTATAACCACCTACAAGTGGATGAATTACAAATTTTCAATCTCACCAGATTGACTTCTATCACACATATCTGCAGTGGTTGATGAATTATAAGAAGCAAAACACCCAAAATATTTAACATGTGTTTAATGAAGAGAGAGTTACATTATAACAAAGACATACGGGTGAGGTTTTTTAATACCCAATTTATATTTGAATTGTTATTTCGGTTGCCAATGTTTAAAACTCGAAAATTATGTTTATGTAATATTGTATAAAACGTTTATATCTCATGCTAATTAAGTCTTATGTCAACCAATCAGTGATAAGTTCAGTGACATCACACAAGACCCAGTGCATAATAACTAATATACCTGATCCTTGTACTTGGACTGAAGAGCAGAGCGGCCATGACGAGTGTCACTGTTCCAGATCCGACGGCTAGTGTCACTAACCGTGACAGTGTTGTTGGCATCTGAAAGGACACAAGACATCCAACACATACTAGCCGCAGCAGACCAAGGACCCATCGATTCTGTATCAGGCACAGGAAGCCGGGGAGGATGCAGAATATCGGACAGAACCACACAGCAGCAAAGGCTTCGTACCCCGATATCTCCAGCTCATTGAGAGGGTAGAACCAGATCATGGGAGCCAGTGCCTGGAACAAGCTCCAGAACACAAAGCCTGAAAACCCAAACAATATATACTTAGTCCTTGAAGAAATACCAGTGTACAAATAAAGGGGGAGTGGGGGAGGGGGAGATTTGTTGTTGCTATAGTATTGATACTAGGCTACCCGACCGCCCCACTTATCTTTAGAAAGCCTAGGATTAGTTATGACTATATCAACATGAACTGGGATAAAAAAAAATATTAAACATGATATACCTCTGAGCAAGTTCTTGGAAGCACAGAAGGGCAACCTAAACTACGCGACTACGCTTCGAAACATATTTTGACAAATTCTCGATTAAAAATTTGAAACCTGAACAAAAGAACATTCTGGAATGGCCAATAGATGGTCTAGATTGTATGGATTCAGTCGTTAACCCCGTAACTATCGTTCAGAATACCCTGTGTAAAAAAGTTTTCGAGGATGCATGATTAGAAATCACATTCCGACTGTCACTTTTTCTGATCTGGTAAGCGACGCTCTGATTGGTCTGATGAAATGTCGTTCTGACGTGACCCCTAATGGGATGTCCTCAGGTCTTTGTTTAGCTGCAGCGAGAATTAAGATCTGATTGAATGAGATTGAGCCCAATATGACATGTGATATATGACATATCAGCTGCTTTCTTGTGCCCCACTGCACACATGACAATGAGGGGATAAACCTGTGAAGGTCAGTATCTGGAGTTTTTTATACAGGAGTTTATCTAGGATTTAAAAAATTAATCAGTTTGTGCAAAAATGGGTACATTAAAATATGTGACATTGAATTTAATTCAACAACATAAAAGTATTAAAGCTGATATGTTTATCAGCGAAATATAAGCCTTTGCAAACCTAAAACATTAGTTTGTATGTTTGTTGTTTAATGCCACACTCAGCAATATTCCACCTATATGACGACAGTCTGTAAATAATAGAGTCTAGACCAGACAATCCAGTGATTGACATCATGAGCATCAATCCACACAATTGGGATACAATGACATGCATCAGCCAAGTCAGTGAGTCTGACCACCCAATCCCGTTAGTCATCACTTACAATAAGCATAGTTACATTTTAGGGCAAGCATGGGTTGCTGAAGATCTATTCTAACCCAGGTCTTCCTGGGACTTAAACATTAGTAATAATCATAATCACATGTAATAATAACCACAGCTGGGTGGAAAATTTGACTTTCCAAAAGGGGACTTTTGCTGTGGACCTGCATACAGGCTGAGTATCGGCCATTGAGAACACATAGATAAACCCTTGCTGAATTAACCCCAAGGCAGCATTATTACCCCTGGAGGGGATTGCCTAAAAGTCGGGCCCGGGCCGGGCCAGCGGGTAATACTAAAAATGGATTGCAGAATAATAAAACGAAATGTGCATATCTAGGCAGATCGCAAATGTCCACAAACGTATAGTTTTGCTCATTTAATTGAGTTTGAATCAAAATGCATCTTCAACAATGTAATAAACTGATAATTATGACTACATACCGTGAGTCCTCATAGAAAAGTCAGTGTCTTGACTGTGTGTTTTCTTTGATGAGAAAGTTTCTCACCAACCTTAGCGTGTAGGGTTGTGATGTCCAGGGCATGAAAGGACAGTGTTTTGACTACTCTTCTTTCATTAATTAACGTGTTGGGCATCCCTAATTAACCATTACTATTTCATATTAAACCAACAAAGGATGTTTTCTGGAAGTAGATATTCGCGAATGTCATAGTGCTGACACGACACGTGTTAAGAACTGTCCTAGCACTTCTAAAGTTCATAACATTCTTTATATCTAAAGACTAGTATTATATCTAATTATATACCACATTATTGTCTCATATTGTGGTAGTTAAAGAAAACACAGTGCTCAAAGTGAAGCCCTCACTCTACATTCTCAACATAGTCTCTATCAGAAGTGTTTGGCTTGTGTTGGGTCCGACTTGGCCCGGGCTGTCAAAATCAACTTTAAACACACAGATGTATCATCAAATGTGCTTACATCTGTAGCTTAGTATCTTATCTACCTATATACCACTTTATAGTGTCTCAGATCGCGGTATTTAAAGAAAACAAGGAGCTCAAAGTGAAGCTCCTGTGTGTCATCGGTTTAATTGTATGGTATACATTGTAGACAGACAGACAATAATTTATTAATGTCTCACTTCTGTACATACATAAAACAGCTTTGTACAAATAAACATTGATAGAATGTACAGAACCATTCAATAGAATTATGAGAGATTATTAACAGAATATCCCACTGCTAAGTATATGATAAATTGTTGAATTAACATTAGATAAGGTTGAGAATTAATTGTGTGTTTTTTTCAATACATCTTAGACTGGTGAATCGTCTGCTCGATGATAACCAGCCTAGTCATATTTTTACCCTGTTCCCCATTGTTGGAAAGTGTGTCGTCTGCTACCCCAGCTGGGGCCATCTGGTAACAATTAATCACAAGCTGTCAATAAACAATACATTATAATACATCAAGATGGCAGTTTCCATGTAACGATTAAGTATTTCTAAGCAACTTAAGATGCTTAAAGATATGTACAATATCTAGATATATGTATCTTTAATTTGCTTAGAAATACTTAATCTTTACATGAAAACTGTCATCTTGATGTATTATTCTGTTTTGTATATTGACAGCTGGTGATTGAGCCGTGATTGCTGCCAAGGGCGGTCACACGAGATACCGAGTTGAGCGCACCCTTGTGGCCTTATGTGATGTAACAATGAACGGTTTTCAATGCCTTTGTACAATGACAACATGTGACTATCGGACTCCAAAATTTCATATTTGTATCTATGATCATATTAAATTAAATATATCGACTTTATTAGGTTCAATAAATTTACTAACAAATCTACCTATTGCGCATTGAGCGATTATCTCCTTTAGCTGTATGCGCAGTATAGAGCTTTATCGTGTGTGACCTTGCAATGCTGTACATCGTATCTTATTCAAGCTGTATCACTGAGAGTGAGTTATTATCTCCCTTACCCGAATAGCTCTTTTGCGCACTACCTTTGCAATGTATCGTATGTTATTCAGGCAGCCAGCGAGAATGGTTCCTGGGAGGAATTAAGGTCAAGCATGTAACGCGCACTCAGTCGTTCTCCCTTCACACTGCTATTGCAAATTATTGTTCAACACGATTAAATACCAGGCTTCTATGAAGCATGACTTTGTTCAATAAACAACACATGTAAAACAACGGGTTTGATATCAGATATTTGTAATTAGTTGTCTTCACAATCACATGTATGGTGCTTGCTGTGCAGATATGAGCACAGTTTCAAGTAGTTCACTGTATGTAAAATATGATTCATACCGTTTCATACGGCGGTTTATGGTTCTGCATGGTTTACTGTATTGACAGTTGTTTTAACTTCCTGCAGAGATTATACACCCGTATAAGTTCTTTGCTTCTGGATACATTGGAAATCAATATGTTGGCCCTTAGTTTGCAATTATTCTCCTGAAAAATAATTCGGTTGCATGATATATTCACGATGTTTGGCTTGAACATAGTAACATTCTTCTAAACATACTTCAAATTTAAGCCGGAAGTAATCACAACACAAACCCAGTTAACCAAACAGAACCGTACACAAGAGTAGTGAGTGAGTGAGTTGGGCTTAACGCAGCTTTGAATAGTATAAATCAAGTTATATCACGGCGAGTCAGCTTGATGTAGAAGGAAAGCCCCAAGTGATGCAGGTATAAGACGTTCACCACTTAGGTGAAACCTGTGAGCACGGGTATAGTGCTGACAACATAATTGGGGCAAACCGGGATTCGAACACACTGTCATAGGTTTCTGGCATGCCCAAGGGACACCACTCTGCATAGCGAATTGCAGCGCATCAGGGCGACTTTGGCCAACCGTGCCCCCGTACACAACTGTAACAAACTATCATACAACAAAGATGTTGAAGATGAGATATGTATTGCGTAACATTCCATGAAGAAATAGTGGCAATATTACACTATCACAAACTAAAAAATATACAAAAACGAACACTTCTGAGAAAGATTTTCTTAAGAAAATACAGTAAAAGTGTTTGATTTTAATGGATCAGTTTTCTTTCAATGCGATGTACTGTGACATTATAAAGGGGTATATAGGTAGATATAATACTACTCTATAGATGTAAATGATGATACATCTGTGTTTAAAGTTGATTTTGACAGCCCGGGCCAAGTCGGACCGAACACTTGTGAGACTGTTGAGAGTATGGGGAGAAAAGGTCTACTTTAACCAACTTGTCTGCTTTAAATACGATGAACAGTGACATTATTAAGCGGTATTTACTTAGATATAGTACTGTCCTATAAATGTAAACGCTATGCCGACAGATGGAAATTTGTATCACGATAGCTATTCTTGATACGTTTCAAATCCTATTCCGTTTAACGATTGCCCTATTGCATGTTACCTAGATCAGCGACGCTTACACACAGCTCCACTTTCTGGTTTCCAAGCGATTAGCTCCGATTCACTTTATTATGGTGCACGTTCTTGGTTGATGATTGTTCATTAATGTCATGTGTGTGTGTTGCATCAATGATATGTAGGTATGGTCGCCGATAATGGAGTAATTAGCCAATTCAACTTTGGCCCAGCCCGACTTTTAGGCAATCCCCCCCTGGAGCTGAATAACATGAATGTGAACCATTTCTGTTTGGCACAGGCTACAACTGGACAGCCTTAGAAATTTGTTTTGTCTTATGACTAGTCCAGAGGACTAGTGTAAACCTTAGTCCTAAGAGTTTGTAGTTAGTCCTGCTTGAACAAGACAAATATATTTACTATGCTTAATTTTCTGTCAGTTTTATTCATTTGCAATTTTTAGCAAAATTGAAGCATTGACAACTGGTTCAGAATTATAGCCCTCAAATGCTTCTCGTTAATGAGGACTATCATCATTAGATTTTTACATTTTAGTTGTCTCAGGCTAAAGGACTATCATGAATTTTGACGGCTGGTTAGATGTTATGAAAAGACTATTGAGCTTTTTACATTACATCCTACATCTGCATCTGACAACTTATGTTTTCAAGAAAATGAAACGTTATTAATTATATTCTCTGACTCAGTGAATAGCCCTCCATAATATTCACTTTGTTCAGTAAAGTGTTAATAAACATGTATTAGGTGTGAGACGATACATAGGTCACGATACAATATGTATCGCAATACCCATATTAATGTCAAGCAGATGGAAACATTTGACTTTTCATATTTCAGAGCAGGTTCAAAAGGAAAAGCAAGCTGTAGACACATGTCCGAGCGGCTATTTGTATTATTGAACATGAAATGCTTATTACAACACAAGTGTATCGTCTTGTATTGATACAGAAACAAAAAGTATTGTGTATCTTATTGTCGCATCAAATCTCACGATGCACTGGTCTATCGTTTCACTCCTGACATATATCTTGATACATCTGACAGCATCTATATTCAAGAAAATATATACTAGTTAAACATGTTTAAATGATATTCATCCAACTCAAGTCAAGGATTATTTGGCAAGCTATAGGAATTGTCTTGGGCCCCATTTGGATTATATTTTTAATTGAATTTGTATAAATAAATATTTTTAAATACGATAACTTATTTCTGGAACTAAGGTAAGTCTAAACACTAAGTGACTAAGTGGACTTGTTGATACAGTGAATATTTATTTCATATTCAGTCAGTGTTGGTAAACAGTGGTATCGACTTGGATATCCCCAGAAAATTAAATTACCAATAACGTGATTCCATCATCTCTATCATTGTCTGCAGGAATCGTGCATAAAAAAAAAATTCAGATGCTGCAACTGACAACACTTTTCCATTGACTTTTAACAAGACAGAGTTATCTGCCTTCGCTGTTCACCTCGTCCGACTTCCTTGTTTCGGTGATGTTGCGTGTATAGGTGGTTCGTTATGTGAGCATGTCAGTGAGAAATGATTTCTATTCAAACAAACATACCGTTAATAGTGTCTCTGATAAGTGTCTTCGGGCTTGTTGTCTGCATATCCCCCATTTTGGCACGTTCGTCTTTGCCGCTGGTCTTTCGCCAACTTGCTTCCGCCATGCTGGCCACTATCGTAATGCGATGTACGTTGCAGAACCAGTCTAACTACGTGCGGGGCCCTGTTTGGGTTTGTTGATATAGTATTGACGTGCGTGAGAGAATGGGACTGACCGAGACTAGTCGTAATGTTTATATAGAACATAGCACACAATGTTATTTCCCCATACACTCCTCACTTCCTTAGCACTGGTAGCTCTATTTGCAACTATTCGTCCTTCGTGGAGGACGAGGTAGGACATGGTCTCACTGGAAATGTCCATTATAAAGGCAGAGACCATAAAATAGATTATAAATGATAACGGTTATTGAAAACTTTGAAATATTGGTACGAAAATTACGAGTCACTTTCAAATGGCCGACAACTAGCACTGCTTCTCCTTTCGTGTTCACATTTTGGAATTCTGTCATGATCAAGTTCACAAAAAACGGATCAAATGTGTGAAAAAAGGTCCGATTTGTCAAACTTTAAGATGAATGTCTTACTATGTTTGTACTGTCTTTATCTACATCCCCATACATCCGTGAAGTTCCGGGGTAGAATAGGTCTTCAGCAACCCATGTAAGAGGCGTCTAACGGGATCGGGTGGTCAGGCTCCTTGGCTTGGTTGATGCATGTCATCGTACCCTAATTGTGTGGATCGATGCTCATGATATCACTCACTGGATTATCTGGTCCAGACTCGATTGTTTCAGACCGCCGTCATATAGCTGGAATATTGCTGAGTGCGGCGTTAAACAGCAAACAAACAAACAGGCAAAAATATCTCCATAAGTACACTATCTTGGGTCAAAGACTTGCTCTTGTTCAAACATTAAATCAGTGGTTCACGTTTTAGCGTTTAGTGTTGCTTAAGTCCAAAAACAAGAGGCGTTGAAAGGATCAAAGTCTAGTTCTCGTTCACATGAACACGTCTGATAACTTCCATAACAATTTCAAGACGTTTCGCTCATTTCGTAAATTATTCAGATTCTGTGGGCCAGAAAGGACCCTTGTTGCACCCTGTTTTTCGGTCACAGTATTTTATATTATTACGCACGTTAATCCGTTATTCGTCCATCCTAATAATTCGTCATAATGTGTATTAAAGAGCACGACAGTATCAATGTGTACATTCCCATAATATTCCCAGCTCCATGGGGATCACACAATGATATTCATTAGCTACATCCATATGATAATGGCGTGGTCAGTGGATGAATGGAAGAGACAACTATATTCAACCATTCACGATTCGAAAAATGGACATGCACCAATATACGTCCAAATCCACCAGTACTATCATTTTCTTTGTTCACGTGCTTTGGGTTTGTGTCAACAAACAAGATGACGTAGAGACGAGCGCAAGACAGACGGGTGACGATGCACTGTAACAGCTCTCTAGCGCTGCCAACATTTGGTTCCACAAAGCGATCTGATCTCTTCGGGTGTTCATATTGGAGTTACAGTGCTTAAATAAACATATTTCGTGGTTCAGACCTCTTTGGGATTTCGGGTTAGAACTGGTCACCCATATGCCACATTTGCAGTCCACCTTTAGATGTTGTAATTATGGAGTGAGTTGAGTTCTGCGCCACTTTTAACAATATTTCAGCTATATTAGGGGGCACCAGAAATCAGGCCTTGAATCAACCTTGTAAGACTGCCAAGTGGTCCAATTCTATAGCCCTAGAGGGGCCGTCGGGTAGCCTAGTGGTTAAAGCGTTCGCTCGTCACGCCGAAGACCCGGGCTCGATTCCCGACATGGTTACAATGTGTGAAGCCCATTTCTGGTGTCCCCCGCCATGATATTGCTGGAATATTGCTAAAAGCAGCGTAAAACCATACTCACTCACTATAGCCCTAGACTTGCACAAGTCTCTAAGGCAATAATTATTAGTTTAAATCATAATTTCTAGAGTATATGAATAATAAGAACAAGTTGTCCTTATAAGAGATTGTCGCCCTCACTGTACACTTATCTAGACTTGCCTTTTAGAAGGTTTAATTACTACACACCCATGGACTTATCTTTCAGTACAGCCTTAGAGCAAGGCTACTAGAGTCACAACAACCGACTTTACGATAGTTGTAGCAAATATCCTCTAGGAAGAAACCAGGGTTATAACTTATACATGGTTTTGTCTTACAATATGTGTGGGTCGTACTTTGAGAAATAGCCAGGATATATCAGTCCACAAAAGATAAGATGTTATTTTGTCTCCTTGGTCAAGTTGACCATTCAACAATGAAGAGAGTGTATACAGCTAGTGTTTACTCTCTTTCTTACGTTGTTTGTATAAATCTGGCCCGGTTGAACCAAATCAACAAAACGTTCATTTCAATATTTGTTTCACGCACAGTTGGGTTCTTGCTAGACTGATATTTAGTCCAGAAACAAAGATATTGTATTAAAAAATATATATCTAAAAAATAAAAAGAATCAAATCCAAATAGAGCGGAGAACAATCACAATCTACACTTGCCAAATCATTCTAGACATGAGTTGGATTCCTTTTCATTTTTTTCTCTAGGGTCTGGGAGACAGACAAGGTTCTTGCCTGTGAGATACCCTATATTCATTAATGGCTGAATGTGCCATCTGTAGAATATATAACTGAAGCGCACGTAAAATATCGTAACTCTGCAAGTGCTCTTTATGCACGACTAGTTTTAAGATGCGCGCATCTTGTACAACAACCGATATTGCACTATGGTAAAACGGCCTACAACACTGAATAAACATGTCTAATGTCTAATGAAAGTGGAATAGCACAATATGTTGGGTGGCCGTTTATATCGTGCATAACTACTGCAAATGTACACATGAGTGCGCCATGGTAAGATGGCCTATTCATGCTGAATAAAGACTCAATAAGTGACTTATAATACAACTGAAATAGGAATATCGGATTAAAAGAGGGTGAGTATTAAATACATTGATATACATGTATCGAATTTATTCACAAGTAATGTTGGCACAACACAATATACGATAGAAGCATTGTGAGAACACGACACCCGAATGTATATCGCCATGGTAACCGTCGTATTTTACTTTGTGTAACGATCATGTGTTCGAGTCCTTATAACTCATAACAAAGATACGTAAAGAATGTTCTTCACTGAACACTGAGATGCACGAAGGTTGCATGATGCACAGTCATAACTCATAAGACCTAACAGTCGACTGGGTCTTGTCAGTGTGTTGTGTGGATCCTGTGGTCGCGGGTTCGCCTGGCCAGTGTTTAATGTGGATCCTGTGGTCCTGGGCTCGCCTGGTCATTGTGTTGTGTGGATCCTGTGGAGGTGGGTTCACCTGGCCAGTGTGTTGTGTGGATCCTGTGGTGGTGGGTTCACCTGGTCATTGTGTTGTGTGGATCCTGTGGTCGCGGGTTCGCCTGGCCAGTGTTTAATGTGGATCCTGTGGTCCTGGGCTCGCCTGGTCATTGTGTTGTGTGGATCCTGTGGTCGTGGGTTCGCCTTTCCAGTGTGTTGTGTGGATCCTGTGGTGTTGGGTTCGCCTGGCCAGTGTGTACTGTGGATCCTGTGGTCGTGGGTTCGCCTGGCGAGTGTGTTGTGTCGATCCTGTGGTGGTAGGTTCGCCTGGCCAGTGTGTTGTGTGGATCCTGTGGTGGTGGGTTCGCCTGGCCAGTGTGTACTGTGGATCCTGTGGTCGTGGGTTCGCCTGGCGAGTGTGTTGTGTCGATCCTGTGGTGGTGGGTTCGCCTGGTCATTGTGTTGTGTCGATCCTGTGGTGGTGGGTTCGCCTGGCTAGTGTGTTTTGTCGATCCTGTGGTGGTAGGTTCGCCTGGCCAGTGTGTTGTGTGGATCCTGTGGTGGTGGGTTCGCCTGGCCAGTGTGTTTTGACGATCCTGTGGTGGTGGGTTCGCATGGCCAGTCTGTTGTGTGGATCCTGTGGTGGTGGGTTCGCCAGGCCAGTGTGTTGTTTCGATCATGTGGTGGTGGGTTCGCCTGGCCTGCGTGAAGCCCATTTCTGGTGGCCCCCGACGTAATATTGATGCAATATTGCTAAAAGCGGCGTAACACCCAACTCACTCACTCTATTAAACACACCTTGAGCCAGGAGAAAAAATGGAAAAAACCCCACAAATGTTTATTTTTCTCCAATTTAAAAAAACAAAATAACTGCAAGATTAACTGCATCTTACAGATACAAAATAAATTAACGTCCATCATGTCCGGTAAAAAAATAATTGAACTGGTAATTTAACTTTTACAAGACTCTCAGGACGCCGCCGAAAAACAGAATGATGACTTATCAAACCCTTTCTCAAAACAAAATTGGGATTGCTTACGTTTCGTTTCAGGTTGTCATATTTCGTTTTATTGTCACTCCTTCGTTTGAAGTGAATCGCGCTGTTTACACTTCCGGTTATGTTAAACGCGAGAGGACAAAATGACGGATTCTCACAAATAATCATCAGAGAAGCATTTAACAACACATTTCAGCGGTAGATTTATATCATTGTACCGCATGCGTTGGAATCTGTTTGTTCTCAGCCATAAGGTAACGTTTTGGTATGGTAGACGCATGCGTAGGGCTTTAAATTAACGAATAAATCGATTAATAGAGTTCTGCTTGTCGTCCCTCCCCCTAAGTGTTTTCATCAGTACATTCAATCAATCATGATGATCAGTTCACGTTATTGTCATAATTGGGAGGATATTTAATAGTCACATTGATCTTCAATGTTTTTGTTAAACATTTGTGTGTGCATGCATGTTTTTACTAAAAATTAGATTTTTTAAAAATACAGATTTACTTCAATTTACATTAGAAAAGCTTTGGAAATCCATTAAGAGATGTAAAATAGCTATTTATTTGGCAGCAATGCAGTTTACCAGGCGCAACTTCGCCAGCTACCAGTATCTTAATTACTGCGCTATAGCGCTACCGATGTCTTGCTAATGCTATACCGTTACTGTGGCTCACGCTCGAATGCACTTGCACTCGTCTTTTCGAGCTGACCTGCCTTGGCAATCCAACACCCCTTTTCAGTCTTAGGGAGCTGACACACCTTGGCAGTCCAACATCCCTTTTCGATCTAAGGGAACTGACACGCCTGTCCGATCCAACACCCCTTCTCGATCCTTTGGGTTTGTCTGGTAAAGTTTAGAATTATCACTAAATTCTTACCTTTTCATGGTGTGTCCAATAATCCAATGAGGGTAATCATATTAGGGTAATCCATTTTAACATGTTTCACCACTCGACTGGTTTCTCATTTTGATGGACAATGGCAAGCGTGGCGTCCTCAATAAGATGGATGGAGAGGTTGTGATGTCAGTGACAGTACTGACACATGCACAATTCATTGTTTACTATTTGCATGAGGTGCTAATGACCTGTTAAATGAGCACTATTTACATATTTACATGTGATGGCGCTCGTGGTCCAGTGGTAAAGGGTCGGTTAATTAATGCACTAATTAGCCAAGCCGGTAGGGCGTTGAAGCACGTTTGAGCCCCGCAGAACGAATTGGATCTGAAAAGTGCGCCCGGTAAAGTGCACTATTCCCATTTCTTTAAACGATTTAAATTTTCTGATAATCACTGATCAAGTGTATGTTTTGATACTGAATCAATCAATGCATCCTGCATTTCAGTGAGGTATATCTAAACAATGTCTTGGTCAAGTGAACTCCCGCAGGAGCTTCTGTGTCGACCGACAGGCCTGGTTGTCCTGACTGGACTTGACGTCACCTACAATGCTGTACATAAACTCATCTGGGACTCGTTTTGTAACAACCGTCGTCCAGACAGAGTTCCCCTGCAATTCCGAGTCAGGGAAGGGGACTATGAATATCCTAAGTGCAAATCTAAGGTTGGTTCTTTAAAGGGGAAGTGTACACGCAAAAGTTACTTTCTTTCTTTTTCTAAACAAAACGCAATTTTAGAATTAGTTAGTATCTGTGTTTGAAAATATACACTCATTTTTTCACAGTGAAAGTAGGAAGCTCACAATAGTGTGAAAATGATATGCCGTTATGAGGCCTTCGTTTTTCGAGCTAAACAGGCCTGAGTTATCCCCCTTAGATTATGACGTAATTGGTGCCAATTCAACTGGGTCCCTGTCTATTCTCAACGCAAAAGATATCAAGTACCAATTTGCGGTAAAACAACATGGCCTACGACACACTCCGGCGCAGTGGTGACTCAGCATAACACTATGCTAGCTGGCATCTGAGAAGCAAGAATCACACAACTGTACCTACACCACGTGAAGCGGCTCTAACAAAGCATGATGACGTCATAATGTTTATCAATTGGCACCAATGACGTCATATTGCAAGGGGCATAAGCCATGGTGTTTTTGTTATGGAAATAGAACACTTGGTAAATGTGAAAAATATAAATAGCTTTAATGCGAAAACTATGTTGATTAATTGTGATATTTTTATATTTTTGTCTATGACACTTCTAGGTTAACACTTTTAATGTGGAAAAAGTACAAGAAATATAGGTTCATTTCCGTGTGAACTTGCCCTTTAACAGAGGTTAACATTTGTAAATATATCGGATTGGTTTTCACATGAGCAGTACTATCCATTATGAGATACATGTGTTTAACGGTATCACCATGATCAATGGTTTTGATAACGAATGATGAGATCTATAACTATTAAAGTGTTCTTTCAATATTTGCCTAGCATGCTAAATGATACAATACACGATACATGCCTTCGTTCAGATAACTCTCTGTGTAGTGTGCCAGTCTACACTGTAAAGGAATTGATATGGATAAAAATGTGCTCAAAGCAGTGAAAGTCTGAAATGATTACTGATATACTAAGCATGCTTAGTTGAAGCTTTGGTCATGTAATGCATATGGTAGCCTAACCAATTTCATCTCTATAATCATGATAATCATTTTCAAGAATATGATTATAGAATTTTGTGTATGTCGTCATGATAGAATACTCACAAAATATGTGTTATTTTCTGGTCACATGAACATGATGACAGTGACCATGGTGACTGTGTGTGCCAAAAAGATGAATAACATTTACCTTCTATAGATGAAATGGATGAAAACTGACATATTTCAGCTCACCTGCATGTCCGTGAATCATTACGACTTCTCTGAAACTGCAAGGCCTATTTAGCTGAAACTTAGTATGAATGATCACAGTTATGGTGTCTCTAAATCTCTGACTGAATTTGATTTCAAACATGACCGACTTTATTTCTTCTAAATTCAGGAACCCATGAAGATCTGGGTTAGAATAGGTCTTCAGCAACCCATGCTTACCTTAAAAGGCGACTATGCTTGTTGAAGAGGCGACTAACGGGAACGGGTGGTCAGGCTTGCTGACTTGGTTGATGCCTGTTATCAATCCCAATTGCGTTAATCGATGCTCATGATATCAATCACTGGATTGTCTGGTTCAGACACGATTATTTACAGACTGCCGTCATATAGCTGGAATATTGTTGAGTGTGGCGTTAAACATCAAACCAACCAACCAACCAAATCTAAATTCAGGTTTGATTCATGGCCCAGTGGCTCTTTTTTTTATTATTATTTACAGAGAACGTCGTACGAGTGGTACATCCCCAAAGGTGTACTGAAGACATCATGGATGAACAAGCACCTGAATGAGGTTCCTGCAGTGGTGGTGATCTTCTTCGACCTGGACTGGGATGAGACCATGTGGAAGGAGAGGCAGATGGAGTGTGCAACACGAGTGGAGATTGTCAGGTGAATACAAGTGTTGGGACTCGGTGGGGATTTCATCACCAATCATTGACTGGGTTCTTGCAAACTTGAAAGGGCATTGAAGTTAGTGCTGTTCAACATGTTCAGTGAAAAGTATTATTAATTTTCAAAGTGATTGAAAAGTGCTGGAAATGTATTAACATAATAACAATTCTTGAAAAGTGTTTTATGATTTATCATTCAGCGATTGGCCTGAACTTGTGTCTGGTTTGTTTTTCAGGAATAGCCTGCATGCTCGGGGCACGAAGGTGGCGGTCGTCCTCATACAGAGAAACACACCTCTCCCACCAGGTGAGTCGTGTGATAGAAACAGGTGCAGTGCCTGGATGTGACCAACTCTTGTGAGTGTATGGTTTTGTGCTGGTGGTAATGCCACCGTAGTCTGTAGATAGATTGCCTGACTGGTTAGAAGGTGGTGGTTCCATTACCTGGACACGTCATACCAAAAGCTGTTAAAAGATGGCTAATGTTAAACCCTGCTTGTGCTCTGCATTTAGGGGATAAAACAAGGTCTGGTCGACTTAGAATCAGTATTTTGTTTGTGAGTGGGGTATTCATGTTAAACTGCGGCTTAGTACCTCAGTGGGATAACACCATAAAACCAGCACAAGTCCAGACCAGAACACATGGTACAGGCAGCCACACACACATGCATGCATGCAAGTCTCTATGTAAGTGAATAATCTTGAACACGACGTTAAACCCCATTTCACCTCACCTCACCTTATGTGAATGGGGGACTATAATGATGGCTTCAAACACTGCGAGTGAGTGCCAAGTTGCCTGCCTGCAAAAAACTTGTTAGTTTTATTAATATAAGACTGTAAATATATAAAGGACGAGCTATCAGATGACATCCTACTTTTTGAAATGTTAATTTGATATTACCAGTTCCTGGAACTTTTGAACAAATAGAACTTGAAATACATGCATTTTTGTTTGGTTAACTATGTTAAAATATGGAAAGACACATCCCTAGAATCTGGGACAGGGTGTTGTAACTGATGTTGTGTGTGTGTTGCAGGTGAGGATGTTGTTGCGGCGGAAAGAGCTGCATCTATATGCAGTATGTGTGACATATCGGCCAAGTCTCTGTATGTCCTGCCCCACACCGACCATCTCATCGGCTACACCATCAGGTACTGTGGGACGTCACGCTGTGTGTTGCAGCTTATGTGTTGGTACTCAGTTACTTACTACTGGATCCAGAGGTGGTGTGTACACCCCTCTTTGGAAGAACATTAAACATGGGTCCGAGTAGTCCTGTGGGTACCCGGGTCCTACTCAGTACCCACCCGAGCCGAGTACCCGAGTTACCCGTTCCAGACCGACATATGACCTTATTGTTTCAGACTTGAGAATGCCTTCTATGAGCTGGCCCAAGGCTACTACCACACTGAAGCCAGGAAGGTGAAGTCCCACAAGGACTTCCTCAACAAGACCACACACCAGGTATGTATGCACTGCTGTATATTCACCGGGGGCACTGGTGGCGTAGTTGTCTCAGGCGCTGCTGTGCAGAAACCTATGACTGTGGGTTCCAGTTCTGCCCTGCTTGGGTTTCTAGGTTTGTCAGCACCACACCAATGTTCTTGGGTTTCACCAAAGTGATTAACGTGCATCACTTCTGGCTTTCCACATCAATCGGACATGCCATAATTGTAACTGAAATACTGTTCAAAGTGGCATGAAACTTAAATGTGCGTGTAACTGACTAGCTCATTTGCACTCACTTACCCACCCAAACACTCTCTCACTCTCTCACTCTCTCACTCACTCACTCACTCACTCACTCGTAGGTTGAATCCCAGTTAGCCCTGATTATGTTTCTAGGGTTCTCAGCACCCTACTCGTGCATTTCATCAACAGTGGCAAACGTCTGAGACCTGCATCAATTTGGGCTTTCCTCCCACGTTTATTTCACACACCATGTTATAACTAGAATACTGTTTAATGCGGCATTAAAACCATCTCTCTCTCACTCACTCACTGATCACTTGGATATTTACAGTTGCTGTTTGTCCGTCACCAGTTCAAGATAGCCTTCTTCAATGAGTTGAAACAGGACACCCATACTGCCCTCAAGTATGTAACTTGTCAACATCACCAAAGTATTTTTTTAAAAATAATACCTGACCAATACCAATGTTGCCTTTTCTTCCTTAAAACTTGCGTAACTTCAAAATATTTTGCCTCTCAAAGATGTCTCACACTCTAAGCTGCATCTTACATGTTGGGATTAATTTGTGTATCTCGACACGTGTTCTCCATGTTCATGCCCACCCTATCTAGAATTCATTTAAGAAGCTGACTCTGAATGTGTTAACTCCTGAATTTTTATTAAACCCCCGACCTTTTAGGTCGGGGGGTATATAGTTATACCAAGGTTCCATCTGTCTGTCTGTCCATCCGAAAACTTTGTCCCCGCGATTTCTCTTAAACTAATCAGTGAATTCATCTCAAACTTAGTGCATATAATCTGTGTCATATGGAGGGGTGCAGTCAAAAGAAAAAAAAAATTGTTTTTATTAATTTTCCATTTTTTTAGGAATTTTTCAAACCCTAACCCTATCCATTATTTAATTTGAAACTACTGACACACTAGGCGGGTCGGGGGTATTAGTGAGCCAGGCTCACTTTTGCCCTTGTTTTATTCTTATTGTGGACTGTTAACATGCTCATCCTGTTTGTGCTACAGACACTACAAACAGGCCTATGGTCACATCCTGGACCTGCGCATGTATGATACAAACATGATGGAGATCAAGACGATAGCCGGATTTGTCAATTACAAGGTAAAGTGGAGGGTTGCAGCCTGTATGTGACCAATGATAAATATTAAATCTCAGAATTTGTCTTTTAAGGGATTGTGATTTTATAGACATACCATAATCAGCTGAAGGGTATTCTGGTGTGTGGTAGCCCAGTGGTTGAAGTATTTGCTCATCACACTGAAGACCTGGGTTCAATTCCCTTAGGCCCCTCCATTGGTTCCAGGGGCGGTCGGGTAGCCTAGTGGTTCAAGCGTTCGCTTGTCACGCCGAAGACCCGGGTTCGATTCCCGACATGGGTTCATTGTGTGAAGCCCATTTCTGGTGTCCCCCGCTGTGATATTGCTGGAATATTGCTAAAAGCGGCGTAAAACCATACTCACTCACTCACTCCATTGGTTCCATCTGCTATGATATTGATGAAATATTGGAAAGCAGTGTAAAACCAAATAACTCACTTTGAATGTTTTCTCCAGTAATCCAATGATTGTACAACGAATGGTTAGATATTTCAAGTGTTGGTGTGCAATCATACTTCAGTGATTGTGAAAAATTATCATTTTAGAAGTTTCACAGCATTTAGGTTTTGTTTCATAGTTTTCCAATGCTATATTTGGCGGTCGGGTAGCCTAGTGGTTAAAGCGTTCGCTTGTCACACCAGTTCGATTCCCGACATGGGTACAATGTGTGAAGCCCATTTCTGGTGTCCCCCGCCATGATATTGCTGGAATATTGCTAAAAGCAGCGTAAAACCATACTCACTCACTCACTCACTCCAATGCTATTTTCTGTCAGATCTGTCGGCTATCGTTCCAACACAACGCTCCTCTAGATGCCATTGCTCAGTTCCGGAAACACATTGACTTCTTCAAGAGCAAACCAAGCACAGCTGAACTGGCATTTGAACACAGTGCCTGGATGTCTAAACAGTGAGTGACAGCTATCTGGTGTTCAGTATCGACCATGATGAATATTCTATGTATTTTATGTGTTTGTATTTAAATACTCTTACAGTATTGTTGAATATTTCCTTCCTCAACTTAAACTTATGATAAACATTTTGATCAATGCTTTCTTACATCACTTAGCATGAGTAACAAATGGGTAATGGGTAATGACTGACATTTCTAAGGTACAAAATATAGTCAATCTTTATTATATGTGAAACAGATTTCTACTTGGAGACCAAATGTTAAGATCATCAATATTCTTGCAGATCTTTTTCACCCTTTATTAATGAATTTACCCCGATATTACAGAGAGACAATTGCACAAGAGACACTGGTTAGTTTGATTACTCTAAGCTGTATGGGCGATGACGTTTAGATTCCAGGTGTTCGGTGATCTGTTTGACGAGGCGATTAAGCTGGGCCTGACAGCCATACAGACTCAGCACCCCGGGTTCTACTACCAGCAGGCTGCCAACCACGCCATCGCCCGAAAACACCTCTGTGAAGAACTATGCCAGGTATTCAACATTTGTAGAATTGGGGGAAACTTAAGTAGATCTGGAATATACTTTGGGAATTCGTGGGCCGAGTTCCAAGTCCCATGATGCCATGCCTGTCGAAGAGCTACGTGAAATATTAAAATATTTGTTTGTTTGTTTAAAGCTGCACTCAGCAATATTTCAGGTGTATGACAGTGGTCTGGACCAGACAATCCAGTGATTGACATCATGAGCATCTATCCACGCCATTGGTATATGATGACATGCATCAACCAAATCAGCAAGCCCAATTCTGTTAGTCACTTTTTACAACAAGCATGGGTTGCTGAAGACCAGTACTAACCTGGATGTTCACAGATAAAATTGTGAAATAAGCAATATTACATGTTACAATGTGTAACCTGGTTGATTGCCTGTTAAGGTACCCCAATGGCTTGGCTTGTTGCTCATGTTGATCATGTGCTGACTTGTCTGACTCGCGGATTCGAATAATGACATAACTGGAACAAAGCTGACTGTGGCATTAAACAACAAAACAAAACAAAACACTCACTCACACTCACTCACTCACTCACTCACTCACTCACTCTAACACTCTAACACTCTAACACTCTAACTCACTCACTCACTCACTCATCCACCCACTCACTCACTCACCCACCCACTCACTCTAACACTCACTCACTCTAACACTCACTCACTCACTCACTCACTCTAACACTCTAACACTCTAACACTCTAACACTCTAATATGACAGTGCCATTTCCATCAACATGATCAATACAAACATTTACCGTTACATTAATTCATTGTTCACTACCAATTACTACCTGTCGAGATCCGGGTTAGATTGGGTCTTAAGCAACCCATGCTTGTTGTAAGAGGCGACTGACACGATCGGGGGGTCAGGCTCGCTGACTTGGTTGATGCTTGTCATCATATCCCAATTGTGTAGGCCGATGCTCATGATATCAGTCACTAGATTGTCTGGTCCAGATTCAATTATTTACAGACTTCCGTCATATAGCTGGAATATTGCTGAGTGCGGCGTTAAACAAGAAAACAAACCAATTACTGGTAAACCCCATGGCACCCCTTCCTCTTTGTAGTCTCCATAACAACAGTCACTACTGGCCTGTGATGAAGAGGAGCACGTCCTAATGTTAACATATGTATGTATTTCAGCCAAGCAGTGAGCCACCCACGCCAGACCCGTTCCAAAACGTGTCTCGGCTGGAATACTACGGCCAGCGACCCTGGAGACAAGGCCATCAGAGTAAGAACAGTGTTGTCTTATATCGGCTTTACCTGTGTGTTGTACTAGTACCCGCAGTGGTACATATTACACTGCTTCCTAAACCCCAGAAAACTTACCTATTAATTATATACAGATTATATACAACAGTTGTCTGCATGACAGTATTGAGCAGTCTGTGACTTTAGCCACTAGTCCAAAGCCAGAGTCACATAAAATGTCTTTTGGTATTATGCTTTGCTTATAACAGTCCATACTTTAAAACTAAGATCTAGTGAAAATAATGTAAAGTTTTGGGCACAGACTGATTTAGATGTGTGACTGACTTTTCAGGTATTGACCCCCCTGATGCCCAGAAGGAGAAGGAAGGGATTACAGGCTTGCAGTGTCTGGAGAAGCAAGTCGACCACTCTGTGAGTTCAAGTTACAATATGCCCTATATACACTCTCGCATGTATGGGCGTGAAATGAGGGCTGCACCAACTGACAGTACTAATACACATGGCTCTCAGCAAACCATTTTTGAATGAAGTCAGGATCAGCAGTTCTGCTCCATTGGAATTCTTGGGATGTTCATTTGTTGTTGGGGTAGCCTAGTGGCTAAAGCGTTTGCTCGTCAACCTGAAGACCGAGGTTTGATTCCCCACAATGGTACAATATGTTAATAAGCCTGGTGTCCCCTGCAGAGATATTGCTGGAATATTGCTAAAAGCGACATAAAACCCTACTCACCAACTCATTTGTATTTGCGCTTGTAAGGCACCACAACCCAAGTTGCAGAGTTGTCTCCCTTAACTGCCAGGATCTGCTGTTTGTGGGTTCTGATTCCAGAATTGCCTGTATAAGAATCCTTGGTTTGTTAGAACCATGTTCATGCACATACTTAAATACAGTTAAAAGCACCTACTCTTTGTTTTAGCATGTACTTGAGTGCTACACAAGTTTCAAAACTTATTCTTTGTTTTAGGGTGTTCATAGGAGTCAATATGTTCTGTTTTGTCTTGGACATGTTACGAAAATATATACACCATGTACACCTATTGGGTGTCTTTTCTAATTCAGGTAGTACCTGGCAGTTTGAATGCATGCCAATGTTTCTAACAAATCTGATTTTGATTCACATGAATTGACAGTTATTTTACAATTGAACTGAATCATCATTACAGTGGCTGATAATCCCCCTGTTGAGCAGTGCTGTCAGTCAGTTCAAGAAGTACAAGTCTCCCAGACTGAAGAGGAGTCTGAGTAAGCACCTGAACCTAATCTTTCCTGAATGCTAGTTCGAAAATAACAAGTGCTTTTCAAAGTTAATGTCCACTTTTTCATTCCACGAAACAACGACTTTCCTAAGAGATGTAAGAGTGAGATAGCCTAGTGGTTAAAGCATTGGTTCATCTCACCGAGAACCAGGTTTAAATCCCCACATGAGAACTACCTGGGAAGCCCAGTTCTTGTTTCCCGGTTGTGGAATGGCTGGAATATTGCTGAAAGTGGCCTGGACCATGCTTAACCCTAACTCACTTACTCTTTCAGAATAGATAGATGAGTAACATATTAATCATCTTAATTGATAAAGTACACTTTTAATGTAAATATTAGAAATATGCACATTATTATGTTTATCACCAATTTATGTCATTAAGTTTCGTTAATCTGTAGAACAAATTGCGTGTCCATTTTTCCAGTGGTCCAAATGGGAGAGGAGTACTTCCACGCCAAAGACTACAGTAAGGGACTGATGTGAGTTTATTTCCTATATAATCAGGTATACTCCCAGGTATCAGGACTGAGTGTTCTGTGTTTTATCAGGTATAAGCCCAGGTATCAGAACTGAATGTACTGTGTTCTATCAGATATAAGCCCAATTTATCAGAACCAAGTGTAATGTGTTCTATCAGGTATAAGCCCAGGTATCAGAACTGAATGTACTGTGTTCTATCAGATATAAGCCCAATTTATCAGAACCAAGTGTACTGTGTTTTATCAGGTATAAGCCCAGGTATCAGAACTGAATGTACTGTGTTCTATCAGATATAAGCCCAATTTATCAGAACCAAGTGTAATGTGTTCTATCAGGTATAAGCCCAGGTATCAGAACTGAATGTACTGTGTTCTATCAGATATAAGCCCAATTTATCAGAACCAAGTGTACTGTGTTTTATCAGGTATAAGCCCAGGTATCAGAACTGAGTGTTCTGTTTCCTATCAGGTATAAGCCCAGATTTCATAACTAAATGTACTGTGTTCTATCAGGTTTAAGCCCAGGTGTCAAACTAAATGTACTGTGTTCTATCAGCATTGATCAGGTAAAAGCCCAGGTATCAGAACTGAATGTACTGTGTTCTATCAGGTATAAGCCCTGGTATCAGAACTGAATGTACTGTGTTTATCAGGTATAAGCCCAGGTATCAGAACTAAATGTACTTTGTTCTATCATGTATAAGCCCAGGTATCAGAACTAAATGTACTGTGTTTATCAGGTATAAGCCCGGGTGTCAGAACTAAGTGTAGGGTGTTATATCTCTTATTGGTTGATTTGATACCTGTAACATCAGTGTGTGGTTTGTGAGAGGTATGAACTAACGATGTCTGTCTGTGACCCAGGCTGCTGAACAAGGTGATGTGGGACTACCGAGTGGAGCGCTGGTGGATTTTGCTCACCTCCATCTTGTCACTGTCTCTCAAGTGTGCCTACCTCACTGCAAGACTCCAGGAATATGTCTCCAACTGTATCGAGCTCATCGGAAAATGTATCCTTCCTACTGTATCAATGAATCGTTAATGCCACAAAGCCAGTTTAGCACCAAGGTGCTGTTGTACAAAACAACCTTAGCGCTACAACTGTCGTAAGTCTATGTTAAGGTATGGGAGTTACGATCACCTTAGTGCTAAGATCATGACTTTTAGTACTCCTAGCACGGACTAGTTTCAGGGATGTATCTTGACCTGTTTGCAGCAACTGTCAAATACAAATTTCCCTTTTTTTTATTCATGTTAATACGGTAATAACTAAGATGACTTGTATTTCACTGATACAGGACCAATAAAGAGGGAGAGGCTTTAATGCATCATTTACATTATTGTATCGTGTATAATGTGAAAATACAATGTGAAAATACCTTTGAAAGTTAGAAAATAAGAATTTGAGAAAATCCCAATTGGAACAAACTAGCATTATTTTCCCAATTTTCTTCCCAAGGATACTTAGTTTGGATTCCAAGATAACACCCTGAGTTGAGTAGTTTTGGAAACAACAGCTTGATATTAATTTATTGGCTGTATTGTATTATTGTATGGTAAATGAATCAGTAAATGCCCCATTATATTACATTTTACCTGCTGATGATGTCTGCTACATTTTGCCACTAACTGTCATGAGTGAGTGAGTGAGTATGGTTTTACGCCACTTTTAGCAATATTCCAGCAATATCACGGTGGGGAACACCAGAAATGGGCTTCACACATTGACCGCCCCCTTACTGTCATGAGAGATATTTAAAAACGGGTACTTCAATTAAAAAAGTTGAAAATCAGTATAATCCTGATAATGTAGAACCCTCATTTTGAATGTGTAAGATGAACTAAATCAAGGTTTTTCATTCTTTATGTCCAAGTTCATGGTGAAACAAATCCCTACCTGGCTTTATGCAAAGATAGCAGCTGTTGGAGTAGAGTAGGATTATCAGTATCTATTATATGAACCTTATGAAGAATATGTAAAGGTGATGCAGTGCAAGAACAGCAGGGGACCAGTCTATTAGCATATGGTACATTATAATGGCTGCAGGGAATTTGATAAGCATGACATATAGTTTGGGCCAATCAGTGTAGGTACACTAAAGTGAAGTTGTGAATGGTGGCATGCTTCAATGAAGGAGGCTGCTTGTGTCTAGCTAAAAGTTCAGCAGAATAAACAAATATAACAAGTAGTCCATTGGTCAGATGCAGAATTTGCACCATTGACAGCAGAGATGGAAAATAGCACTTGCCTGTAGGTCCAAGGCTAGTAGAAATTACCTTGGGCTAATAAAATTATGATTGTACTCGCTCGTTGGACCGAGGTTTTTTTACACATGCTGTAAATTAGATATCGTCCTCTTGATTCCCCCCGTCAAATGGTCACACTAGATATTGGCACAACCTTAAGATAACGACTGAAATTTAAAGCCCTGTGTCCTTGTTTGGTTTTTGAGTTAATTTCCATCCCTGGATAAAAGTTGTTGCTTGTCATCATTTTCACAGTTGATGTTGGTGTTAACATATTACATTATATGGACTATCACTAACTGGACCATAAATACTTTTGCTAGACTCAGGCCATGGACTTAAGGTTAAAATCGCAGACTGCTTGATTCTGTATGACATGTATCAAATCTAATGATGACTTCTTTAACAAGGGCAGATTGTCTGTGCAGCCCTGAGGAGAAGACTCGAATTCAGATGAACCTGATCCGAGTCATGTCTGTAAGTTATTTGCTTAAGTCCTGACCGGAGACATGGTATAAATATGCTAAACACTTGATGAGTCTATACATCGTAGCTTCTTAACCAGGAAATAGCCACAAGCGGCTTGACTCCTTTTTCGACACATACTTTAGAACCTTAAATGGAAATAAGGGCATTATCTTTGAGCGGCATTTACAAGATGGATATGTAACTGATGTCCACAAGGTAAAAAAAATATGGATCATTGCATGATCAGATTGTTGATTACAAATGTAGCGTTGATTACAAATGTAGCGATGTGTCAAGGAGATTAGAACACTGTTATCAAGCTTGTACGTACATGTGTATACTGGCTGTCAGGTTGCCCAAAAGAAGTGCCAAGATACCTGGTGCTGTCTTCTTTTATAAGAGGGTGTCAACCCCCTTTTGATACACTGGATCCAATCCCTGTTACCATATTTGACATATTAAGCGCCCAGGGAACTCTCAAAATTAGAAATAGGGGGCTCTTATTTGAATATTATTTTAGTGAACAAAACAGAGTTGAAAGATAAATATCGTAGTTTATGCTGACAGCCTGAAATGTTTATGTACGACAGATGTATTTTTCCAGAATTAATTAACTGTGCACATAACACACGAGTGCGTATTATGCGTGAATAAATAAGTGTTGTGTACATTGATCAATCGGAAGGGGTGCTAATTGGGATCGTTCACTAGCCAATATATTAGCAAATATCGCCGTGGGGGCTTATTAGAGCAGGGCGCTTAATACGTCGAATACGGTTAGTGGTATTCCAGATGATGCAGTGCAGTACACTACTACACTGTATGCCATGAAATCTTTAACAGGTACGCGATCATCAATATTTATATGTTGAAATTTATTTTCGTCCTTTTTTCTTGCAAAGAGTGACAAATCGATAAATTACTTAGCTCAAAGCTTATGAGCATGCATGGTCATGCATTCTATGTGAAACGCCCAGCCTAATGTACACCAGCTGTGTTCCCTGATATGACTCAAGACTACTTACATTGGAAATACTGTCATATAGTCAAAGTGATCAGGGCCCCGTTCCACAATGCGATCTTAGCGCTAAGACTGTCGTAAGTCTATGTTAAAGTATGGGAGTTACGATTGTCTTACGGCTACGATCGCTTTGTGGAACGGGACCCAGGCTGATTGTATTGTTGCAGGGAGAAATCATTGCAGTTAATGTAACACTCAGTGTTGTTTGCTTGACCCTTTATTTGTTTCATTCCAGAATGACCTTCCTGAGCCGGAACCTGTTTTAGAGAAGGATGGGTTAGAGGCTGCCCACACGGAGTGGACAGAGGCCATGTTGGAGCCCACGGTCTTCACGGTGGAGATGCAGAGTCTCGTTCCGTTCGGTCAGTTTACAGATGGGGTTTAGTTTCACACGTTGTCAGTAATAAATCAATTAGGCTACGTCCACTAACCATGCCCCAGCTGCTGTTCCCTGATTGGCTAATCACAGAGTGGGCACTGCTTGTGTTGCATCATTGCACTGAACTATAACGCTGATTTCAAATTGTTGTCTACATTTTGTGTGTTTTAAAGGTTAAATAAGCTTCGTTTGTTTGCTTGTTGTTTAATGCCACACTCAGCAATATTCCAGCTGTATGATGGCTGTCTGTCAATTAAGTCTGGACCAGACAATCCAGTGATTGATATGAGCTTTGATCTACACAATTTGGATACAATGACATGCATCAACCAAGTCAGCAAGCCTGACCAACTGATCCTGTCAGTTGCCTCTTACGACAAGCAAAGTCGTCTCTTACGACAAACATGGGTTTGAAGAACTATTCTACCCTGGATCTTCGCGGGTGGATTAAATAAGCAGCCTGTGAAGATATTACTGTTGACTTACTATTTATACGAACTGCCCCTTGGGCTTCAGGTTGGAATACTTCCCTAGCACTCTGTTGCTTGTCCTAGGAGGCTACTACGTTGGTGGTTAGGTTCAGTGACTTGTTAGAAAGCGTGCAATCATACCCCAACAGTGTGGGATGTTACTCATGATATCAACCTCTGGTTTAGCAAACCCAAACACGATTATTATCAGGGTGCCATGATATGGCTGGATTCTTACTGACTGTGGTGTAAAAGTCAACAAACAAAACACATGACTGCAATACTGTGTGAGGGATTTATCTAGATCTGCTCGGAGGCCGATATTCAACTCCATGTCAGCAGCAAATGTCTAAAACAATTCCCAATTTGGAGACCAATGAAGATCCGGGGTACAATAGGTCTTCAGCAGCCCATGCTTGCCATAAAAGGCGACTCTGCCTGTCGTAAAAGGCGACTAACGGGATCGGGTGGTCAGGCTCGCTGTCTTGGTTGATGCATGTCATCGATCCCAATTGTGTGGATTGATGCTCATGATATCAATCACTGGATTGTCTGGTCCAGACTCGATTATTTATAGACCGCCGTCATCTAGCTGGAATATTGCTGAGTGCGGCGTTAAACAACAAACCAACCAACCAACCCAATTTGAAATTACAAATTTCTCACTTCCTGCTGTTAGAGTAATGGCTTGGTCAAGGTGACTTGTATTCCACTGGTAACTGCCAATAAAGAGGAAGATGATTTTATGCTTGGCTATACATTTTTGCATTGAATGCAATATTAACTTCTAATGTAGGAAAATTGGATTTTGAAGAAATATCGCAAATTTGAACAAAAAAACAATGTTTTCTCAGTTTGTCTGCCAAGGGCACCTATTTTGGAATCAAAGATAAATCCTGCATGTGTTTATCTCACTTATAAACAGTGTTTATACCATGTGTTTATATCGTGTCTAAACTGTGTTTATACCATGTGTTTATCTCACATTTATACTGTGTTAAGACCACATCTTTATCTCATGTCTATACTGTGTTTATACCATGTGTTTATATCACATCTGTACTGTTTATATAATGTGTTTATATCACACCTATACTGTGTTTATACCATCTGTTTATCTCATGTTTAAACTGTGGGGGGCACAGGTGGCACACTCGTCTAAGGCGCTGCGATTTGCTGTGCAGAGTTGCGTCCCTTGGGCACGCCAGTAACCTATGATCTAAGCCCGGTTCGCCCCGATTATGTTTCTAGGTTTGTCAGCAGCATACCCATGCTCGTGGGTTTCACCGAAGTGGTAAAGGTCTGAGACCTGCATCACTTTGGGCTTTCCTCCCACATTAAGCTCATACGCTGTGATATGACTGGAATACTGTTAAAAGCGTCTGTAAACCCAACTCACTCACTCTAAACTGTGTTTATACCTTGTGTTTATCTCACGTCATACTGTATTTCTAGTGGAGTGCAAGGCCAGGTTCCTCGGGGAGACAGTGTCTGCTGACAATGAGATCACTCTGGAGGTCTGTCTCAGGTGAGATCCATCACGTTACTCTGTGCCATGATATGAATATCGTACTATGAGGCTGTGTCCCGTTACAATGTGGTACATATATACATAAGGGTGGCATGTAAATTGTATGAAATTAATATTTTCTTTATTGTGAAATTAATTCACTCAAAACTACTTCATGTGTTTTGGTTGGGCTTCTGGTCACTGCCTTTCTAGAAGGAATATGTCTCCTAGCATGGAGTTTTAATGTGCTGGATCGTGGATCGTGACCCCGCAGCCATAACGTGTATGTGGGACCGTCTACCATCATTCGTTAGAAGTATATGTTGAGATTACTGTACATAATATTGTTTTATTTAAGAAATAAAGGACTTGTTGTCCGACATTGCAGAGGTCGGATTCTATTTAGGGAGACATCATTATTTAAATATGGGTACATTTTTTTAAAGCTTCTACAATTCATTATTATTTATGAGGGGAAAAGCCCCTCATGGTTTATTCTCCCTGTCTTTTTTCCGTATATGAGATATCAACATTTTGTACAGCCTTTATAAGGATGTCAATAGCTTTAAAAACATTTACCCGTAGTCAAAAAATGATGTCTCCCTAAATAGAATCCGACCTCTGCAATGTTGGACAACAACATTTTGTGTACAGGGGGTTTAACTTCTCACACTTTTCACGTTTATTATTTGCACCTTTTCTTCCAATACTGATTGTCATATCTCTCCCACTTTTGGGTGCGATCGTTCGGCCATTGCGTTCATCTGTGCTGTCCAGCCACCTCTATGGGGAACAACTCACTAGACACTTCCCTTTAAAAAACAATGTGGTCCAATTTATGACGTAATCAAGTTTCGAGCGCATGTTGGAATCTCCAGATATGATGTCATAGAAGAACAATGTTTTATCGTGAAATAAACCATGCTTCATTCTTCATTGTTCTTTGCGATTTATTCCGTAGCTATCTTATATTGATAAATATCACTCGAGATGTTTTTGTACAAGTTGCAGAAATCCTTATTCCCTTGACAGGCAGCCACGCAGTCTTTTGTATGCGTTAGATCCTCTATTGCTTACTATCAAAGTGTATTGTTCCAGAATTAGAAAAATACCTGGCCAAAGCTGAAGGGATATGATGTTTGTGGACGAGGTGGTGTAAGTGAAATTGATGTTGGTTTGTTTTTCAGAGTCAGCTGTCCCTTCCCAGTTCGCTTTTCCAAGCTGTCGATTCTCTTCAACAACCAGGTAACTACATCCACATCCACATTTGTTGTTCTTTCAACCCGAGGGGCGAAGGGGCCCCAGTCTCTAAGGCGCCACAATTCGCTGTGAAGAGTTGCCTCCCTTGGACACGCCAGACACTTAGGATGCTGGATTTGTCAGCACTATACCCGTGCTGGTGGATCTCTAAAGTCGTAAAACATGAAAGACCTGCATCACTTTAGGTTTTCCTCCCTCATTAAGCAGACACACCTTGATATAAATGGAATACTGTTGAAAGTGGCGGTAAACCCAACTCACTCACTCTTTCAGCCCTGTGAGGATTCTTGGTAAGAATAGTTATCAACCTATTCTTTTTGTAAGAGTCGACTAAATAGAGCAGGCTGCAGGCTCTCTGACATGATTAGTTGCTTGTCATCCTACCCTGATGGCATGGGACTATTTTGGGAAAGTAGACTCTGAAATGTTTGGCATGGACTGAATATGACAAGTCACTATGAGACCCGTGAAGATTCGGGGGTAGAATAGGTCTTCAGCAACCCATGCTTGCCGTAAAAGGCCACTAACGGGATCGGGTGGTCAGGCTCGCTGACTTGGTTGATGCATGTCATCGATCCCAATTGCGTGGATCGATGCTCGTGATATCAATCACTGGATTGTCTGGTCCAGACTCGATTATTTACAGACCGCCGTCATATAGCTGGAATATTGCTGAGTGCGGCGTTAAACAACAAACCAACCAACCAACCAACCACTATGAGTCTGGCAGTAATAGATGAAGCGCTGTTTGTGTCTGCAGGCGTACAATGAACACTGTGAGATGACGGACACGCGGGGGATGAATGCCGCAACTGAGGGGGACAGTGACGGTGGTGACCTCTATCTGGTGCCAGGGAAACTCCGGATCTACAGGTTCACCTTCCTGCCACTGAAGGAAGATGTCAGGAGCCAGATTGAGGTAAACTTGATGGCTCTTGACTTCCTAGGGTGTCTAGTGTTGAGTAGGCTTTGATGATGCAGAACAGTAAACAGATAATTTCCTGGTAGGTTCACAAAGATGGATTTTCTAAACCAATGCTCAAGCTAATGCAGTCTCATTAAAATCAGATATGTTACTCCGTCATGATAATCCTGCTTGAAGATCCGACGCCACCGCAGGTCGTGTCAGTTGAACCCTGTGCAAATTTTGACCACCCAATTAAAATGAAGGATGTGAGGGTTCTTGAGCCAAACAGATAGCAGCTTTCAAAACAATTCGGCTATATATATTTTCTGCCTTGATTAGGAGATTTCCATAATAGCTAAAGCCACATAGCCACATAGCCACATACCACAAATATACCCTCCACAGTACATCTTTTTGGGTGTAGATGCCATGTCATTTAGACGACTTGATGTATAAAATATCCACAACAATATGTTAGTGCAGCTTTATGTTTATGCATTTGGAACTCCCTGATTATATTCGTTTTCAAGATAAAGAAAACTGATATGCTTGTCTGAATGTTTTCGTCACTTGTACCAAGAATTTAGAAGCCTTGACACATTAGAAAGTTCACCTGATGTAATCTATGAAGGTGGCCTCAGATCTTCATGCAGAGAGGAGGGGGAACTGGTGGCCCAGTCGTCTAAGGCGCCGCAATTTGCTGTGGAGAGTTGCGTCCCTTAGGCACGCCAGAAACCTATGATTATGGGTTCGAATCCTGGTTCGCCCCGTTTATGTTTCTAGGTTTGTCAGCACCATACCCGTGCTCGTGGGTTTCACCAAAGTGGTAAACGTCTGAGGCCTGCATCACTTCGGGCTTTCCTCCCACATTAAGCTGACATGCTGTGATATAACTGGTATACTGTTAAAAGCAGCGTTAAACCCAACTCACTCACCCACTCTTGCAGAGAGGTATTGTATAGTGAAACGGGAATTTAGAAAATCATAGAAATAATCTCATTATGAAAGTGAAATTCCCTTAGCAATATGCTTTGTTGTTAAGGACTCGATTTGATTATGATTATATCAATTATTTCCGGTAGATATCATCAGTTGCCGTGGAGATGGGATCAGAAAGAGGCTGCTGTGCTGTGTTGCGGTGGCTTGGTGGTGGCGGTGATGTCATTTCCACCCCGCTGTGTGCCCAGGCCAACATGTCGCGGCGCCAGCACCCGTCCAGCGGGAAGGTGCTGTGGGAGGAGTTCTCCGTCAGCCATGTTATCAGGTGACCACATCTTTGTTGTATTTATATCATGCTTTGTCAAGAGTCACAACACTTGCAGTCGAATCCTGTTGTCTCAAAGTCATGGGGACCAGATAAATAGTTCAATTTATCTGGGGTGCGTCACATTCTATTCGACCTTATTACCATCTGAGGTGGAGAAGCATCTGGGTCCACTTGCACAAAGTTATCTGAGCTAAGATGATCGTAACTCCCATACTTTAACATGGGCTTACGATAATCTTAGTGCTAAGGTCGCTTTGTGCAAGTGGGCCCAAATCCATATGCTGGTTAAGCCAGGTCCTTTACTAGATTGCTAAGTCATGTTGCTTTTGTGTTTCAGGCCATATCATGTTTTGGTCATTATCATAATTATATTTGCTGTAAGTTTTATCTTGTGCTCAGTTGTGTTTTTCGAAAATATTAAGTTTGACTTATCAGGGAAAGTTTTAACTTATTTTTGGGGACTATAAATTGAGTTCAAAACAAATGGGAATCGAAGAAATCTATCTTGTGTTAAATATGGTAACATGAAGTGCGAACAGTTCAACTGTGATGTGACAAGCAAGTGACATCAAACATAATAACATTGGTTTTACGAAGATTATGAAACTTTCGTAAGTATATCAAGTAATCAGGCAAGTGAAGAAATAAAAATGAGAAAATATTTCATTGTTCGGATTAACAATGTTTGGTTTTGAAGATGTAATAAAATGAGTAATTGACATGAAATTTTCAGTCAGGAATAAAAAAGTCTTTGAACAGTGTTATCTAGCATAATGGGGTGAGCACTGTATGGAGCTGTGTGTGTACAATCTTCCATGTGTCCCCCCTCAGAGTGGTCCCCCGGGAGGCCAAGTTGGACCTGCAGGTGGAACACAAGCCTCCCAGCCTCCTCAATGAGTTCTACAAGTTCAATGTTACCATCACAAACAAGGAAACGGAGACTATCTCCGACGTCAGGTAATTGAAGTCTTAAGTACTGTGTGATTGAGTTGAATTATCTCTTCCAATATGTGCATGTTAGTTTTATGAATAAGTCTTCATTCCACTTGAACTGGATATGAACTTGAACCATCCAAGTCTGCTTTATTGAGATGCAGCAGTTGGACCTGACATGAAGACAGAATGAACTTTTAGATTTCAAATTTCTTATTTTTTGGTCAATTAAATCATAAGTCACTAACACATGAAGATCCGGGTTAGAATTGGCCTTCAGCAACCCAGCTTGTTGTAAGAGGTGACTAACGGGATCGGATGGTCAGGCTTGCTGACTTGGTTGATGCATGTCATCGTATCCCAGTTGCTTGGAATGATGCTCATGATGTCAATCACTGGATTGTCTGTTCCAAACTCGATTATTTACAGGCCACCAGACAAACAAACAAAGATGCCACTCGACTGTGTAGCTTGCATTCAGTCAAGACCACCTCCAGTGTTCTATCCCTGGCCGCGCCGACCGCCTCCGTGGTCAAGTGGTAGAGCGTCCGCCCGGAGAACGGAAGGTCCTGGGTTCGATCCCCGGCCGTGTCATACCAAAAGACGTTAAAAGATTGTACTTGTTGTTACCCTGTCTGGCGCTCGGCATTAAGGGGCTAAAACAAGGACTGGTTGGCTCAGAGTCAGTATACTGTGTCTGAGTGGGGTATTCATGTTAAACTGCGGCATGGTATCTCAGTGGACTAGCACTATAAATCGGCATCAGTCCGGACTAGTACAAGCAGCCACACACACACACACACACACATGCATGCACGTCGCTATATAAGTGCAATCATCTTGGACGCGACGTTAAATTCCAATTCACCTCACCTCACCTGGCCGTGCCGTACCAAAAGACTTTAAAAGATGGTATTTGTTGTTACCCTGCCTGGCGCTCGGCATTAAGGGTCTAAAACAAGGACTGGTCAGCTTGGAGTTAGTGTACTGTGTCTGAGTGGGGTATTCATGTAACACACACATGTAAATAACCTTAACGCGATGTTAAGCCCCATTTCACCTCACCTCCATTCAGTCAGCTTCTAGTCTTCATCGTGTTGATGTTGAAGGCTACCTACCTGTTTCAGATTGTCAGCAGGTGTGCATGAGGCACAAGAAAGTGCACAGCACGAAAAAACAAGTAAGCTTGAAACTAAACCAGAACTGTCACCAACAGGTATGATTACTGGACATCGGTAGCACAGTCTGCATGTCTGGCGTATCCTAGAGTAGCGGTTGTATCTCTGTCTGTCTGTGCCCTCTACAGACTCTACACTGCACTGTGGTGATATGGCATCCAGGCATAGTGGGGAGACTATCATGTGTCTGTGTGTAGGATATGTGTGTTATATCCAGGTAGTGGTTAATAGGGAGATATGTCATGTGTCTGTGTGTAGGATATGTGTGTTATATCCAGGTAGTGGGGTAACAGGGAGATATGTCATGTGTCTGTGTGTAGGATATGTGTGTTATATCCAGGTAGTGGGGTAAAAGGGAGATATGTCATGTGTCTGTGTGTAGGATATGTGTGTTATATCCAGGTAGTGGTTAATAGGGAGATATGTCATGTGTCTGTGTGTAGGATATGTGTGTTATATCCAGGTAGTGGGGTAACAGGGAGATATGTCGTGTGTGTGTGTAGGATATGCGTGTTATATCCAGGTAGTGGGGTAACAGGGAGATATGTCATGTGTGTGTGTAGGATATGTGTGTTATATCCAGGTAGTAGGGTAACAGGGAGATATGTCATGTGTGTGTGTAGGATATGTGTGTTATATCCAGGTAGTGGGGTAACAGGGAGATATGTCATGTGTCTGTGTGTAGGATATGTGTGTTATGTCCAGGTAGTCGGGTAACAGGGAGATATGTCATGTGTCTGTGTGTAGGATATGTGTGTTATATCCAGGTAGTGGGGTAACAGGGAGATATGTCGTGTGTGTGTGTAGGATATGTGTGTTATATCCAGGTAGTGGGGTAACAGGGAGATATGTCATGTGTGTGTGTAGGATATGTGTGTTATATCCAGGTAGTGGGGTAACAGGGAGATATGTCATGTGTCTGTGTGTAGGATATGTGTGTTATATCCAGGTAGTGGTTAATAGGGAGATATGTCATGTGTCTGTGTGTAGGATATGTGTGTTATGTCCAGGTAGTGGGCAAACAGGGAAATATGTTATGTGTGTGTGTAGGATATGTGTGTTATATCCAGGTACTGGGGTAATAGGGAGATATGTCATGTGTCTGTGTGTAGGATATGTGTGTTATATCCAGGTACTGGGGTAATAGGGAGATATGTCATGTGTCTGTGTGTGTGTGTAAATATGTGTGTTATATCCAGGTACTGGGGTAATAGGCAGATCTGTATGTGAGTGAGTGAGTGAGAGAGAGTATGTATATATGTATATCCCGATACTGGGATATAAAGGGGAGATGTGTCGGTATGTGATGCAGGTGTATATCTGTGATTGTTGAAACAAACTTGGTCATCATTTGGTGACATTTTTGCATCATTCAGAAATTTAAAAATGTATGGGGTAGAGCTACTGAGTTTGGCAACTTGAGATTACTGATGCAATTTGCCATGTGGATAGTGCCTCTGAGCTTCATCAAAAGTTGAGGAGATCATTGCACAGTTCGTGTATAACACTTTCATTGTCTCATCACAAATATAATCTTCTCACAACCACGGGTAACATCATTGCGTACTGTGTATATATCCCCATCACAGTTTATACATCACCTGCTTTTTAGCAACATGATTCATTTTTCATATTTTGTTGTAACTTTGTTGTATACCTGTCTATAGATTAAGTCTGATTATTTCATCTGGAGATGTAATATTAAAGTTGTATTTATCATGATTATCTTATCACATTTTGTAGACTTATTTTGTAAACTTTATTCATTTGGTTATATCACATACCTTTAGTCATGGTAAGATGAGTAAAAAATTCCTGTACAATGAATATCATTTAGTTTTATGTTTTTTACCTACCGACCAAATGTTTCGCCATCCAAATTTGTAAACCAACTGTATAGAGTGAAATCAAGGTGTGAATAAGTAACTTTTAGTAACCTGAAGTACTGCTTGTTGTACATTCAAGACAAATGTTATGCCTGTTTAACATTGTCATGATGTGAATATGCAGCCCATACTGAGATATACCTCATGCTAGTTAATCGATATCACGAATGAGCAAATATTCAATCACTGCACAAACCTGGATAGTGTAGATTCCATAGAGCTTAATGCACAGTACTAACTCTTATACTTCAAAATATACTTTTAACTCTGAGATATTTTAGAATCCCTGTCAGATATGCTGTTAAATTGTCACCTCATTAACTTGAAATCCTGTGTAACGTCAAGATAATCGGGTTGTCCATGGTTCGAGAGAGCCAGAGTATAGATACTTGTGGATCATAGTGTGGATAATCTGATAAAACCATAAAGTTAACTCAAATTAAACGATACGGCAGGTTACCATGGTTACTGGAGTTTGAGTTAACAAGCTATCAACGTATTAGTTTACAAGTTTACTTTCTTGAAGGTGGCCCATTCATCTAAGGTACTACAGTTTGCTGTCCAGATTTGTACCATAAGTGCGCCAGAATCCTTTGATCATGGGTTTGATTCCCATATTTGCCCTGATTATGTTACTTGGTTTATCAGCACCATGCCCTGTGCTCATGGGTTTCACCAAAGTGATGAATGTGTATGACCTGCATCACTTCTGGATTTTCTCCCAAGCTGACATGCCTTGATATAACTGAAAAAATTGTTCAAAACAGTGTTAAGCCATGCTCACTCACTTACTTAATATTTACATATCATTGTTGCTTCCTTTTTATTTTGTCTTAGAGATGATAAACATTCTTCACAATAAAGTTTTCATCCACATTCTAGGGAAAAATGTGAAAAGATATGAATTCTTGTAGCTTAAGTTGTAATAGATGTTGCAGTGTTGAAAGTCCTGTACAGAAAGTATTGTAAAATAGCACCATGTTTCCTTCAGCTCACATCAGTTTTGACCAGCCGGAATTTGATGGCCGAGTGATGTCGGAGAAGATGGACATCGACCTGGGAACCATGTTGCCAGGACAACAGGTACATATGCTGCACATGCAGAGATACAAGTCCATCAGCTGGGTTGGAAGAAAAGCTGATTTTGATTTGGACACTAATGAATGAACGACAGAGCAGATTCGGTACATCAGAAACTGGGGTCGGGTAGCCTAGTGGCTAAAGCGTTCGCTCGTCACGCCTAAGACCCAGGTTCGATTCCCGACATGGGTACAATTTGTGAAGCCCACTTCTGGTGTCCCCCGCCGTGATATTGCTGGCATATTGCTAAAAGCACTCACTCACTCACTCCAGAAACTATTTAAGTTACTGGATTGATGCTCATAATGTTAATCACTGGAATGTCTGGTCCAGACTTGACCATTTTGACCACCATCGTATAGTTGGAATATTTCTGAATGCGATGTTTAGTGTGAGCGAGTGTTGAGGTAGGGGGCTCTGCTTGTTGTTCAAGTCATTGTCACAAGGTTGAGAGGTGTCCTTACCATGCTTACAATCGCTACAACCATATATGGGATGTGTTGGAATGTATTCCGGCAGGTGTTACTACATGTTTCAGATTCTGAGGACATTCTACCTGAAAAGTTTGCAGTCAGGCAACAGAACAGTATTTACTAAGGTGAGTTTTCACCACACTGCAGTATTTCTCACGCTGTAGCAATGTTTGTTATGTCCAGGTAGTCGGGTAACAGGGAGATATGTCATGTGTCTGTGTCGACATCGAGGTGGAACACCGGAGTGACAGAATCAGCTGTGTGTGTGACTGTATAGAGTCTGTGACTGACTGTGTGACTGTAGAGTGTCTGTGACTGACTGTGTGACTGTAGAGCGTCTGTGACTGACTGTGTGACTGTAGAGCGTCTGTGACTGTAGTGTCTGTGACTGACTGTGTGACTGTATTGTGTCTGTGACTGACTGTGTGACTGCAGTGTCTGTTTGTTCCAGGTGCGGTACAACATCGAGGTGGAACACCGGAGTGACAGAATCAGCTGTGTGTGTGACTGTATAGAGTCTGTGACTGACTGTGTGAATGTAGAGTGTCTGTGACTGACTGTGTGACTGTAGAGTGTCTGTGACTGACTGTGTGACTGTATAGAGTCTGTGACTGACTGTGTGACTGTAGAGTGTCTGTGACTGACTGTGTGACTGTAGAGTGTCTGTGACTGACTGTATAGTTTCTGTGTCTGACTGTGTGACTGCAGTGTCTGTTTGTTCCAGGTGCGGTACAACATCGAGGTGGAACACCGGAGTGACAGAATCAGCTGTGTGTGTGACTGTATAGAGTCTGTGACTGACTGTGTGAATGTATAGTTTCTGTGTCTGACTGTGTGACTGTAGAGTGTCTGTGACTGACTGTGTGACTGTATAGAGTCTGTGACTGACTGTGTGACTGTAGAGTGTCTGTGACTGACTGTGTGACTGTAGAGTGTCTGTGACTGACTGTATAGTTTCTGTGTCTGACTGTGTGACTGCAGTGTCTGTTTGTTCCAGGTGCGGTACAACGTCGAGGTGGAACACCAGAGTGACAGAATCAGCTGTGTGTGTGACTGTATAGTGTCTGTGACTGACTGTGTGACTGTAGAGTGTCTGTGACTGACTGTGTGACTGTAGAGTGTCTGTGACTGACTGTGTGACTGTAGAGTGTCTGTGACTGACTGTGTGACTGTAGAGTGTCTGTGACTGACTGTGTGACTGTATAGAGTCTGTGACTGACTGTGTGACTGTAGAGTGTCTGTGACTGACTGTGTGACTGTAGAGTGTCTGTGACTGACTGTATAGTGTCTGTGACTGACTGTGTGACTGCAGTGTCTGTTTGTTCCAGGTGCGGTACAACATCGAGGTGGAACACCGGAGTGACAGAATCAGCTGTGTGTGTGACAAGGAGGAGACCATCACACTATCCATCATCTCTCCCTTCGAGGTGTCCATCAAGCTCGAGTCCATGAAGGTGAGGGGGACACTGGCATTGATAACTATCACCAACAGTGAAAAGAGGGAAGTTTTTAAATTTATTTTTTTTCCTGGATGAATACTGATATACTAAAATTACAGATTTTCAAGAATGACGTGTTCAGATTGTAAAAGTATAATAAAATACATATTAAGTTAAGGTGAGATATGCAATACACAGTATCATTTGTCCTCTGCACTTCTTGCTTATAGGCCTCATCCGTGAAGATCTGGGTTAGAATAGGTCTTCAGCAACCCATGCTTGTCATAAGAGGTGACTATGGTTGTCGGAAGAGGTGATTAACGGGATCGGGCGGTCAGACTTGCTGACTTTGTTGATACTTGTCATAGTAGCCCAACTGCGTGGACCGATGCTCATGATATCAATCACCTGATTGTCTGATCAGACTTGATTATTTACAGACCACCTTCATATTGCTGAAATAATGCTGAGTGTGGTGTTAAACAACAAGCAAACAAGCAAAGATTTTAGGCATTGTTTGCAACAAGAAAATAATTAGAGAAGACATTTATCATTTTTATACTCCATGTCTAATGTGGAACAATGTTGGTTCTAGTTCGAGCCAGTTGATGTGGTACAGGCAGAGGAGCCATTCCTTTTGATGCCCGAGATACGATGTACGTCAGCGTGGCCTATTGAGATAGAGACCAGTGAAGTACAGCTGGTGAGTGTAGGTCATGTGACAGGTCATGTGATGCCCGAGATACGATGTACGTCAGCGTGGCCTATTGAGATAGAGACCACTGAAGTACAGCTGGTGAGTGTGGGTCATGTGACAGGTCATGTGATGCCCGAGATACGATGTACGTCAGCGTGGCCTATTGAGATACAGACCAGTGAAGTACAGCTGGTGAGTGTGGGTCATGTGACAGGTCATGTGATGCCCGAGATACGATGTACGTCAGCATGGCCTATTGAGATAGAGACCAGTGAACTGGTGAGTGGAGGTCATGTGACAGGTCATGTGACAGTTCAAGTTGGTGGTGTTATGTATATCCTCAGTAAAGCGCACCAATTTGTAAATTTTCTCAATGATCAGGGTACTTATTCGGCGAATATGCTACATACACATTCAGTATGCCAGGTACTACAGGAATCACCAGGATCCCGATGATCTCTCAGTGACGTATCTTCATTTCAGACTGAGTACATCAAGACAGCCAGTGACATGTTTGAGTCGCAGATTGAGGGAGGTGAGATGATTTTTGCACTACCACAGGGGAGGCCAGCTCTTTTTAGTGGAGTGCGGCCACAGCTTGTGTAAAAGGAGGTTGGGTTATCAGTGTCTTTTCTTTCTTTAAAATGGATGGGGAGTGCACAGCTTATTTGAATCCTAGATGTGTGAAAACGATTCACTATTTGCTTTTGAGCCAAAATTTAGGCAATAAATTATTATATTTGTTTGCAAAATGTCACCAAATTATTCACTTATGAATATGTTTTTTATACGTTAACAGGATTAGCATGATTCAAAAGGTGGGAAGCACACCCGTGCACAGCTCCTCCCCCACTCGATCCTTCTCATATTAGAACCATTTCTGTACATTACAGATACCATTTTGAAGTATATAGAGAAGTGCTTACTGTGTTTAGCAGTGACTTGTTTGTTGTTTAACAGGAACTTCTTTAACATGAACACTTGAAACTTTTGCATGTTTTGATTTAACTAGTATGAATATAACGGAGAGTGGAAGGTCGAGGGTTTGATCCCTGGCCACGTCATACCAAAAGATTTAAAAAGATGGTACTTGTTGTTACCCTGCCTGGCACTTGGCATAAAGGGGCTGAAACAAGGACTGGATGGCTCGAAGCATACTGTGTCTAAGTGGAGTATTCATGTTAAAACTGCGACATGGGATCTCGCTAGGCTAGCACAATAAAATTGACAAAAGTCCGAACACGCAAGCACACATCGCTATGTAAGTGCAACATACCATTGCACCTCACCTACTTTGAGAGAGTGTTAATAATTCACCCTGATAAATTGAAACAATAATATTATGTTTCAGTTGGCTTAAAGAAGAACGAGTGTGCCGCTGAGTGTCTGTGCCTGCTAGCCGAAGCGTCTGTCCATCTGTCTGTCACGCTCGGTACCTACACAGTCAACTGGCGGAGGAAGGCTGACAGTGACACCGCCAACATCCCCTACGTCACCACCTCCTTCCCCCTGCCTACCGTCAACATCGAACACATCCCCATCTCAGTGCGGCTGCAACTACCCGCGTTCGGCTGCGTGAAGACTCTGCTGTCGCTGTGCTACGTCATCAAGAACCGGACTCCATACCTGCAGGAGATGGAAGTCTCCATGGATGCCAGTGACAGCTTCATGTTTGCTGGCAATAAACTGGTAAAATTGTTTTGAGAAAGTTTTGGAAAATATTTTGGAATTTATCTCTCAAAGCTTCATAATACAGTGACATCTTGAGAACTCCAGTGTCCAGTTGGGTCTACTACATAAAACTGAAGTCTAGTCCAAAACCGTAGTTACAAAACATCATCTTCGCTCTAGTAAGCTCAGCTAATATGCTCCAAGTTGGGGCTGGTAGAAATTTGAGGAACAGACTGTAGGAATATACAACATTGTGAGTTGAATCCAACTATTCCACAGCTAGGTTTGGACAAATGGCTTGTGTAACACATAGAGAATCTGCCCCAAGTGTCTGTTGATATTAAATATATCAACACTCCTCGATACAATTTTAAAACTCCAAGGATTGCCAAGTGTTGATATCAGAATACACATGGGTGATATTCTATTTATCATCCAAACATTTTCTCCCATCTTTCTCAGTTTATAAACAGGCTGTTGGCAGAGAAACTAGTGATGTCATTTGATTGTGATGTCATGGTACTTGTACCCGAAGATGTCACAATGGCCTGCAAAGCATTGTGATGCAATTACATGTACATTGCTGCAATGTCCCCTAAGAATTATTGCCAGATTTCACCAATGGATATCTCCTGTGAAAGCCAGTTTGGGATTATGAATAATCAGGAGGGCGTCCTATCAAACAGATGCTTCCTATTTGAACCGTTCCCTTATTTATTACCATCAGTATATTGATGACAGTGGAGATACATATCCTTGACTTCTTTTTCCAGATCCACTTCCGTGTTCTCCCCCACAGTGACTACCAGCTCATGTACAACCTCTTCCCGCTCATCGCGGGTCATGTGACCCTTCCCAAGCTGCACGTCAACATGCTGCGCTACCCGGGAACCATGGATGAGATCGTGCAGAAGATGCTGCCGACATCCATATTTATCAAGGTACGTCCCTTCATGGTAACATTTGATGTAAATCAACATGATGGTCAAACTTTGTACTGAGTGAGTGAGTATGGTTTTAAGCGGGTTTTAGCAATATTCCATCACAACGGGGGACACCAGAAATGGGTGTCATACATTGTACCCATGTCGGGAATCGAACGCGGGTCTTCGGCGTGACGGGCGAACACTTTAACCACTAGGCTACCCAACCACCCCATCTTTGTACTGAGGAATCGCTGTCAACCACTATTGTTTGCCCAGACGTTATTATTTACAGGCAACCCTGACATAGCTGGACAGTGGCTTATAGGGGTCACAGGTGTCCCAGTTGTCTAAGGTGACGCAACTTGAAATCTAGGATTGTGGGTTCCAATCCCAGTTTGCCTGATTATGTTTCTAGGTTTGTCAGCACCATCCCTGTGCTTGTCGGTTTCACCAAAGTGGTAAATGTCAGAGACCTGCAGGGAATTCCTCTCACATTAAGCTGACTTGCCGTGATAGGACAGGGATACTGTCCAAGACAGCCTTCACTCACTGTCAAATTTACACTAAATATTAGACCTCTCTAAGAGCATCATCAATGTTTTTTAGAAAGGTTTCTTTTAAGGTATAACACACAGGTGGAAATTGACTATTTGACACAACAGCAGATAGCTGAAGTGTATATAATCGGATGTATTGCGGGTCAAGGCACTTCAGAAGAAATCTGACCTGCATACTTGGCAACTGGTTAGCATGGATGGGAGATAGTTGTGATAATATTACTGTGATATATTTGATAGAGTTGTGATATATTTTTTATATGACTGCAATATTGAGGTTATATAATTGACATGACTGAAATTGTTACTATATAATTGACATAACTTATATTGTGGTTATATAATTGTGATAGGACTGTCATGGTTGTTATATAATTGTGGTAGGACTGATATGGTGGTTATATGGCGGCAGGACTGATATGGTGGTTATATAATTCTGATATGACTGATATGGCGATTATATAATTGTGATAGGACTGATATGGCGGTTTTATAATTGTGATAGGACTGATATGGTAGTTATATAATTGATAGGACTGATATGGCGGTTATATAATTGTGATGGAACTGTGTTATTGGAATGAACAAGAATGGTTGAATCTAAAAACATTTGTTTTTTCCTGTTGCAGCCGACTGGAAAATCCTTGGTGATGCCTGCATGAAGTCAAATTGTTAGAGAGCTCTCCTTGAAATGTCAGCAAACAGAGATACATTTCTGTTGATGAAGCTATGACATCAACAGTTCATCAATAGAGCATTTTAATATGCCTTCTTAGAGAGCACTCAGTGCTTTGTTGTAACAGTTTATGAGACGACTGTGACTTGAAGTTATCATATCTTGTACATTGTGTATAATGTTTGTTTTTATTTATTCTATGCTTGTTAATTTGGCGATTTGTATAAATCAGTCTTCAGTGGATCATTAAGATATACATTCCTTGATTGACTGATTCATATGTGATATGAATTTATTGTTGAAAGCAGAGGAGATCTGCGCATGTAGAGTTCAAAGTGAAGATTTACACTAGTATTATGGAACAATACTAGGGCTGAAGTCTCAAGTTAAGTGAGGTTAAGGTACCCTGTTCGAAGAGATTAGTCGATTGAGAGAGTAGTGGATGGATGGAGAGGGCCGTGGTTGGAGAGAGTAGTGATTGGAGAGGGTAGTGGTTGGAGAGAGTAGTGATTGGAGAGAGTAGTGGTTGGAGGTGGTAGTGGTTGGATGGAGAGGGCAGTGGTTGGAGAGGGTAGTGGTTGGAGCGGGTAGTGGTTGGAGAGGGTAGTGGATGGATGGAGAGGGTAGAATAAGCGTTATGTTCAGCCATCTCAGGTCCGGGGTATTTATCAAGGTTTGGCCCTGTCCTTACTGAGTGAGCTTCCATCTATGTGGAGTCGGAATGTCTTTGTTGAAATCTTTATTACTGAACATGCTGAAAGCAGTTTTAAAATGTTTCACCAAGGAAAAGAGTTATCCTTTAGTGTATCTCATTGATAATAGAGCGCAATAACATTCCCACATATACAACTCCTATGAAGTTAAGGAACAGCCAATGTTTTTGTATTTACTATGAACATGAATTGATTGGGTTCATTAACTCCGTTTGAGTAGTATATTTACATGATCACACTCTAGCTTGTTTGCTTCTCTAAGCAGGACTTTGTGTTCTGTATGACTGAACAGTTTGAATGTATGAATCACTTGGTAATATTGCAATTTGTCTCTCTCATGTTGGATTAACTATCATCCATTGGCCTAGTGTGTCAATCAAGAGGTGTACATATCTGCCTGCTAATGTTTGTACATATTCTGAGAGAGGAACAAATATAAGTACTGTTTGTATACTTGAATTTAAGGGTATGGAAATACTGCATCTTAGGCACTGTTCCCATCAGCAAAACAAACCAAAATATATAAATATTGCTTGTGTAAATACACGCTGTAACTGTGCTACAACCTACTGTGTAGTACATACATAAAGGCCTCCTGACACACCTGTACTCTAGTCAATGTGCGAGACCTGTAACTAGTTGTCAGCCTTATGTCATCAGTACATTAATATCGTATTACACAATGTTAAATCATATACATTTGTCAAGACTTTATTGATGTGCAATAAATGTGATGGAATTACAGAGCACTGAGTGTGATTGGCTGTGGGTGTGTATACATATGGTATAAAAGATGATATTCCATAATGGTAAATCTGTATCAGATCATAGTGATGATACATTCTATATATAATATACATTAGTACTGTATAGGTATACAATACAATTATGCTGGTAGTTTATCCTCGCACTCCAGTACAAGAATCGGTGACCTGGACTGCTCTGTGGGACACCCTTCAATTGCAGCTTTGCTCTGTTTTACAGTCTGCAAGAACTGTAATGCTAACTGTACTTGGTCATGTGACACAGGACATGCTATCCACACAGCAAGCTGCCTGCACACAAAGGCGCTGATATGTTTTTTCTATTGTCATGATATAACCTATTTGAGGTTATCTAAGGTTATGTAAAGGTAGGTGCATCTTCCCGAGGCAAGGGCATTTTACTGACTATGAAAGTCCAGTTTCCACCCGTGCCAAACTAGGCTGGAATTTCAGAGTTTTATTTTGTCTGGACTAACGAGTGTATGCATAGTCCAATCAAAATCGCAAGATGAGCTAGACATCTGGTTCGCAAACAGCATGGATTTCCAGGATCAGAATTTGGTCGACTGCAGGTTTTGCAAAGCATGTGTACCAACAACTGATTTTGCAAATATTTTTTTCAGTCAGGTAACGCCCTTGCCTCAGGAAGATGAGGTAGGTGCTGTCATTACAATAATTTGTATTATGTTTAGCACCAAACTCAGCAGTATTCCAGCTATATCATAGAGGCCTGTAAATAATTAAATTAATGACATCATAATCATCGATATCATGCAATTGTGATACAATATGACATACATCAACCAAGTCAGCAAGCTTGACCACCTGATCACTTTAGTCACCTCTTAGACAAGCATAGGTTGCTGAAGACCTATTCTTACCCAGATCTTCCTGGGTAGTCAGTTCTGGTTGAAGGGGAATATCACAAGGCATATTATATACAATAGAACATTTCACATATTATTGAATTTAGATATTGGTAAATATTGAACAAGAACATCATAGTGCAATACCAGGCACATTTGGCATATCAGGGAGTTATCTAGTATTTTAAACTAAATTCATGTGGCAGACAAATATCAAGGAAGCAACATTAACTGGTACCAAATTGGGACATTTTGTTCAATACTTTCCTTATTTCACTGTCAATCTATGTGTCAAATCCCTTTCCCTTCTTGTTATTGGGGGGCACGGGGAGCCCAGTCATCTAAGGCGCCTCAATTCGCTGTGCAGAGTTGCGTTCCTTGGGCACGCCAGAAACCTATGATTATTGGTTCGAATCCTGGTTCACCCCGATTATGTTTCTAGGTTTGTCAGCACCATACCCGTGCTCTTGGGTTTCACCGAAGTAGTAAACGTCTGAGACCTGCATCACTTCAGGCTTTCCTCCCACATCACGCTGTGATATAACTGGAATACTGTTAAAAGCGGGGTTAAACCCAACTCACTCACTCACTTCTTGTTATTGGTCCTGTAAACTGCTAAAACGTTACTTATTATTATCAACCTTTTGGGGGAATATCTGCTGTAGATCTTGAGCTAAATACCAGTATCTGAAAATGTCTAGAAGAACCCCTTGTTAATGGAAATTATGTACATAATTTTGTGGGGTGAGATGTAGAAGCACCAATTCACTCTCATCATACAAATAATTAGGCCTTATATTTTTTTTCAGTTGCTATACAAGACTGACCGGAAAAAACATGAAATTTAAAAAAAATAATTGTATGACTTTTGACAATTATTTTAAGTCAGATTTTAACAGTTAGGTCAACTAAACAAAAATGTGAATCTTGCACAGCTGTTTGTCATAAGAAATGGTTAAAAACAAATATAAAAATCTTAAATCTAACAAAAAAACACCTAATCAATTATCTTTCAGCATTTTGGGGCAATCATGCTTCAGTGGTGGCGTGACAAGTTTGTTCTTCTTTCATTTGTAGCAGTACTAATCTGGAAGTTGAAATTTAAAATAGAACAATATTGACCACCGACATTGAAGTTGGTAAACAAAACAAATTGTAAACCAACCAATAAAAAGTAAAAGGCCAATGGATATACACTATAACAAACAGAGTTCAGTTTTGGTGGCAGAGGTTCGACAATACAGATGCTCTGTAGGAGAACTTTCTCCGAACTCATTGCTGGCCGTCACCGATATCTTATACCTTGTCTCAGGGTCAAGGTCATGGAGCGTGACATGACCAAAACTTGGGCCAAAGTCTGTCACTGTCACACTTGTCATATTACTACACAGGCCATTGGTGAATATTGCAGTCTCGTAGTACACTGTGAAGTATCCTATGTGATCACTAGGGTCGTATGTCCATGTGAGAGACACGGACCGCTGGTCCACCACACACTCATGGGGAAGGAGCTTGGGAGAGCAGGGCTTGCCTGTGTCAAGAGAAGATACAAGACAGGCTTGAAGTTTAACACATGCACTAACTGAAGTAAAGGAAGCATGACTGACTTGGCCCATTATGAAGTATGGGGTGAGTGAGTGAATATGAATTTCGCCGCTTTGAGCAATATTCCAGCCATGGTAGCATACACCAAAAATGGGCTTCACACATTGTACCCATCGAACCAAGGTCTTTTGCGTTACAAGCGAACACTTTAACCACTAGCCTACCACAACACTTATATTGAGTACAGTTTTACACCGCTTTTAAATAGCAATACATGTATTACAGCAATATCATGAAATGAGCTTCACAATTTGTACCCATATGGGGAATCAAACCCAGACATGACTGAACTTTAGCCTGACGAGCAAATGCTTTAAACCACTAGGCTATCCAACCACTCCTCAAAGATATGTAGGGTCTGCACAGTGAACCAAGCATGTTTCACACGGGAATGTTGGTCAAAAGGTAGACTTCTCTGTTTAACTTTAAAGAATTGCAGAAGGCCCCTTCTTCATTTCCAGAAAAGATATTGGGCAATATTTGGGTCTAATATTTAGTTTATGGACCAACAGCTAAGAGGCTCCCAATTGCCCCGAGACCAATTACACCTTGAATTGTAACAGACAAAACAAATTCTGTATGTAACAATTATCAAGTGAGCTACAGTGCCTCAGACCTGTTTACCCTTCACTTGCCATACTAGCTGTTCATTGATAATCTGTCAGTAATTTCAGCTTTCTTTCAGTACTGTAGTCAATTTTACCAGCATGCGAGCAGGAGAAGTCGACATCACACACGTCACAGTGAACCAATGACCGTCCCCTCTTTGAGGCAGCAAGAGACGGCCAGATGTCATGGTATGGATCCTTGTATGATTGTGATGATTTAACACGCAGCTTTAACAGCTTAGCCTTAGTTGACACCGACTGACCAAGGTCATCAGCCTTTCGTTTGGCCATTGCGAGCGTCTGCTCGACATTTATTACCCCAATGCAACAGGTTTATTTCCGGGGTTGCACCTGAAACGGCACCACAGCAAATCGGCACCGAGCGAAAACGGCGCCTCGCCCAAGCCAAAACGGCTACTATTGCTAGGCGAAACGGCATTACAGGCAATGATTTAATTCACAGGTGCACATGCAAACACAAATAGTTGTCATTCACGCTTGGTTCAAAGATGGTGAGGGGCGGTCGGGTAGCCTAGTGGTTAAAGCGTTCGCTCGTCACGCCGAAGACGCGGGTTCGAATCCCGACATGGGTACAATGCGTGAAGCCCATTTCTAGTGTCCCCCGCCGTGATATTGCTGGAATATTGCTAAAAGCGGCGTAAAACCAATCTCACTCAAAGATGGTGGCGCCCATGGCAAAACAAACAAGCATGGACACCATTATTTAACGTTTACGAGTATTTCTTACGGGAGTAAATTCATAGACACATTTTCAGATATTGGATGTGAATTATTATAAGTAATATTATCCATATCATTGACAGTCCTTTTGTAAGACCCTTAATAATCCGTTAAGTACACGTATGTATCCAAGCTGATGAGGCCAAGAGGATCATTCGATGAGTGAAGTTTGTTTGTTGTTTAACGCCACACTCAGCAACATTCCAGCTACATGACGGCGGTCTGTAAATAACCGAGACTGGACCAGTCAATCCAGTGATTGACATCATGAGCATCGATCCACTCAACTGGGATACAATGACATGCATCAACCAAGTCAGCAAGCCTGACCACCCCATCCCGTAAGTCTCCTCTTACGGCAAGCATGGGTTGCTGAAGACCTATTCTAACCAGGATCTGCACGGGTCGGTGAGTGGAGTAATGGATTACAGTACTATTGTTTTGATAATAGGATTAGCTGGATATTTTTTAAAGACCGACCTTGCGCGAACTTTGACCGACCAATGGAATGACAGACAAGAAGTCGACATTAGCCAATCAGACGGCAGCTTTCTCGTGCTTTATGGCACTAATTTGAAATTTGCGACTACGCTTCAAAACATATATTGACAAATTCTCGATTACAATTAGAAACCTGAACAAAAGAACATTCTGGAACACATTCCGACAGTCACTTTCATGATCTGGTAAGCGACGCTCTGATTGGTCGGATGAAAGGTCTGATCTGATTTTAATGAGATTGGCCCACTGAGATACCATGCCGCAGTTTAACATGAATTGAATGCCCCACTCAGACACAGTATACTGACTCCGGGCCGACCAGTCCTTGTTTTAGGCCCTTAATTAATGCCAAGCGCCAAGCAGCTTAACAGCAAGTACCATCTCCTGACGTCTTTTGGTATGACGCGGCCGGGGACTCGAACTCCCAACCTTTCGTTTTCCGGGCGGACGCTCTACCACAAGACCACGGAGGCGGTCGTAGGAACTACGAATAAACCGCAGGAGTACTAAACAGGTCGGGTGTCTAGATGAGATTTTCAAGAAGTCACTATGTTACACTCGGGTTAACTGGACTTCGGTTTCACAAAGGGATCGTTGCGCTATGTTAAAGCATAGGAGTTATGATAGTCTACTACTACTATACCCTAGTATTGCTTTGTGTAGCGAGGTTCTACTTCCCACACGGGGGGCACAGGGGGGCACAGGGGGGCCAGTTGTCTAAGGCGCCGCGATTCGCTGTGCAGAGTTGCGTCCCTTGGGCACGCCAGAAATCTATGATTGTGGGTTCGAATCCCGGTTCGCCCCGATTATGTTTCTAGGTTTGTCAGCACCATACCCGTGCCCGTGGGTTTCACCGAAGAGGTAAACGTCTGAGACCTGCATCACTTCGGGCTTTCCTCCCACATTAAGCTGACACGCCGTGATATAACTGGAATACTGTTAAAAGCGGCATTAAATCCAACTCATTCACTCTACTACCCTACCGTCACAGAAAAGGATCTGCAGAAACAAACACGTTTGGTTTCATAACAACCTTAACCACAGTAAGAGACTGACCTTGAACAGGCATGAAGCACTTGGTGACATCCGCTATAGCCTTTGATAGGTCGATGGTTGGTGGATGGATGTCAGAGCTGGGTGGGTCCATGATGGGAGGAGGAAGGGGGTCGGGTGAGTCCATGATGGGAGGAGGGTCTGGTGGGTCCATGATGGGAGGAGGGGGGTCCGGCAAGTGATCAAGACTCTGAAGAAGGCTGCACATGGAATAAATTGAGAATATATGTGTCAGTACAATATATAAGCAAACTACGTGATATACCTATGCTGATCGTAGGAGGCCTCAATATGGGTCAGGTTCGCTGACGTGGTTAATTGCCTGTCATCGTACTCCCACGTCATTGCTCACAATATCATTCAATGGTTTGTTTTGTCCAGACTCCAGTACACGGAGGTCGTCGCCATATAGCTGAAATAATGCTGAATGCAGCCTTAAATAACTAACAAAATATAAAACTACTTGAGATGTCATTCAATTTATCATGAAAATGGAATATTTCCAAGATAGTTTTCAGTATCGAGAACTTACCAGCGGAATTCTGGGAGTTTCTGAAATGATGAAATGAAAAGCAATAAATAATACGTTCCACGAACTGTGATGAATACATAGTCACATGTAATCTCCGATCTAGCGAATTTGTAAGAACCCTGGAAAAAGGCAAACACGTGTATCTATCGACATTTACAGTAACATGACGGTAAATAGGACTTCCGAGTCCAGTCATGAGAGCCGACCTAATGGATGACGGACTGGTTACTCGGAACAAGGGATTCTTGGAAAACTCGCTGTCACATTTCCCGTCAGTTACAAAATGTGATATTGTCAAACTGGATCAACTCACCCAATAGTGAGGGACCGGTCTTTTATTTACAGGGGTGGGTGGTTCAGAGGTTTTTTGAGGCTCTAATGTACTGAAAATACATTACCCTCCCTAACTATTGTCATATTTTGATCACCCTCTCCATATACTAGTACATTGTTTCATGACACTCCATGAAAAGACAAAATGCAAAAGCACTTTTGAGTATATTATAAAATGTGTGTTTTGTCACGAAACCCCCACCCCCTCCCACACACGCCTTCCTCCAAATATGTTACAGTTTTATGTCCCAAAGAAATTTGTTTGTGACCCTCCCCTGATTCCCTCTGATGTTATATCTTTACCCCCTTCAGTCCAGACAATTGGGTGTTATCAAAACAATGAAATAAAAAATAAATTAAAAAAATTCTGCTTAAAATGCTGGTTCTATTTTTGCCTCGTGTGCTGCCTCGCGTGTCTGGTGCCACGAAACAAAGCACTTTTGTGCATGGTTCACTGCAGTGTAGTTTATGTGTAGGCGATGCGTGCATTCGATCAGTAAATAAAGATGCGTTAAGATAGTCAGGTAGGCAAACTGAATAGGCCACATTGGGTAATTAAGAATGTTGTTATATATACCATTGGAATTCTTTTTTTCCAATTCATGCGCATATCTACGCAAACAACTCTAAACGGGTTATGGTGATTTATTTTGCGTATTTCACGCCAATACGTAGCTTATCTGGAGCTCTGATTGATTTGGTTTTGGTTTGGTTTGTTGTTTTACGCCGCACTCAGCAATATTCCAGCTATATGACGGCGGTCTGTAAAATAATCCAGTCTGCACCAGACAATCCAGTGATTGATATCATGAGCATCGATCCACGCAGTTGGGATCGATGACCTGCATCAACCAAGTCAGCAAGCCTGACCACCCGATCCCGTTAGTCGCCTTTTACGACAAGCATAGTCGCCTTTTATGGCAAGCATGGGTTGCTGAAGACCTATTCTACCCCGGATCTTCACGGGCAGAGCTCTGATTGAGTTATAGATAGATGCCTACTGTCCACACGCTGTCCTCTTTTCCCGATGACGTAGCCATTTCCTGACAGCGGCGCAGCAGACGATCGTATTGAATGAGTCGGTCAGTGACCTGTTGGGACTGCTCGCCAATACCCCTGTGGTGAACACAGCACCCGTCTAGCGGCATTGGGGGGCTTCCAGTTGCTGGGATACCATGCGGGTGCTCTCCAGATGTCTGGCGGTTTGTTTCCTCTTCTCCCTGTAAAACACATACGCGCAGTGTGACGTGGAAATAAGAAACCCTGGGCCCCGTTCCACAAGGCGATCGCAGTGCTAATACGATCGTAACTCCCAAACTTAACACAGGCTTTCGGCTATCGTAATGCTTTGTCGAACGGGGCCCAGACAAGGAATGGCACCGACAGGCGTTATGCACTAGCATTCACAAATCCTCAAATCGCCTTACTGATCTATAGTGAGAGAGTGAGGGAGTAGGAAGGGGTTGTCGTTGTTTTTATCAATATTCCAGCCATATTACGACGTTGGATACCAAGAATGGACATGTGTAGAATAAAACCCGGTTTCGTCGATGCAAATACTGAGCTTTCAGTCTCAATGTTCCTTTAATTCTCACCGAACGACGTCTTGGTCATGAATTTGACCTGAAACATTTACACGTCAGTCGGTGTGGTTTGAAGACGCAGTGATTTTCTTCTCACCTGTATTCTCTCCTCCGCTGCCATCAGTTTCTCCAGGTAATTACATTCCTCCCTCCTCCGTGACGCCAGGTACCCCTCCGCCACCGACAGCAGCCCCTGCAACACGTTACCTGCCTGCCTTCATCGACTACGTACACACAAATATTTGTTTGTTGTTTAACGCCGAACTTTGCATTATTCCAGCTACATGGCGACGACCTGTAATTAATCGAATCTGGAGAAGACAAACCAATGGTGGTTAGCATGAGCAACGATCCAGGCCCAGGCGATACAATGACACCAAGTCACCGACAGACCAGCATGTGGTCAATCTCATTAAAACAGATCTTTGTACTCGCGTCCGCCGCAAACCCGTGACGATTCCGGGGTAGAATAGGTTTTCAGCAACCCATGCTTGCCGTAAAAGGCGACTGACTGGATCGGGTGGTCATGCTCACTGACTTGGTTGATACATGTCATCGATCCCAATTGCGTGGATCGATGCTCATGATATTAATCACCGGATTGTCTGGTCCAGACTCGATTATTTGCAGACGGCCGTCGTATAGCTTGAATATTGCTGAGTGTGGCGTTAAACAACCAACCAACCAGCCAACTCGCTACCGCCAAACAAAGATCTGATGTCATTCCATTACAGGTCACGTCAGAACGACCTTTTGCGAACTTTGCCGGGACCAATGATATGACTAACTTTAATGGCCAATAAGAAAGAAGTTTTCTCGAGCTGTTCGGCACCATATTCAAACTGGCGACTTTCATTCCAGACTACGGTTTGCAAACTATTTATTAAAAATTTGAAAACTGAAGAAAATAAAATTCGGAAATTTCTTGGAGATGGCCGTGATTGTATGACAGTACTTCCAACGGGCTATGGAAAGTCTGTTCCAGTTCAATTGTTTATCCCACTGAAGCGAGATAGTTTGACGGACTCAGTACGCCATACAGGCCATCGTTCGAAATACCCCATGTTAACCAATTCGAGGTTGCATGATTAAAAATCACATTCCGATTGTCACTTTCTCGATCTGGTAAGCGACGCTCGCGGATTAGTCGCATGAAAGGTCGTTCTGAGTGACTCGTAATTGGATCTCTCATATCTTTGTTCAGCTATATATGTATATAGAAAATGTAAATAGCTGTATGTTCACTACATCACTTTGTGTGATTTTTGTGGATGCACCTTCTGTTCTTCTCTGAGAACTAAGACCTTCTTTTATTGGTTTGTGTTGTTGTTTTGTTAAAGCCACACTCAGTTATTGTCCAGCTGTTTGACGGCGGTCTGTAAACAATCGAGTCTTGACCAGACATTCCAGTGATTGACATCATGAGCATCGAGTCACGAAAATGATTATGCATCAACCAAGTCAGCGAGCCTGACCATCCGATCCCGTAAGTTGCCTTTTACAACAAGCATAGTTGCCTTTTACGGCAAGCATGAGTTGCTGAAGACCTATTCTACCCCGGATCTTCACGGGTCCTGATTTAAATGAGTAACTGATATGAGCAACCTCCAACGTCGGGGTACGATGCCACGCAACAAAGTAAATCACCGAGCCTGACCACCCGATCATTTAAGTCCACTCGTCAGATCAAATCAGATCTAAGTTCTCGCTGCCGATTAGCGATAGCGAGAACTAAGATCTGATTTTAATGAGATTGACTCTTACGACAAGATTATAGGGATTCGTGACCAACTCGAGCCATTCCGGGACAGGCCTTAATGAAGATTACGGAACGATGCGAGTGGTGATGGAGTGGTTGCTGGGGACCTGTCCCAACCCGTACTCACCTGTATGTAGGCCTTCATCTGATCAAGAGGTATGACTTGATGTTCCCAATGTCCAGCACTATGACCTCGAACTCGTCGGCAGAGGCAACACTTGACGCACACGGGCACATAGCATTGTGTGCAGAATAGGTTCACCCTCTCGTCTAGGTGATCAGGACATAGTGGGTCTACAAGACAGATTCATTAGTCAGGTGCAGCACGTGTTACAATTACTTTATTTTATCAAAAACAAATGATGTAGCAAAATAACTTTCTGGTGGGTTAGGGAACAGGAGTATTTTGTTAATTAAAGGAGCACCAGTGGTATAAGGTATCACAGTTTTCCAAGTTGGGTCTGTAGCTGTGCAACGTCCATTGGTCGGTCGTTGGTTCGATTCTCAACTTAACCGACATTATGACCCCAGCTGGAACAGGATCACACCCACTAGGTCCCATGGGAGACTCAACTGGTGGCGTTACGATCGAACCCAGAAAATCCAGCCTGGTTCAGCAAGAGTGGTAACTGGACTTTTACAGTCAGTAAACTACCTTGCCTAGGTGCTGACGGGTCTGTGAACTCTTTTCAGTACCGAAAACGTCACAGTAGGCCAATATTGGAAGCGAAGCAACCATCCTTTTTTTGTATTTATTCAGAAATCACAAAATGGTGTCAAATTGGACAGCATTAAAGATAGTCATCGATTCATACTAAGAGGCTTGAAGACCTAAAGTAACACGTGGCGTTAATACGTCAAAGTGGAATTAACTTTTGGCGCAGGTCATCAGTACCTTATGATTAACGTTTCTCGCAAAACAAACAATAATTAAACATTGTACTTCCTTATGTTAAGTAAACGAAATCTACTCCCAAACAGTTTATGAAATGGCCACTCGAACGGATATCAATAATCTGTCGGGTAGCCTAGTGGTTAAAGCGTTCGCTCGTCACGCCGAAGACCCGGGTTCGATTCCCGACATGGGTACAATGTGTGAAGCCCATTTCTGGTGTCCCCCGCCGTGATATTGCTGGAATATTGCTAAAAGCGGCGTAAAACCATACTCACTCACTCACTGACACGCCGCGATATAACTAAAATATTGTTCTAATGCAAAATGTCATGCATATTTCAGTATAAATTTCAATTTCTTACAAAGCAGTGTTTAATGGGAATATTGGCTCGATCTCAAGTGTGCTGGTCAGCTGTGCATTTATGATCGCTCACTGTAAGAAGCAACACGGGATGAACCAAGCAAAGTCTCACCAGAGATGGGTTTCTCCTCAATGACCTCCTCCAGAGCATAGTTCTTGGGTAGACCTTTCACCCCTCCTGGAGCCAAATGAACCTTTCTGCACGTGGGGCATGCAATGCGGCCCCTCCTCACAAGCCCCTTGGTGCACGTGGTCCGGCAGAAGCTGTGGCCACATGGTAGAACCACGGGATCCTTGAAGGGGTCGAGACATATGGGACAGCTCATGTCACGGTGTGTGTTGTCGGACCTCACCTGGAACACGAGGATGACATATATACTGATGGATATAAATGGTGTGTTTAATTTGTCAGTACTTTGTGCCCGGAATATAGTTGATTTTTCGGCAATAAGTGTATCGTGCGCCGTCTTGGGAAAGATTTCCGCCGGAAACTGCTACTTTAAATTTTAACTCTAACCAAAAAACTAACCCTAACCCTACATACATGGTTTTTTTAAAATACTTCTAGCCAGTGGTTAAGGTGATTTGTTTTGTCTTTTAATTTCGAGGTTACATGTGACAGTTTTCCCTCGTTTTAAATAGTATTCCAGTTATACCACGGTGTGTTATCTTGATGTGGGAGGAAAGCCCGAAGTGATGCAGGTCACAGACGTTTACCACTTCAGTGAAACCCACGAGCAGGGGTATGGTGCTGACAAACCTAGAAACATAATCGGTACAAACTGGGATTCGAACCAACAGTCATAAGTTTCAGGCGTGCCCAATGGACGCAGCTTTGAGTCCCCGAACACATAATAAACACGATCAATCACATACACTGCGAAGTGAGGAGTGATGCGGGTCTTATACGCGTATCCATGAACACGGGCATGATGCAGACAAACCTAGAGTGAGTGAGTGAGTATGGTTTTACGCCGCTTTTAGCATTATTCCAGCAATATCACGGCGGGGGACACCAGAAATGGGCTTCACACATTGTACCCATGTCAGGAATCGAACCCGGGTCTTCGGCGTGACGATCGAACGCTCTAACGACTAGTCTACCCGACCGCCCCGACAAACCTAGAAACATAATCAGGGCGAACCTGGGATTCGAACCCACATGCAGGTTTCTGCCAAGCCTGATCGACCCAACCCTGCACGGCGAATTGCGACGCCATGCACCGACGACTGGGCAAACCGTGTCCCCTTACATGCCCTGAGTATTTTGTGCTATCAGCGACAGCTGTGCACAGACCCAGTATGATATATCGAGCCGTACATCCACCGTGAAGCTAACGTCAGTGACAGCTCTTTTAAAGGTAGTTGCCCTTATTTTTTACTTGTGTAATGGCGACTCATTAAACGTAGGACATATGTGTGATATTTCAAATATCCGTATACTCGTGTAAATTATAATTAACTTACACAATAAGATACTTTATCTTTCGGCTGAATCATTTCAAATGCTGCTTTAAGAGATAATCTTCCGCCTTGTCATACCAACAGATGTCAAAAGACGCTTCTGGTTGTTACCCAGCTTGGTGTTCGGTATTAAGGGGATAAAACAAGCTCGGAAAGTATACGTTTCTGAGTTGGGTATCCATGTTACCTTGTGGCATGGTTTCTCTGAGACACAACAAGCAGACAAACACACACACACACACGTGCATACGAGTCATACGATACTTAACACAACGTGAAACCCCATTTCACCTCACCTCAAAACACGATTAGCGCTTGTATTGGTTATTAGGGAACATCTGGGTTGTGGTTTGACTGCATTCATTCTATAACCTGTGTTTACTCGCACCGTCAGCAGTTTCAACGTCATGACAAGACATTAGTTTAATTGCATACCCTCTTTAAAATACGGTCCTCAAATCCAAACCTCCTTCCCCTGGTCTTCTGTAATAATACTTAGTGTGCTCAATCAACATATTCACAAAAGACTCACCTTGTCCAGAGAAAGTTGTCTTCGTGTTTGCCTTTACGGCCCCTCTAGGCTTGTAATCTCTGTTGCTGTGCCTGCCGAGGTTTAACATTTCAGGACACACGCCATGTTCAATAAGTGTTCACAGCAGGAACATAACAATAGTGATATACATCTGTTACCACTAGAACAATGTGAATCGTTGGTTTGAGTGACAGTGTGTTCACTGGTCGATATACACGTTATACCACATTAGTGCACGTTTTATTTAATAGGTGCGTATTACAAAAAACCGATATCATGAGGTTTTTATTTTTACACTACACTAAACACCGATTATTTAATTTGTTTGTTTGTTTGTTGTTTAACGCAGCACTCAGCAATACTCGAGCTATATGACGGCCGTCTGTGAATAATCGAGTCTGGACCAGACAAACCAGTGATTGATATCATGAGCATCGATCCACGCAATTGGGATCGATGACATACATCAACCAAGTCAGCGAACCTGACCACCCGTCGATTATTTTAATCACGCCCTGTATTCACAGCTTGAGTTTGATTCAGACAGGGCATGTTCTGCACGTGTTATCACTTCAGGCCTGTTTTGAATGTATGGCGGTTTTTTATCAAATTACTTGGTGTATGGATCCGCCGACCCAAAATTTCTCAAATGTGGAATAATTTTAGAACTATCGTTTTTTTCACTGTCGTGTCCCCTTCCCGAGGCAAGGGGGTTAAGTGACCATAAAAGTCCAGTTTCTACCCTTGTCGAACTAGACTGGCATAATGGCCTTATAGTTTAGCTGGAATAACGACAAGTCTGTGAACTCATTTCAGTAACGAAAACTTCACAGCTGCTTGCCATAAGAGACGACTATGCTTGTCGTAAGAGGCGACAATCGGGATCTGGTGGTCAGGCTTGCTGACTTGGTTGACGCATGTCGTCGTATCCCAATTGCGTCTACCGCCTCCGTGGTCTAGTGGTAGAGCGTCCGCCCGGAGAGCGTCATACCAAAAGACGTTAATAGATGGTACTTGTTGTTACCCTGTCTGGCGCTCGGCATTAAGGGGCTAAAACAAGGACTGGTCGGCTCGGAGTCAGTATTCTGTGTCTGAGTGGGGTATTTATGTTAAACTGCGGCATGGTATCTCAGTGAGCTAGCACTATAAATCGGCATCAGCCTGGACTAGTACAAACAGCCACACAAACACACGCACGTACATGCACAGGGAGACACCAGAAATGGGCTTCAGACATTGTACCCATATCGGGAATCGAACCCGGGTCTTCGGCGTGACGAGCGAACGCTTTAACTACTAGGCTACCCGACCGCCGCTCACTGTTAAGAGAGCATCGAAGATGATCCAATATGAGGAAGACCTTCAACAGCCACCGCTAAGGAATATGTTCATCAAATACATGTTATGGTTATGGATGACACTTACCACACGTCATCTAACCAAAACAGTAGGCATATAGCACGAGAGATGTGAAAACATTCTCGGATTTTCTCGAAAAATTCTATTGTCCTCGCATGCAATTTCGTTAGAAAAATAATAAAGCTTCAGACTGTTGAAAGAGAAATTGCCTGCCACAAAAATTACATTGTTACATTCTTTTCAAAGCACAGATTCATAGTTTTAAATATAAAACATATCTGGTTTTGTAGCTTGTAGCTGAAAAAACACCTAATCTCGACACACACAAATTATATTAATTAGCAACCAACTCCATCAACGCATTCCATCACAGTTAGGCTCAGAACATTTCAGCCACCCCTGGTATATCCTGAACTACAGCGTACCGTTTGGAAACATCTATGCATATGCCACTGATCTCATTTGGATAAATTCTTAGATATGGATACATGATAAAGTTGGGTAAAAGAACATCAGGTACCGGTTCACATCATGTGATGTAAAGAGTGAGTGCGTGACCATTGTTTACTCAGCTCTTCACGCTATTCAAACAATATCACAGCGGGGGCATTAAAAGTGGGCTTCACACATTGTAACCATGTGAGGAATCGAACCCTGGTCTTCGTGGCGAGCGAACACTTTAACCACAAGGCTACCCCATGATGCAAACAAGCAGAGGGAGCATCTGAAAGGGCAGTCCACTATAACGACAGTCCTGGAACGGTTACAAACAATGTCATTAGATTATCGATTTCGTTTTCTTTATTGCTATGTGAATACGCCACTATATAAACAAAAACAAACCTGTTTCGTTAGAAAATCAATACAGGACGCCCATTAAAGCAAAATACTATTTTATATGGAAATATAATTTTATAGTAACAAATGTTTTTCATTTTTTTTCCGGGTCTATATGTATATATATACCACCGAAGATAATGGGTATGGATATATTTGCGTATATATACCACGTCCATTTAATATCTATAAAGACTTTAGCATGTATTGTGTTCCAGTAGAAAAACATGTTTTTTTTATAATGATTTCTCTAAATCTGTTGATGAAAACAGGCAAACAGCATGTCTGGCTGTGGGAATTCCAGGTTAGTTCAAGTCCCCAGTACCTCGTGCTTGTAAGAGCCGACTAAGACAGAGATTGGGTTTTCAAGCTATCTGATTGGCTGGTTGCGTTTCACCCTGCCCCATTGGAGTGGGTTGCTGCTCATGCTTTCAGTCACTGGTTTACCTGGACGGGCTCGATTATTTACAAGTATACACCCGTAATTGATGGTGGCTAAAAACAAAACAAGCACAAAATGGTTATTCGGTGGTGATGTATTCGATACGGGTGTCACAGTTGTGTTTTGGGCGCTATTTGCACTGTTTTCAGCCTGGTAACGTTTTGGCAACGTTTGTAATTTTTTGTTTAAATCTAATTTGCAAGCTTGTACTTTCTTTGCCATGTAGATCGAATAGTTCTGACCTCGTGATCAACATTCATACACTCTTCTCAGACACATGATAAAAAATGGAAGTAAATATTAAAGAAATTGTCTTTTGCAAGTGGTTGCTGCACGCGCCATTGCTCCTCCCAGTATCTGACAAACACCAGGACCCGAGAAGATTCCGGGGTAGAATAGGTCTTCAGCAACCCATGCTTGCCGTAAAAGGCGACTATGCTTGTCGTAAAGCCGACTATAACGGGATCGGGTGGTCAGGCTCGCTGACTTGGTTGAGGCATGTCATCGATCCAAATTACGTGGATCGATGCTCATGATATTAATCACTGGATTGTCTGGTCCAGATTCGATTATTTACAGACCGCCGTCATATAGCTGAAATATTGCTGAGGGCGGCGTTAAAAAACAAACCAACCAAACCAAACCAACACACATCAGCATCCTTCCCCAATTAAATGCTCTGCAAGCAACGGGACAGCGCCATTGCTCTACCCCATCTGGCAAAGCACTGTTTCTACAACGGCAGTACTCTGGATATTCACTTACATAGTCGGCAGTAGAAATCAATGAAAAGCAAGATTGTCCCTTTGCATTAATTATAAGTAACGTTTGAGGCAGGACGCATCGGTGTTAATCAGTTCGAGCAGCGTGGCAGATGTTGCGAGATACTGCAGGTGATTACAGGTGGGCTACAGGTGATAATGCACAGGTGTGTCAGGTTTACAGGGAAATAACAAAAAGGTATGTTAGTGGCGTTACGATAAGTGGTGCATGTCTTGAGTTGTTGACGTTAAGGGCTATCTACGTCTAGTCTTCATGTCAGAGAAATACTCCCTCCAAATCCACAGTAACTGTTGTTTTTTTAACTGTTTGTTCATTTGCGCGTACAAATAAATACACATACTTCAGTTTATGGTAACAGGTGACATATGAACTTATCTAAAATCATATGTACCTTCAATCTGAGTCGTTCTCCTCCTATGACTTAGGTTATGTTTGTTATGCATTAATTACCATTACAAAAATCCCGTTACACGCAGGCCTACTTTATAATCGGACACATATTGTGTAATTTTGTTCCTTGCTGCAGCTTCAGATGTATTTTTAAAGATTTTGATATTTCTTAAAACATGCTAACAATTTATTTCTATGCTTAAAAAATTATATTTTTTCACCCTTTAAGTTAGAAATTGCAGAAATTCTGTCTGGAAATTGTTTAGTGGTGTGCTACAGGCGTGTAATTAGATTACGTCCCTTTGATTATCGCTGTTGTGTACATTGGAAACATTCTTTTGATGCGAAATTACGGGAGCATCTAGTTTGACTTCATTGTCTCGTTATTACGTAAACATGGCACTAGGGTGATGGGATATATTGCTGTAATGGTGGTAAATGTCAACTAGGTAGGTAAAATAGCTCTATATGTATATGTGTGAGCCGAGCGTATATTACTGAGACGTCAAGTCAATACTTGTCAACGGCTTGGCCAGCCTCGCTGGGGAGATGAAATTGATAACGTTTCATACATTGTTGTAAAATTGTAAGCTTTCACAACATGTGCCAGGAATTATGGAATAATATTACCGCCGCAGATAATGAGTATGATATTTTGTGTACACATGCCATGTCCGTACAGCTTGTATATGTACAAGAGGTCTGTGTTTCATTAGATACATATCGGTAAATCCTGATATATATGTTCATAATAATGATTTCTTACCTATTTCTTTTAATGTATGTATGGAAAGGATATACCTCACACAATTTGAAACAAATATTTCTAAGCAAGCAGATGCCATTTTTTAATGTTTTATGTTAATGTTAGTTATGTAAAGCAAAGGTTATTGATTTTGGCTCAGAGACAGGAGTTATCAGGTTACACTTAATACAGGCCCACACCAATCATTACTAAAGTTTGGCTTCTTTCTACCCATGAAAAATGTCTAACACATTCCCAAATCTAGCTTTGTACTGTATCTGTGTTTTGTTTGTTGTTTAACACCACAATCTGCAATTATCCACCTATATGAAGGCGGTCTGTAAATAACTGAATCTGGACCAGACAATTCAGTGATTGATATCATGAGCATCGTTCTACATAATTGGTATATGATAACATGCATCAACCAAGTCAGCAAGCCTGACCACACCCAATCTCATGAAAATCAGATCTTTCTTCTTGCTATCGCTGAACAAAGATCTGAGGACATCCCATTACGGGTCACGTCAGAATGACCTTTCATCTGACCATTCAAAGCATCGCTTACCACATCATGAAAGTGACAGTCGGAATGTGTTTTCTAATCATGCAACCTCGAAAACGTTAACACGGGGTATTCCGAACGACAGTTACGGCCCGTACGACTAATTCCGTCAAAATTGTCGTCTGTCTCTCGCTTCCTTGAGTGGAGGAGGCGTTGCACAGTACATGGGAAGCACTGCCATACAATCTCAACCATATATTAGACATTCCGGAATGTTGTTTTGTTCAGTTTTCAAAATTTTAATCGAGAATTGTGTCAACATATGTTTCAAGCATAGTCTGAAATGGAAGTCGCCAGGTTGAAACGAGTGCCGTAAAGCTCGAGAAAGCTGCTTTTTAACTGGCTGATGTCGACTCCTTGTTGGTCTTTTCAGTGGTCGGTCAAAGTTCGCGAAAGGTAATGGGAAGTCCTCAGATCTTTGTTTAGCATCAGAGAGAACTTAGATCTGATTTTAATGAGATTGGACCACACGATCCTGTTAGACACCTCTTGCGATGACCATAGTCGCCTTTTACGGCAAGCATGAGCTGTTTAAGATCTATTCTAACCCGGATCTTCAGTTGTTTCTGTGATAGTGTTCCATAAATACTTTTGTTATGTGTGTTATTCAATGCCACTCTCAGAAATATATTCCAGCTATATGGCAGATCTCTGTAAATAATGTTGCAGGGATAGACACAGCCACTAGTACATTAGTGCAATACTAGTGAGAATCTATTTGAACCAGTTGTTTTCTCCAAAATCTAATTATTTCACACACCTACTTGTCTGAAATGATCTGCGGACTAGTTGGGTATGCCCAATGGTATCTACCCCTGTAATTGAGTCTGGACCAGGCAAGCTAGTGATTGACATAGAGCATCAATCCACGTAATTGGGGTGCAATGACATGCAATCAACCAAGTCACCAATCCTGCCCACCTCATCCACTTTGTCTCTTCTTATGACCTATATAGGTTGCTGAGGATCTATATTCTTACACAGAATCCCCATGGGTCTTTAGTGGAATACTGTAGTAATGTGTAACCAAGGTTGGTTGGTTGGTTGATTTGTTGTTTAACGCCATACTCAGCAATAGTCCAGCTATATGACGGCGGTCTGTAAATAATCGAGTCTGGACCAGACAATCCAGTGATTGATATCATGAGCATCGATCCACGCAATTGGGATCGATGACATGTATCAACCAAGTCAGCGAGCCTGACCACCCGATCCCGTTAGTCGCCTTTTACTACAACGTAGTTGCCTTTTATGACAAGCATGTGTTGCTGAAGACCTATTCTACCCCGCAATCTTCACGGGTCTGTAACCAAGGACCACCAGACTGAATACTTAGCTGCAGCATAACTATCAAAGAAATATTTTAATGAGAAACAAACCCCTGTCAAATGTACCAGCTAGTGTGAATCAAGGGCGGATCTAGTATTTTTAAAAGCGAGGGGTCCAAAATATCAAAATCCTCTCTGCCTTTCTGCCTACAAGTGAGTGACAGCGGGGGACACCAGAAATGGGCTTCACACATTGTACCCATGTCAGGAATCGAACCTGGGTCTTCAGCATGACGAGTGAACGCTTTAACCACTAGGCTACCCGACCGCCCCTCTCTGCCTACAACTTTATACTGCCTACAACCAACTCCATTTGGTTTTCAAAGGGGGTTGGGGTCTGGACCCCCCTCTGAATCCGCCTATGTGAATTATTGTCAGAATATTTTTAATATTAGTGAAACTTTTCCTACACCATTCATTCACACAGCCACTCTCACTATTATCATTGATTATGTATTCTTACAGATTATTTTTTTTTTATAAATCTATTTTAAGCCAACTACTCTGTTGAGAGACCCCTTTTATTTCCACACAAACAATATCTTCGTACAGAGATGGGTAATGAATACCATGGTTTGGGATTTTTGATTTCCTATATTAAATTGAACTGATGAAAAAATGGTTTGGAAATCTTACTTTGAGGTAAAAACAAAATATTCAGAAAATCACTGGTACCTAAAACATTTACTAATTTCATTCACAGATCGCTGGTGGTTTGATAAACACCTTTGAATGTCACCATGGTCACCCATCTGTCCTGATGTGATGTACAATGTCGAGGAAGACTGACAAGAGGTAAGTATATTCTAAGACTGATAAATATTCACAATACCCAGTAATTATTAGTACATGTATTATCATGATTACTACATTGTATATTGGGGCATGTGTGACCCAGTCTAAGGCGCCGCTTTTCGCTGTGCAGAGTTGTGCTCCTTGGGTACACCAGTAACCTATGATCTGTTGCCCCGATAATGTTTTAAGTTTGTCAGCACCATACCCATAGGTCGTGGGTGTTGTGTTTCATCAAAGTGGTAAGAATCTAAGACCTGCATCATTTTGGGCTTTCCTCCCACATATAGCTGACACCCGGTGATATGATACTGTTCAAAGCAGCTTTAACCCCAAATCACTCATGCCACTGTATCATGCTGCATATCACCTATCTGAAGCAAAATTATTGTTAAAAGTTGTCTATTATTGAGACAATCTCATTAAAATCAGTTTGTTTACTCAGATTTGATACCTCTCTGCATAAAGATCTGAGAAACCCTCCAACATGTCCAAGGAATGCCACTTCAGGTGAACTTTCTCATCAGCCAATTAGGATGGATCCTTCAAAATTCTCCGTACGAGTGAAGGAAGCATTTAGGGCAGCATATCTGATTTCAGTATTTCCAAAATGAACATGGGCAGTTCCGAATGGAGAATAAAAAAAAGAATTTGACACCCTGCTGGTTTTTATGACCGCCAAGGTATCTTTACCCAGAGGGTACACTTTCAAAGGAACATTTTTGTTTGTGTGGGCTTTTTTTTTGTTCAGACCTAAATTTATGAATTCTGAATTGTTTTCAAAGGCTGACATCTGATAGGATCATTAACCCCAATCTCATTCTCATTTCACCGCTAAACAAAGATCTGAGGACATACCGTTACAGGTCACATCAGACTGACCTTGCGCGAACTTTGACTGACAAATGGAATGACCAATCAGAAGGCAGCTTTCTCGTGCTTTACGGCACTAATTTCAAATTGGCGACTACGCTTCGAAACATATTTTGACCAATTCTTGATTACAAATTTGAAACCTGAACAAAAGAACATTCTGGAATGGCTAATAGATGGTCTAGATTGTATGGATTCAGTCATTAAACCTGTTACTATCGTTCGGAATACCCTGTGTTTAAGTTTTCGAGGTTGCATGATTAGAAATCACATTTCGACTGTCACTTTCATAATCTGGTAAGCGACGCTCTGATTGGTCGGATGAAAGGTCGTTCTTACGTGACGCCTAATTGTATGTCTTCAGATCTTTGTTTAGCAGAGGTGAGAACTAAGGTCTGATTTTAATGAGATTGCATAAACCCACGCATCTTTCATTTTGATTGGGTCAAAGTTCGCTCAGGGTTCACTAGGCATGACCTCCTGTTGCTGTGTCCTAAGATCTTCGTGGAGAGAGGTATCAGACATGATCAAATTGGAGTGATTCAACTTTGTAATTGATTCCTCTGTCCAAAATGTAAACAGACAGAGGGTTATTGGTGCCGTGATACACCCTATGTTTTATTTAGTGGATCTTATTATTTGATACTGCAATCACCCTCTGGGTGATAATCATTATTATCACAGCGGTGTAGCCTAGTGGTTAAAGTTTTTGCCTTTCATGCCAAAGGCCTGGGTTTGATTCCCAACATGGTTACCATGTCTGAAGCCCATTTCTCGTTACAATGTGTGAAGACCATTTATGATGTTCTTCGCTTTGATATTGCTGGAAAATTGCTGAAATTGGTGTGAAACCATAGTCATTCACACTCATATTCACTGTTACCATACATATTTCTGGGCCACTAGCTAGTAATACTGTTGACATATGTATTTCTGGGCCACTAGCTAGTAATACTATTGACATATGTATTTCAGGACCACTAGATGGTAATACTGTTGTCGTACAATTGCTGGGCCAATACTGTTGCCATACGTATTTCTGGGCCACTACCTGGTAATACTGTTGCCGTACAATTGCTGGGCCAATACTGTTGCCATACGTATTTCTGGGCCACTAGATGGTAATACTGTTGCCATACATATTCCTGGTCCACCAGCTGGTAAACCTGTGGCCATTTATATTGCTGGACAAATACTGTTGCCATACATATTCCTGGTCCACCAGCTGGTAATACTGTTGCCATACGTATTGCTGGACCACTAGCTGGTAATTCTGTGGACATATGTATTGCTGGACCACTAGCTGGTAATTCTGTTGACATATGTATTGCTGGACCACCAGCTGGTAACTCTGTTGACATATGTATTGCTGGACCACTAGCTGGTAATTCTGTTGACATATGTATTGCTGGACCACTAGCTGGTAACTCTGTTGACATATGCATTGCTGGTCCACCAGCTGGTAATTCTGTGGACATATGTATTGCTGGTCCACCAGCTGGTAATTCTTTGGACATATGTATTGCTGGTCCACCAGCTGGTAATTCTGTGGACATACGTATTGCTGGGCCAGTACTGTGGCCTTACATATTGCTGGGCCACTAGGTGGTTATACCAATATTGTGTTTTACAGACGAACTGGCCTCCAATGTGAGAACAAGAAGCTGGAGCGTGAGATAGAGGAGCTGGAAGATGCTCTACTGCTACACAAACACATCCACAACTCGGACCAGGCCAGCATCCGATCCACTCTCAGGTGGGTTCAGTGGCCATGTCTGTTTCAGTGTTCAACAAATAAAATGCTTAACAGAGAAGTCAGATGTCTGATATATATAAGAATCTTAATTCCTTCAATTTTGTTGGGGTTACCAGGTTTTCTAATTATGGTATCTAGGATTTCAAACATTGTGTCCTTGGCAGGATGTGGTGGACACAAGCAGGGCTATATGTAGGATTTCAAACAATGTGTCCTTGGCAGGATGTGGTGGACACAAGCAGGGCTATATGTAGGATTTCAAACAATGTGTCCTTGGCAGGATGTGGTGGACACAAGCAGGGCTATATGTAGGATTTCAAACAATGTGTCCTTGGCAGGATGTGGTGGACACAAGCAGGGCTATATGTAGGATATCAAACAGTGTGTCCTTGCAGGCTAATTGGGAAAACAGTTGTCATTTTCTCTATAAAAACTCATGTGGATATATTTAATATTCAAAGCTACTGAGGTGAGATTCTTTGTCTCTTCCCTACAGGAAGGAGGTGGGCGGGTCGAGGTGGGAGCACGGTGGACAGGGCAGGCTGAGGACGTACAAATCCAGCAAGGACCTGGAGGAGAGGTACAGCCTGGAGGAGGTGTCGGTGGAGCCAGGGGATATGTCAGCAGGGGTAGGGGGGAGGAGGCGAGGAGCTGCGGATACCCTGGAGGAGAAGGATCCACAGTTGGTGAAAGTCGGCAGTGTCGATCGAGTGAGGTCGTCAGCCAGGCTACGGAGAGATAACCGAAGACAGAGGGGTAGGTCAGGTGACTTGAAGAAACATTAAAAAAGTTAAGGACTACCCAATTCTTTCATATCAGGTGCTTCTTAACTTCTTGGGTAGTATAACTTAAAAAGTATTATTGTATTTTAATATATTGGAGACTTCTCCAGTCTAGGGTGGTCATGTGACTGATTTGGTGTACTGCATGAGGGAGATTTAGGCTTTCTTTTGGCTGACATGGCAATATATATTGCGGTGATATTTTTATCATAATTCTCGTGTGTTTTCAAGTTTTTAAGGTAACTTTTCAACTAGTTGTAATTATAGCATTTTAATATTGAATTTATATTGATAGTGACAGTAAATGAGGTGTTTTTATTGGCAAAATTTAAAAAAACCCACTGCTTTTATTTTTAATTATTTTTTTCACATTTCAATTTTTGGAATCGGCAGATTTGTAAACCATGTAATAATGTCTGGTCTTACCTGTAGGTTGAGACAAGTACCAATGTTTGTGTACAGTGCTAATGCAGATTCTGCCAGGACCGTACAATTTCCAGATTAAAGAAGGAATCATCATTACCATGATTACGGAGGAATAAGAATAATCATTCGGAAAGTGGGTTCTGGATTTACAAGTTCCAGATTAATGAGGTTTCACTGTACATGACATATTGAAACAAAGCTTTGCAGAAATTCAAATATATCCATCCTACTTTCAGATCAACAAAAGACTTCATCGAGACCTGCCTCCGGGAAAGCATCATCTAGTCATCAACCCGTCAGGGGGAACTCTACCAAGGAGTCTGTCTCCACTGTTGTCACAAAACAGCCCAGTGGTTCCAGAGCAACGGATGCTGTCTTAAAAGGAAAGCTGTCTCAGGATGGCTCTGCAAATTTAGATGGAGAACTTTTTCCTACAGATCCTCTGAAGATTGATAGTCTCAAACATAAAGTTCTTCAGAAAGTCAGTGCTAACGTCATCCGCAGACCTCCCCCTCTGGACCCTCAGGATGATGTCATGGTAGAGCAGGTGCTTGTGGACCACCTTCCATCCCGGACTCCTGGTAACAGGGAGAAGGTGACTGAACCTAAAGTTATGGCCTCTGATAAGAGACAGAGTGATGTGAATCCACCAGAACAGGCCAGTAGACGTACACAAGATTCCAGAAAAGCTGCTCGAGCTCCTGCAGAAGATTATATCAATATGGTTGCAGGCAATGATTTGAAGTCTTGTGAGACTCCTGCTAAAAAGACAAAAAGGGCACAAGTTAGAAATAATAAAGACCAGACGGAGATGAGGAAGAACAGACAAAACTTGAAGTATGGTGTGGGTGGTAAAGTCGATGAGTCCAAAGTAACAAAGGTTGTGAGTAGGTCTAAACTTGATGAGGTGAAGCTTGCTATTAATGAAGTGGAAAGGGTGAATGTAGAGGAGAATTCGGTATCCTCCAATCCAAAATCGTTTAAACCATCACGGGAGGTTCTGACAAGTGATTACAGCTCAGATCTGGAGACCTCACCCGACCGTTGGGACGATCCTCAGTTTGGAGGAGCATGTTTTGAAAGGGAAGCATGGCTGGCCTCACTGCACAAAGCTGGTGATGCTGGGGGACGACCACGCTGTCCTCCACCATCGGATGATGTCTCGGACACACCTGTTCTAGGAGGAATGATGATGGACTTGAGGTCTAGAGGTGTCACTGTTTCTCTTCTGGAACCAAATGTTGCCAATGGATCTGGAGACTCTTCGACAGGGAACAAGATGGTATGTGACCCAGGTGTTGTCTCCTGGCTACAAGATCTAGGATTGAGGGAGTGTAGTCGGTATATCGAGGTGTTTGCTGAGAATGAAATTGATATGGAGACCGTGAAGGATTTAACAGCTGACCAGCTGAACCAAATGGGCATCACAGCTGTCGGACCAGTCAACAAGATCCTCCGAGCAGTGTCAGTCCTCAAGTCATCTCCTCCCTCGGCAAATATGACAGTAGATGAGTTGCTGGCTGCTGTAGGATCGAGTCTGAAACAAAACACCTCAGAGGTGTCTAGAACTGATGAAAGAAGAGGGAGATTACGAGGAAAGGTGGCAAAGGATGAATTTGATTTTTCTGTATTCGCTGGGGAAGAGGGAAAGGATGAGATAAAGAATAAACTAAGGGAACAGAATACAAAGACATTGACTTCAGAACGTTTAGAAAAGGAAGTTTTCTTAGCATCAGAGAAAAAAGGAACTGATCTTGTAGTTGAAAAACATGAGTTGGATAGGAGACCACCAGTAGACAGAAAGTCTTCTTTTGACTCTCAGAAAGATACAAAACAGCCATTAGATGAATCAAAAGCATTGACTCGTAAACAGAGGACGCCGCTTCAAAGAAGCTCCTCTGCATCACGTGTACAATCTGACAGGGATAGGAGTTTAAGTAGTGATGGTTCAACCAGGGGGAGACAACTCACACGCCAAAAGTCAGTGCAATCAGTGCCTAAGCGGTTACCAAGTGGTAAGAAGATGGCTGCAAGAGATGACAGTGCTGATGGCAGGGCTAAAGTCAGTAAGGCAAAGTCTAGTAAGATAAGATCTTTGGAAGTTATTAAGAAACAAGCAGAAGCAGGGATTTCTGCTGCAGCTCAGAAGCGAGAAGACATTCAGACAAAAACAAAGAAGGAGACGATGCAGCTGCAGCGAATGGAAGAGAGCAGACGTCAGAGGAGAGACAAGATGGCTGCCAAGCACACTGGGAGAGGGAGACTGGACAGCAAGGGATCCTTGCAGGTATATAGTCAAGTTAATCTCGTATTCCAATTGAAAATTGTTTTGTTGCATATATTTATTCTCGAGTCATAATAAAGAGGAATAGCCAAGCTGGGTAGAAGATGGAAAAATGATGTGGTCCAGTTTCACTTTCTGCAATTGTATTGTACAGTTGATTATCATGAGATATGATCAAGGCAGGATGTTTCAGATGTGCTAAAAGTCTTCTATATTCATTTAAACCAATGTCGAGTATGAGTCGGTGCAAGAGACATGATAGAGATACCCAATCACAAAATACCTGGGAAACATGCTTTCAGACACGCACTCTCCATCTTCATAACAATACAAAAAACTAGGAACCAACTTCCCCGTGAAGATCCAGTTAGTCTTCAGCTACCCGTGCTTGTCATAAGAGATGACTAATTGGATCATCAGATTTGCTGACTTGGTTAATACATGTCAACGTATCCCAATTGCGTAGATCGATGCTCATGACGTCATTGTATCATCTGGTCCAGACACGATTCGAAACCTTTTTACAGAGAGCCATGATATACCTGGAATATTGTTGAGTGTGGCGTTAAACAACAAACTAACAGAAACCAGTCAGTGATCAACTATGTATTACAGTATCAAATGCATTTTCAATTCCAGTTGTCACACAGGCCTCAAGGGTCAGACCAGGACCCCCTGGAGTTCTTCTCCCTGCCAGCAGACCCAGGCAACAAGGAGACCAGTCAGATCTCACCCCGGGACACTATCAACGATAACTTCCCCATCAGAGTGGAAACAGTTCTCTCGACACCAATTCCAGCTTCGCTCTCTCCCAGGAAGGGAGACAACTCAACAACTGAAACGTCTCTTAGTGCCAGAGAGAAAATAAGAAATGTGGACTTAATGGTGAGGGTTGTTATCAGTTAACATTCACCAGCCCTCTTGTTCATTATTCATAAAGATGTGTTTGTTTGTTTGTTTGTTTGTTTGTTTGTTTGTTTGTTTGTTTGTTTGTTGTTTAACCTCTCACTCAGCAGTATTCCAGCTACAGTAAACTATGGTTATAAGGAACAGGTTTATAACGAAGTGACGGATATAACGAATTTATTTTTTGGTCTCTGCCATTTGCTGTATATATGCTATATATATGCTTATAAAGAACTACGGTTATTACAAACTAAAATCAGTCGTCCCTTTCAGTTCGTTTTAACCATGGTTTACTGTATATGACGGCGGTCTGTAAATATTCAAGTCTGGACCAGACAATCCATAAAGATGTGTACACACACTTCGTGTACTCCTTAAGAACAAGTGAGTTTGACATTGTTTTGGATGATCAGTTTGTTTGTCGCTGTCGACATCATCTGCTGTCATCTATACAAATCTTCTCATCTTACACCTGCTGGATGGTGAAACTTTAAGCATGCATGTTCAACCAGTGGTGGATCTAATGGCTTGGAGCCATTCGTTATTTTTTTTACGAAACTCATGAAAATCTACACAGCTTTGAAAGACTGTGTCAAGTTAATTAAAGAAACATTGTTCATAATAGAAAAGTGTTCACACTCATATGCTTGTTGTTTAATATTAACTTCTAAGTATGTTTGTTTGTTTGTTTGTTGTTTAACGCCACACTCAGCAATATTCCAGCTATATGACGGCGGTCTGTAAATAATCGAGTCTGGACCAGACAATCCAGTGATTAATATCATGAGCATCGATCCACGCAATTGGGATCGATGACATGTATCAACCAAGTCAGCGAGCCTGACCACCCGATCCCGTTAGTCGCCTTTTACGACAAGCATAGTCGCCTTTTACGGCAAGTATGGGTTGCTCAAGACCTATTCTACCCCGGAATCTTCACGGGTCAACTTCTAAGTAAAAAAAAAAAAATGTTATTTAGAGACAACATAGCAGTTTGTGTTGGTCCTAGTATATCTACTACTAGTCACATGTTTAATTGAAATGTTTTCAGGTAAGGGATCTACAAAGAAAATCTGTGGATAAACAAAAACTTACCCTTGGCATTGTACGCGACCTTCAAAAACAGTTGGAGGAGATAGAAAAAGGTCTGGCTTCAAGAACTAATGAAGAGTTGCAGCTGGTACCAGAGGAGGTTTCTAGTCCAAAGTCTGACATGGAATCACAGAGACTCAAAACACTGCCCGAACAGTCTAGTCCCAGAGACAATCCTGCCTCAGACAGAAGTGCCAAACATATAAAACTGACTTCTGTTAAGAAACCTGCACTTAAAGAACCTTCTGGTGATGTCTTACATGACCTTGTGAATGACCTTGTGCCCAGGAAATGTAAAGGGAAAGAAGATGCTGTGCATCTGTTGACCAGTGCAAGTGTCGGTAAGCAAGGTCAGAGTTCAAGGTCAAAAGTGCATCAGCCGTCTGGAGTGGCATCCTTGTCGATGAGCAAGAGGGAACTGCTAGATGAGATCCGAAAAGAGAAAGATGATCACAGGAAGCAGATCAGGTAAGATGCGAAGAGATATCAAAGTGTCCATATCAGAATTGAGCAAGATTTTTTTCAGTATTTTGAGCCATATGACCTGCAGTACAATTGTGGTAGAACATTATAAAATGTCACATGATAGTGTTAAATAAAGCATTTATATTAACATTACAGCAACATTTGTAGCATCTAGAAGACTACACACTATACATGTTTATCTGAACAGGAAGATATCTTAAGCAAAGGCTGTTACTATTATATTTTTCACAAACATTTTACTAATGCAATTCATCTTCAATGCATGCTTACATGATTCACATACTGCACTTGAAAGCAGTAATTATAAATCTTAGAATTAGGTAGAGAAATTCTAATTCTATTTCGATCATGTAAACGTGTTAAATGCATTTCAAGTTGAAGAAGAGATTTAAGTTCACATTAGTGCTTAAGAAATGTTGACTTGTGAACATCTGTTTTGAAGGGATATATCTCTTACTCTTTGTCTACAGAATTGCCCATAACACATGTCAATATGTGTCCATGAGTTATGTTGACTGATAGCTCTGACAGACAATGGTAGAATATATCACATCCATGGTAGGACTGAGATTCATGTTGAATTCTAAAACTCAATAAATTCAGATCTGTTACTCTGAAACCTCCCTGCTTGAAGATCTGAGGAGACTTCCATAGGAGGTGGCTTCAGGTGAACTTTCTGGTAAGCCAATGACCATCAAGGCTTCTAAGTTCTTGGTACAAGTGAGCGAAACATTCAGACCAAGATATCTGATTTCTGTATCTCTGAACGACCTTCAACGACCTTTCCTGACTGTACATAATGAATGCAACACCATTATGTTGTTGTGGACATTTTATACACCCTGTCATCTCTGCTTTCTATGGCTTCTACAGCCAAAAGGGAGTAAAATGTTAGTATATGGTGTTAGGACTAATATAGCAAAGGATGCTCAAAGGCTGAGATAGTCAAGGGCATACTATGACCAATTCGACCTCCAGTCTGAGACCAATGTGTAACACTACAGGCCTGTCATTCACTCCTTCATGCTGCTATTGTTATTCCCCACCTAGACACCTCCTGTCTGAGACCAATGTGTAACACTACAGGCCTGTCATCCACTCCTTCATGCTGCTGTTGTTATTCCCCACCTAGACACCTCCTGTCTGAGACCAATGTGTAACACTACAGGCCTGTCACCCACTCCTTCATGCTTCTGTTGTTATTCCCCACCTAGGCACCTCCTGTCTGAGACCAATGTGTAACACTACAGGCCTGTCACCCACTCCTTCATGCTTCTGTTGTTATTCCCCACCTAGGCACCTCCTGTCTGAGACCAATGTGTAACACTACAGGCCTGTCACCCACTCCTTCATGCTGCTGTTGTTATTCCCCACCTAGACACCTCCTGTCTGAGACCAATGTGTAACACTACAGGCCTGTCACCCACTCCTTCATGCTGCTGTTGTTATTCCCCACCTAGGCACCTCCTGCCTGAGACCAATGTGTAACACTACAGGCCTGTCATCCACTCCTTCATGCTGCTGTTGTTATTCCCCACCTAGGCACCTCCTGTCTGAGACCAATGTGTAACACTGTCATCCACTCCTTCATGCTGCTGTTGTTATTCCCCACCTAGGCACCTCCAGTCTGAGACCAATGTGTAACACTGTCATCCACTCCTTCATGCTGCTGTTGTTATTCCCCACCTAGGCACCTCCAGTCTGAGACCAATGTGTAACACTGTCATCCACTCCTTCATGCTGCTGTTGTTATTCCCCACCTAGGCACCTCCAGTCTGAGACCAATGTGTAACACTGTCATCCACTCCTTCATGCTGCTGTTGTTATTCCCCACCTAGGCACCTCCAGTCTGAGACCAATGTGTAACACTGTCATCCACTCCTTCATGCTGCTGTTGTTATTCCCCACCTAGGCACCTCCAGTCTGAGACCAATGTGTAACACTGTCATCCACTCCTTCATGCTGCTGTTGTTATTCCCCACCTAGGCACCTCCAGTCTGAGACCAATGTGTAACACTGTCATCCACTCCTTCATGCTGCTGTTGTTATTCCCCACCTAGGCACCTCCAGTCTGAGACCAATGTGTAACACTGTCATCCACTCCTTCATGCTGCTGTTGTTATTCCCCACCTAGGCACCTCCAGTCTGAGACCAATGTGTAACACTGTCATCCACTCCTTCATGCTGCTGGTGTTATTCCCCACCTAGGCACCTCCAGTCTGAGACCAATGTGTAACACTGTCATCCACTCCTTCATGCTGCTGTTGTTATTCCCCACCTAGGCACCTCCAGTCTGAGACCAATGTGTAACACTGTCATCCACTCCTTCATGCTGCTGTTGTTATTCCCCACCTAGGCACCTCCAGTCTGAGACCAATGTGTAACACTGTCATCCACTCCTTCATGCTGCTGTTGTTATTCCCCACCTAGGCACCTCCAGTCTGAGACCAATGTGTAACACTGTCATCCACTCCTTCATGCTGCTGTTGTTATTCCCCACCTAGGCACCTCCAGTCTGAGACCAATGTGTAACACTGTCATCCACTCCTTCATGCTGCTGTTGTTATTCCCCACCTAGGCACCTCCAGTCTGAGACCAATGTGTAACACTGTCATCAACTCCTTCATGCTGCTGTTGTTATTCCCCACCTAGGCACCTCCAGTCTGAGACCAATGTGTAACACTGTCATCCACTCCTTCATGCTGCTGTTGTTATTCCCCACCTAGGCACCTCCAGTCTGAGACCAATGTGTAACACTGTCATCCACTCCTTCATGCTGCTGTTGTTATTCCCCACCTAGGCACCTCCAGTCTGAGACCAATGTGTAACACTGTCATCCACTCCTTCATGCTGCTGTTGTTATTCCCCACCTAGGCACCTCCAGTCTGAGACCAATGTGTAACACTGTCATCCACTCCTTCATGCTGCTGTTGTTATTCCCCACCTAGGCACCTCCAGTCTGAGACCAATGTGTAACACTGTCATCCACTCCTTCATGCTGCTGTTGTTATTCCCCACCTAGGCACCTCCAGTCTGAGACCAATGTGTAACACTGTCATCAACTCCTTCATGCTGCTGTTGTTATTCCCCACCTAGGCACCTCCAGTCTGAGACCAATGTGTAACACTGTCATCCACTCCTTCATGCTGCTGTTGTTATTCCCCACCTAGGCACCTCCAGTCTGAGACCAATGTGTAACACTGTCATCCACTCCTTCATGCTGCTGTTGTTATTCCCCACCTAGGCACCTCCAGTCTGAGACCAATGTGTAACACTGTCATCCACTCCTTCATGCTGCTGTTGTTATTCCCCACCTAGGCACCTCCAGTCTGAGACCAATGTGTAACACTGTCATCCACTCCTTCATGCTGCTGGTGTTATTCCCCACCTAGGCACCTCCAGTCTGAGACCAATGTGTAACACTGTCATCCACTCCTTCATGCTGCTGTTGTTATTCCCCACCTAGGCACCTCCAGTCTGAGACCAATGTGTAACACTGTCATCCACTCCTTCATGCTGCTGTTGTTATTCCCCACCTAGGCACCTCCAGTCTGAGCTGACCCGTCTGCAGCACAAGGACCCGGTCCGTAAGTCGGAACTAGACTACAAGGACCTTCAGTACCAGGAGACAGGTAAGAGGAGGGCTGGTTTTGTATGATAAGGGAAATTAAATTTTTCAAGTTAATTTGAATCATATTTTGGTGACTGTTTAACATATTTATTTTCCCTTGCCTCGGGAAGATGCAGCCCCATTGATGTTAATGAAATTTGTTTTCTCAGATCTGATTGGCGAGGGAACATTCTCCCATGTTTACCGAGCCCGCTATCAGGGAGCCGACGTGGCAGTCAAATGTCTGAAGGTGCCGCTGTCATCTCAGAACAAGAACTATTTCGCTGCAGAGGTAACACAATCCTTTGTGTACTTGAAAAAAATTCTGTTTTGCATGATGCATTTAATAAACATGGTGTAGTGTCCCAAATGGAATTTCCATTGTGGCATCGTCAGGTCAGCTTCTATCTTCATGGCATGTGCACTGGATATACACCACTTTTGTTTATGTAATTTAACAATCAAAAAGTACATAAAAAATGCTACCGAATCAAAATAAAAAAATGAAATGACAAATTCAAAGAGACACAAGACATCAGGTTTGTGTTAAGTAAGTGAGTGAGTGAGTGAATGTCTTTTAATGCAGCACTCAGTAATATCCAGGTATATCATGACAGCCTGTAAACAATCCACCAGTCAAACGAGTGACTTAAAACATGAGCAAGGATTGACACCATTGGACACCATGACACCAGACAGAGCCTGACCACCTGATTCAGTTTAGTCCCTTCTTGTGACACATTCTACCCAATCACCATAGGGTGAGTGAGTATATCCAGAATGAGCATGCCCTGCCCATCGGTGACCATGAGACTTACAGTGTAGTGGTCAAATTTGTTGGTGGCAATAGAAGTCTTTACAACCATTAAGACTTGTCTTATTTTTGTAGGTATGCCTACTGCGTGACCTTCGCCATCCACGGGTTGTCATGCTGATCGGCGTCTGTACGTCACGACGTTTGCCGCTCATGGTGTTGGAGTACATGTCTAAAGGAAACCTCTTTGCCTTGCTGCATAATCCTAACAGGTACATGCTGCTCTGTCTCAATGACCCCCGGGTGACAGACTGATTCACATTTCATCAAAATTGTAAAGTTTGATATTAACCTTGCCATGTGCTCTATTGTGTCCTATTGTTTAAATTGCTTAATCTTGCCAAATTCTAGACATCTTAAAATTCCTGGCAGATGTTGTGAAATTGTCATGTCCCTCGAAATTCTACATTGTGACCTTCACATGTCCTGCCAAATTCAATAGTGAAATTGAAATTTTGATGTCCTGCCAAATTTTGTGACCTTGACATTGTCATGTCCTGCCAATTTTATAATTTATCCATGTATTGTGACCATAACCTCAATGTTCCATCCCCAGAGAGTCTCTGGACCATGCTGAATACTACCAGATAGCCCGAGACATCGCTGCTGGGATGGTGTATCTTCACAACCATCGACCGTCAGTCCTCCATCTTGATCTCAAGTCCATGAACGTTCTCATTGGGACAGGAGATCGAGCCAAGATTGCTGACTTTGGCTTCTCGAAGCTCAAGTATGTAGTTTTCATACTATTCCTCTGTTTAGACATATGATATGATCCTTCTGCATAGTCACTCCTATTTGTAAAAATTAAGCCTAAAACTTAATGTGTCATTTCGCAACCAAAACAAAATGTAAACTGAATTTTTCTCCTTTCAACAATGACTTAACATTTTTATACCCTGACGAACTGCTCCAAAGTCTGCTTAATCCTCCCTCATGGGAATTCCAGAGCAGAATGTGACCCCCGTCTCATGCTTGCCTCATGTGAACAGGTCAGCTGAGACTGGAAATGTCTACCAGTAGGTGGGACAGCATGAAGGAGTGTTTGACTTGAGGTGCCGAGGTGGGGCAATACCTACAGCCAACTACTCACTCACTCACTGTTATGTGTGTTTCTGTATGCAGACATGAAGCTGATCAGAATGCTGCCAAGGCCAGCAAGGTCAAGGAGCAGATTCAAGGGTCTCCAGCATGGATGGCACCAGAACTGCTCCAGGCAGGGGAGGTAACTCTCAAAGCAGACGTGTACAGTTTTGGCCTCATCCTGTGGGAGATGCTGACCAGGAAGATCCCGTATGAGGGGAGCTCCATGTTCCAGGTGCTTGACTCATGCCATTCTTCGGAAAATAAGGCCACTATAAATCAATTATTATATTTCCATCTAATTGTTTTAAAAATTTGATACTGGGCGGTTGGGTAAAAAGCGTTCGCTTGTCACACTGAAGACCCAGGTTCAATTTCCGACATGTGTACAATGTGTGAAGCCCATTTCTGGTGTCCCCCGCCATGATATTGCTGGAATATTGCTAAAAGTGGCGTAAAACCATACTCACTCACTCACTAAAAATTTGATACATTTTGTTGTTGTGTATCTTATATTATCTAAACAAACTGTTCAAGGCATCTGTGGGCATTACCTGTTGATAGATGTGATTCACATGAAACTTGAATGTTTGGAGGACGACACATAAGTATTTCATCAAGTAAAGAAAGAAGGGCACGCACTCGTCTGTGTGTACTTCAGGTAGAATAAACTTATGTGAGGTGGACTGGTTGGTAAACAGGCGGAGATGTTAATCTGAAGCCTAATGAAAGGGTGAGTGGGGTGGTCCAGTAGTTTAGGAGTTGACTTTTCACAGCAAACACCCGGTTTGATTCCCTGCACAGGTACAATTTGTGTAGCTTTTTTTGGTGTTTCCTGTTGTGATCAGGTGCTGCAATTCTGTATAAAACAGCATAAGACCATACTCACCCAATGATAGGAAGCTGGGTGATATTTTACTGTGGATGATTTGTCTGTAGATCCTCGAGAAAGTGAGATTGAACAAGCGTCCTGAGATTCCAAGTGAGTGTCCTGCAGAGCTGGCAGGGTTTATATCCAGGTGTTGGGACAACAACCCAGCCCGGCGACCGGTCTTCAAGGTGGGTGCCTCTCGGTGTATCATTACGGTTTGGGGGGAGTGAGTTAACATTTAACGTTGCATCGGCATTAATATAGCAACGAGAAGAAGTTGATATATTCATAAGTGAGTCTTGAATACAAAGTAAAATTTGAAAACAAATTTGTCAAACATTATATATACATTATTATTTATACAGTTTAAAACACAGGCTACAGGCCACCAGTAACCAAGGCTAGGCCACCTCGCTGGGGGTCATGAGGACTTACAGTGCCTCAGCTTCCTGCACGATACCCCAGCAGGATTCATGTCTGGCTGGTGGTTGTGCTCAATACTACAATATTAAAAAATGCTCAACAATGCCTTGGCTTAAAACACTGTTTGAACCTCCTGGGCAGAGCTTTCTATAATCTTTATTTGTAAAAGCATCACACCAAATTTAAAAGCAAGCAATAAGTTAAAATTAATTATACAGGCCAGTTTCTTTCAAGTAGCTTAGAATGAGATGCCCGCTTACACGGGAAAAGAGATCTTTCATATTTACTGTTTGATAATGTGAATCCCTTGCAAATGCAAAGTCCTCACAGTCAAACAAAATATGCTGGACGGTGAACCTTTCATCACAACGGATACACTTAGGAGGTTCCATTACGGTTTGTGATGCCATAGAAATCATCCCAAGAAAAGGCAGTTTAGATCTATTATCATGATTATTTCCTGGTTGAAATTAATAAGGGAACAATGAAAAATATAAGGAAATAAGCATAACTGTCAGTACTTTTGAAATAGCACACATACAATTTAAACACGTGGCATCCAATGTTGAGATGTGTTTGTGTGCATTGTTTCCAACGCCTGTTTGGTAGGCATGGCTGTGAACCAATGATATCATATCATTTTACTGCGTCTGAATGTACGTGTTCCCTTATTCATTTCCATCAGTATATGTTGAGATATAAATGTTAATTCCTGGTAATGCAACAATACTTTTTATTGTGGATTTGTCAATGGCAAGAAGTGCACTGACCATTAAATAAATGGGGATGAATTTATGTGTCATGTGAAAAGCCTTCCTGCACAGACTGGAGAAAAAATATTTTGTCAAATATATGTACTGTACATTAAGACTACTCATAATTTAAATTTACATAATGCTTATAATAAAATTTTAAAATTGTGTTAAATTGTTTTGCCTATGAACAAAAATTAGAATGAATTATCTGACGTCACAAAAATAATGAACCTCACTTGACTGCTAAAACTCAACAAAAACAAAGTAGAGCAGAGGCTTGGGGCATCTTTAGATCCAATGATGCTTGAGAGGAGGGGGTGTCGCATTCATAATGAGTTGCATTTTTGGCTAGGGTCCAGTGGTCACATTCTTTTGGAGACGCATTAATTTCATGATTTACAGTATGTCCCCAGCAACTTGGTTGATGGTCGGAAGGTGTCGACTATATTGTTCAGGCGGTCAAGCTTAGTGACTTGGTGACTTGTGTTTCATCATGCCTACATGGTGTGGATCATTGCTCATAACATCAATCACTGGTTTGTCCAGCCTCAATCATTTACCGGCCACCATTATTTGTTTCAATGCCTCTCTAAAACAGAGGTTAAAGATAACTCTTTCTTGTTGCTCCAGGAGGTGTTGTCCACACTGGAGAGCCTTTCCTTCCCCCCTGACTGGAGAGCTCTGTTCCAGCAAGCTGGGGTTCCCCAGGAAGCTCTGGAAGATGTCCATTCAACACGCAACATCATCTCACTCGTCACATCAACTCTGGAGTCATCCAAGCTGGCCAGCCTCCTGGATGCTACAGGTCAAGGTCAAGGTCAAGGTCAAGATCAAGAGATGTGCGAATTGAGTGATGTCTCAGAATCTGGATCATCTGAGATTGATGGAGATATTGATGAAGATATTGACGAGTCATCTGATATGAGTGATGACAGTTTGGAGAGTGAGGAGAAAGACAACTCTGATGATTCTCCTGTGCGTTCAAGAACAACATCTGCTCGTTCCCTCCGGGAACACAAACAGGATATTTTGTTGTTAGGTCAAGAAGTGGCTTCTGTCTCAAGTTCTAGTTTGACAAGGAAAATTGAGAAACTCAGTCTAGAAAGTGTTGAAGATGAACAAAATGTGAATGATACTGATCATGATGACAAAATACCAGCTTCATCTGAGACAAAAAATAGCCAGTCTCAGTTAAAAGCAGCTTTACTGCAAGAAACATCTAAAACATCAGCATCAGATTCCCCAAGGCAGAGGAGAAGAGACAAGGACAAAGGCAGTGCTAGGAGAGGAAGACAATCATCATCGCCAGAAAGTGCTGTGTCCAAATTTTCTGAACTACCCACCCCCAGGAGGAGTAGAGAGGCATGGAGTTCCGAGAACATTCCAGCATGTCCAACCTCTCCAGACTTCCCCCACAACCACATCCCCCCTCCCCCTGCCCCCCCTCCTCCACCACCACCACCCCTCCCACCACCATCAAATCCAGTCAAAGTCAAATCCGGAAAGGTAGAGCCTCAGCGTAAGAAACATCAAAATGTTGTCCTTACTCCTCAAATACTGGAAGCGCGGACTCAGAAACTGAAACCTTTAAAGAGAGACCGGGATCCAAAGAAGGGGGCAACTAGGCCCAGAATCACCCCGAAGCCAGTGAGGAGTGCTTTGTTTGCCGTGGGTGCCTCAGATCTACAGAAACAACGAGGCAAACTGAAACCAACACAACAGCCCCACCCTAACCAGCTGGAGGACCTGGCCCAAGTGAATGGCAAAACCCTGTCCTCGATAGCTGAGATACTCAGAGGTGTAAGTAAACTTGATGTCTTATTACCTGAATCTTCCTGAGGCAAGGGAGTTAACTGTTTCCACCCTTGACAAACTAGGTTGCAATTATGGAGTTACATTTTGGATGGACTTACGAGCCATGCATAGTCCAATCAAAAGTGCGTAACAAACTAGACATCGGGTTTGTAAACAACATGGATTTCAACATGCATAATTTGGTCGACTGCAGGATTCGCAAAGCATGTGTTCCGCCAACCGGGCGACGACAGATATTTTGCAAATTCTTTCATGTGTTTAATCAAGGTGCTCACGTGATTTGATGCATTTTGCAGGGTAAGACCTGTTTTGTTACAATATAGATCTTGATTATCGATCAGATCGTCTTGACTGCGATGCCAATTCGTTTGAAGCATATACAAGTGATATGAGAGATGGAATCCGATTGGTCATTAGGAACAGTAGAAGGGACATAACTCATAATAGCCACTGGTGGCACTACAGTCGAGCCTGGAAATTCCAGCCTAGTTTGGCAAGGGTAGAAACTTGACTTTTATAGTCAGTTAACTCCCTCGCCTCATATGCCTGAATATGGCCTCATCCATCCTTGATAATTCAGGGTATTGTGTCTCCAATTTATGTTGATAAATACCCTGGATCCATCATGGTATATGGGCCAGAACTTACAATAACATTTATACAAAATGAATTGCAAATTGTATATTTATTAAGTCAGTTATTCTGTTATGATTTCAGGCCATGTCAGAACGAAGGTTTGCAATGGGTGAGGATCTCTCAGCAAGTTGTGACCATGCCCATTCTGACTTGAGTTGGTCCACGCAAGATGACTGAAGTAACCATGGTAACATGCGACACTGCCGCTAATCCTTGGACTATTGTTGCATTTCATAATGTGCCATTACTTGATGTCCTGGACAACATAATGCCCCATACAGATCAGTGCACATCATGATGGGCCACGTCCTGCCTCATCACCATGACAACCGTATCAGCAGCTGCTAGAACGTAACCATTTACTGCTAATGCTTGGACTATTGTTGCATTTCATAATGTGCCATTACTTGATGTCCTGGACAACATAATGCCCCATACAGATCAGTGCACATCATGATGGGCCACGTCCTGCCTCATCACCATGACAACCGTATCAGCAGCTGCTAGAACGTAACCATTTACTGCTAATGCTTGGACTATTGTTGCATTTCATAATGTGCCATTACTTCAACTGGATGCCCTGGACAACATAATGCCCCATACAGATCAGTGCACATCGTGATGGGCCACGTCCTGCCTCATCGCCATGACAACAGTATCAGCAGCTGCTAGAACGTAACCATTTACTGCTATGCTTATACTGTCCCACATCCACTGGTTGCCAATACATTGCTACGATTCACGTCTTCATAACTCTTCCCCAAAGTCCAGTGCTGATACTGCAACGGCCTCACAAGCTCGGGGTTCAAATTAAGGAATATCGTAGACATATTGGTACTTCAAAATCGTTTGTAGCTGAGTAACAGTGGATGCTAGATAATAAAATCAGAGCATTACATGGCTACCATTCCCATTCTCCATGGGTACAATGTGAAGACAATTCTTGCACACTCTGGCATGATAAATGTAACTGTGGAAGTGGGATGGTCATTGTCATGCATAACATCCAAGACAATATGTGGTTCCTCTTCTTATTCTTATTTTGTTTGAGATATGGTGATAATATTGCAAGAGCAAGGTGTATTCCTCTAGGCCATGTGCCAGCAAATACCAGCATGAGAACACAGGAAAACAGGTGCTTGTTCACTGGTACAGGAAAGAGACAACTCAACGTGCAAACCAACAGTTATTGAACTCATTCCCAGGAGATGTACAAATGTTAGACAGTTCCATCCAGTCCTTGTCATCATTTGGATTTGAATGGGAGTGTCAATACTATGCCAACATGTACCTTAGCAATCTGTTCCTGGAGGATAGAGTGAAAACAAGTGATCATGGTGTTTTGACTGGATTGCCCAGTACTAGATAGATACTGGTGTGTGTCAAGAACCTCTTTTCAGAATGTTAAAGGTTGGGCCACATACGAGACATCCAATAGTTGTATGTTTTAATCTACGCAGAACGAGGTACGGTGCTCCCAGTTGACAATAACAGGATTGGTTCTGCTGATACACATCTGGATAAGTGTTGATAAACATGTTTACCAGCTGGTGCATAAACAGGTTTCATCCCGACTTCACTCTGGATTTTCTGCTAGCAGGAACAGTTATGGCAGAGCTTCAGGTTGTGAAAATGGACAAATGTTTCTCCAGCTGGTGCATAAACAGGTTTCATCCTGACTTCACTCTGGATGTTCTGGTTGCAGGAACAGTTATGGCAGAGCTTCAGGTTGTGAAAATGGACAAATGTTTCTCTTTATTATTATTTATTTGAAGCACTATAACCAGCCATGATGACTATAGTTTCTCCACAGTGACTTGCTAGAATCTCCGGCATGACTTGTGTTGTCAGAATCTGTAGCAGGTTAGATGGTTTTGATAGAACGCTTATCTTGCCTAACTTGCCTAACTTGCAGTACTATCCACAAGGTCTCATGATGTTGTCCCTGCAATGTCCTTCTTTTCTGAGACTCATAGTTCCAATATAAGTAAATGTATATCTTGTGAAAGTGTTGTTTATGTTCTATGGCTTAAAAAAGTAAAAGAATTGGTTTTCAGTCAATGGCTTTTGAAAATATAGCATGTAACCAAATAAATAGTTTCGTACAATCAACCTGGGAAAGGGCCTCCTGACATAAATGCATTCCTTGATGCATAAAATACTGGAATACAGTATTTGACTACCGTTTGACTTGAAATATTTAAGGATGTTTTGGGTTTTTTTTAAATGAAAATAAAAACGAAACGTGTGGCGAACTTTATGATGATGCGGGCGGTTCCTGAGAACCAATACTATTATATTTTTAGCCTTTGTGTAAGTGTTGTTAAAGGCTTGTACCATAATTACTTCATTGCTAATGCCAGGGAGCGTAGAAATGCTGAAAGAAGTACTGCTCTTATCGTGGACATGATAGCTACAGGACAAGTGACAGTATATTATACTACTCAAAAAATGTTAAGGATTGCCCGATTCTTCATATTTCTAAAGTTAATCTGTTATGCCATAACAGAACTTCCTTTCATATTACTATAGTTGATGTGAAATGATTCAAATGTTGAGGTTCACTTTTGAAGACTGTGACAAATGATTATTGTGGTGGTGTGTTCTACGTTAGTGCACAGGGCTTCCATTATGACTGTTGTGGATTCAATATTGTGAATAGTGAGAGTGAACTCAATCTTAAAATAGTTGAAGTCGCTAATATTTGACTTTTATCTAATTAGAAATTAAAAATGCTCTCATGAATCTTATAATCTCATGGATCATCTAATAATGCCCTATTTTTCTGTATTCTACAAAAGTCTTGAACATCAGGGCTCCAGATAAGTTTTTGAGCCAGTGAATATTTACGTTATCATTCACATTGGGAAGGTATTGACAGTTCTCAGTGAGTCCTACTCTCTTGGGTCGAGTCTATTTGGTTTGGTAAACCGATGAGTAGACATTTCGAAGTTTATTCTACGTCGATGCTGTTTCAGGTAGCGTCTAATCAGCAAGTCTGCTTGTGCTGTCTCAAGAGTCGGGACGGTCGGATAGCCTAGTGGTTAAAGCGTTCGCTCATCACGCCAAAGACCCGGGTTCGAATCCCGACATGGGTACAATGTGTGAAGCCCATTTCTGGTGTCCCCCGCCGTAATATTGCTGGAATATTGCTAAAAGCGGCGTAAAACCAAACTCACTCACTCACTCAAGAGTCACATGTTGCATAACCTCATAGCAGCGTTACATGTCCAAGTTACAAAAAGCAAGATGTTGCACATTTGTGCATAGATGCCTGCAATCAGTCAGGAAAAAGAAAATCTTTAAAGACACTATGTACACAACCTGAAAAAGCTACATCGGGTAATTATGAAGTGTTGTTACACTACTGGGTTATTGAATTTCTTAATGCGTACATAATTTATGCGTTTGTATGCCATAAGCTCAACATTATTTGGGTTATGGTGGTTTAGTCTGCGTAGTTACGCAAATCACAGCTTATCTGGAGTTTCAGAACATGTTGAACAGCAAGGTAGATATGAGTTTTAAGATGACAAAATGGAACCAAAAATCTTAAGGATCGTGAATATTTTGGGGGATATTTTTTGTAATGAAGACGGAGCACACAATTTGTAATAAATTGCCCCGAAAACATTAATGATCCCTAATGTTTTTTGTTTGGTATATCGCATGAGAGTTGAAATTGAAAAGGTTTTTCTTGTTAAAAGCACCAGTTAATTCTATGCATTTTATGTTTGTTGTGTAGTCTTCTGTTAAGACTGTTGTACGTGTATTTATAAGGTTGTTTTAACCAAACTCTAGTCTTATACTATTTATTTTTTATAGTGAAGCACTATAAAGAATCACTTGTTACTCTTCTAAATGTATAATTGTGCTTGTGTAGATTCTCAATCATCATTTCGTGGATCCTGTGTTTGGAGTTTCCCCATCATAAACATTCAAGCTTAAAGGTTTTTCTTTTAGTTCTTACTTATGTTTGATATAAAAAATTGCATTTCAATATTTTGAAATAGTTCATATGGCTTTTGTGATGCATCATAATCATAGTGTTGGAGGCAGATCAATCATTCTCAAAGTTCTTCTAATTATACGGAACATTTATACACTTAAAAACACAGCTAATTGGAAATTATGGCATGTCATTTCAAAATACTTCTTTAAGCCGTATGGGTCTCTATACAGTGGGGGCGTCGGGTAGCCTAGTTGTTAAAGCCTTTGCTTGTCACACGGAAGACTTGTGTCCAATTCCTACTTGGTGCAATGTGTGAAGCCCATTTCTAGTGCCCCCTGCCATGATATTGCTGGAATATTGCTTAAAGCAGCGTAAAACAATACTCACTCTCTCTATACAAAGTACAATAAAGGAGATACTAATTCTACTGTAGATCAGGTAAGTTAATAATGGAATTTTCTATGCCTAATAAATCTTCTTGCTAGATAATTTCAGCTTCACTGACAGCTTAGGATATGTTGTCGGTCCGTAATTTACATATTGAGACATAACATGACCTTGGGTCATAGCATTTAAGGGGGCAAAAGTAGACTTACCATATTTGCCGTAATAAGCATCCCAGGCGTTTAGAAAATTGACGAGGAGGAGTGCTTATTAAAACCATACACAATGATATAATTCTGTTTTGTGTTGTGATTTTGTGAACCATCTCAGTTCAAACATCTGAAACTAAAACCATTTTCAATTATAGTTCTAAGGAAATTATACACCCCTTCCACACAGCTGCTGTCTCTAAACAATGTGTAATGTACACAAGAAAATATTTACTGTCATGTAAATTTTTGCTGTTATACAGAGGCACTTATAAAGAATACTTACAGATTGGTCTAGAAGTTGGTCAGGGGCATTTAATACGGCAAATATGGTTTGTCTTATTGCTTATTGGTTTTCATATTGAGGTAGCTGTGTTGTCGTGCTGTAGTTCCTTTAAGATTATTAAATATTGCAGTTAATGTTTTATTCATCGCTAAACCATGCTACGTTTAGTTATTGGTGCATACCACTGATCGGACATGACATACCTGTGAATTTATTGCTGGACGATTGAAGCCCTGCTTCACTAGACAAGTTAAGAAATGTCAATTACAAAGAAATTAAATCTTATACTGCCCATTTCTGGTGATCTTGCTGGAATATTGTTAAAAGCGACAATAAACCATACTCACTCACTCACTCTTCGCTCAAAAAGGAAAAGACATAACAAATTTTCTTGAGTTTAACATCCTCTAGCAGGAGGCTTGCTATACCATGTGCATATATATTACCATATTCCGTCCTGTGTTTTATATTCACGATGTAAAATGGCATTTTACCATGTTTACTATATTGGGATCAATTTAGTTTTGTTATACAGATGTCAGTTATATACGAATGAACTCAAACTGCACAGAATCACTTGTTCGTCCAATATCCGTCAATATCTGTAAATCAATGCAAACAGCTAATTGTCATGTCTCAAGTTTTTAATAAACCAATAAACAATGATATACATTGTTGTTGTTTTTGTATATATTAGAATTTGATGATTATTTTTTTAATACCAAATAACGAAAAAAAGTATCCAATGCTACAGGCGACAGACTGTTACCATGGCAAATTATGTTCAGTATGATTCAAGAGGGATGGCTGAGAAAGGTGTGTGTGTGTGTGTGTGTGTGTGCGTGTGTGCGTCTTTCTGATGTTTAATGTCATACTCGGCAGTATTCAAGCTATATAATGGTGTCTGCAACTAATCGAGATGATATCTGTACATGAGCTGGCATGACGTTCTGTTTAGAGCACGTAAAATATCAAGCGTAGTTAAGCAATGTCGGTCGCAGAGAGTAGGTGGATGGGTGACTGTATTCGTGATCCCGAGTCCCGAGATGTTTTAGGACTTCGGTCTGCACCACACGTTACATGTGGTGTCTCCTCAGGCAAGTGACAGTTCCTCTGTTCTCCAAGCAGTGAATCGGTACACAGTAGGCTGAGATGGTCATGTGACTGTTAATCTTCTAGCACCTCACAGGCAGCTTGTGTTGTATACTCCCCAGGGAGCTGAGATCCATTGACGGGGTAATAATTTAGTGCTTTTAGCATACACGAGTATGGAGTTTTGTTACATAAGAAGCGTTATCATGTTTTTCATTATTATTATTATTATCCATTTATGTACCAAAGATTTGGCAACACTGTGTCCATCAGAAGCCCATAACATGGATGTACCTTGTATCTTTTGTGATGTCTGTCACAAAATGTCTTGTCTTCAAGCAAACACAGCAATGTGGACCTGTTGGCGAGCAAGCCCTCAACATGGATATTGACTTTTGATGTTATTTTGGGTGTCTGTAGTCACAGTGTCACTGTCGACACATGAGCACTGCAGAATACATCTGTAGGGGAGCAGGTATTCATCACAACCCCTAAACATGGATATTTACTTTTGATGTTATTTTGGGTGTCTGTAGTCACAGTGTCACTGTCAACACATCAGCACTGCAGAATACATCTGTAGGGAGAACCAGGTATCATCACCAGCCCTCAACATGGATATTTACTTTTGATGTTATTTTTGTTGTCTGTAGACACAGTGTCACTGTCGACACATCAGCACTGCAGTATACATCTGTAGGGAGAACCAGGTATCATCACCAGCCCTCAACATGGATATTTACTTTTGATGTTATTTTTGTTGTCTGTAGACACAGTGTCACTGTCGACACATCAGCACTGCGGTATACATCTGTAGGGAGAACCAGGTATCATCACAAGCCCTCAACATGGATACAACCAGTGATATATGCTATAAATGTCTGTAGTAAGGCAAGACCTTCTCCGCTCTTGGAACTGAAACAAGCATAAATAAACATGAAGGGAAAACCTGAAATACTGTAACTATCATGAAGCCTAGATGTGATGGGAACTATTGATCGATGTACACTGGAAACCTGCAAGAATTGCCAATTACCTGACGAGAAATGGCTGTGGGAAGCAGCAGTGACCGGTGCTGTTATTTCTGACCTCGAGGAAGGAGAGCAAGTTTGACACTAAAGTGTGGCGCCCAGCCTTGTCGATCTTTGTCATCACCACCTGGAATGTCACATCATCTAAGTCAGCCATGTCTGGTGATTTACAACAGTACAACATTTCTATTTATAAGAATAGTACAGTTATAGTACCTAGAGCCCCACACTACCCGTCATCTGATGTGACCCCACAGACACCCACCTGTCACCAGATGAGGCCACACCCACCTGTTATCAAATGGGCCCCCCCCCACCCGCATGTCATTAGATGTGATGCCACACCCACCTGTCATCAGATAAGGCCACACCCATCTGCCATCATATAAGGCCACACCCATCTGCCATCATATAAGGCCACACCCACCTGCCATCATATAAGGCCACACCCACCCATCATCAGATAAGGCCACACCCACCTGTCATCAGATAAGGCCACACCCACCCATCATCAGATAAGGCCACACCCACCTGTCATCAGATAAGACCACACCCACCTGTCATCAGATAAGACCACACCCACCTGTCATCAGATAAGACCACACCCACCTGTCATCAGATAAGGCCACACCACCACCTGTCATCAGATAAGGCAACACCCTCCTGTCATCAGATATGGCTCCAGCATATAGAACTCACCACATATGGAATCTTGAACTCCTCCATCATCTTCAGTCCAACTTCATCAGTTTTGGTCAAACCAACCTGACCGTCAATTAATATAAACGTTCGACACAATCTGAAAACATAAATATTTAACACACAAGTTAAATTTTCAAACTTCATACTTTTTCTCCAAATACTGTTTACCTTTCACAAGTTGACATGCCAACCCCCAGGTGTTAAACAGAGATGATAACTGAAGACTGATTGATTGTTTGGATGTTTTGTAGTTTAACGCCACACTCAGTAATATTGCAGCTATTAGACAGTAGTCTGTAAATAATCTCGTCTGGACCAGACAATCCAGTCTTTGACATCATGACATCAATCTACGCACTTGGGATACAATGACATGTATCAACCAAGTCAGTGAGTCTGACCACTTGATCCTGCTAGCCTCAGATAAGCTGCCTCTTCTGCGAACCGTGGATTGCTGAAGACATTCTAACCCAGATCTTCATAGGTTATTAACTGAAGAACAAGAGAGTGGGGGAGTGAAAATTATTGCACACTGCAGTCAGCAATGATCCACCTAAGTCACGGCATAAACAATCAAATTTGGACCAGGCAAACCAGTGACTGAAATCATGAGCAATGAACCACGCCGTTAGGTGCTGATGATACTTCATCAGCCAAGTCACAGCCACTGCCATCCAATCCCTATTGTAGTGGGATCATGAGATAGGTACAAAAGGTACTGGGGAGCTATTCTGACCCTGAAACCACACAGAGGAGTTGCAGAATAACAGCATATTGATGGCCCTACCTGCGTCGAGTCTGAAGATACTTCTCCACCGACTCCTGGAAGTGGTCAGGCATGTTGTAGCCATAACCAGGCATATCCACCAAGGAAAAGGATTTCCCGACTTGGAAGAAATTCAATGTCTTTGTGTGTCCCTGCAGGGAGTATACAAACAAGTGAATGTCAGCATGCATATAGGGCTAGTGTTGTCACAACACAGTTGTACTTTGTACACTTTGTATATTTCCGTAGATTGTTTTGTTTGATGTTTAAGGCTGCACTCAGCAATATTTCAGCTATATGACAGTGATCTGTAAATAATCGAGTCTGGACCAGGCAATCCTGTGACTATATCACGAGCATCGATCCACGCAATTGGGTTATGACATGTCATCAACCCAGTCACTGAGCCTGGCCACCCGATCTTACGACACGCATAGGTTGCTGGGGACTTCTACATGTAGCAAGGTCATGATAACATACATGATATGATACAGGAAAACCCAAAACATCAGTTAGAGATAGCCATCAAGCCATTTCAAAAGGCTGGAAGACCTAAAGTAACACATGACCTAAGTACATCACGGTGGAATCCCTTTCTGCACTCGTCATCTGTATAAGCTGTATAACATCTTGATAAAAGGAATCTTGCAAAAACAATTATTGAGTAAACATGGTATTGCCTAACCCAAATATCTGCCCGGTGGCTACCTTTAACATGTTTAAGTGTAAAGTAGCAATAACTAGCATAAGACCGTGTATACATGGTATACACATTCAAATTTTTTTATTTCACCCTTTATTTTAATACCAAGTTCCATGTCGCATGAATATTCATGAACCATTTTGCATTGATACCTGACTTCATGACAGATTGTGGCACCAAAAGCATCCGGTCCACCAACATAACCAAAGTGAAGGTGAATCACTTTAGGCCCAATCCCGGGGGCCCACTTGCACAAAGCGATCTTAGCGCTAAGATGATCGTAAATCCCATACTTTAACATAGGCTTACAATAGTTGTAGCGCTAAGATCGCTTTGTGCAATTTGGCCTTGGTCATGTTTGTTGGAACACACATCTTTAAACATGTTAAAGTCAAAGCTATAATGGTCACAGTGTGACGCTATTGTGGAATGTCTTTCAAATCAACAGGCAGACTCACCGGTTTCCGTGAGACCCTGACTTCAACATTCGGTACTTCTGAAAACATTGCTTGTATGAGAGAGCTCTTGCCGACGTTACTTCTTCCAAGAAATGCAACCTGTTCAAACATTATCAGCTTGTTAGTATCATCCATGACTAAGGAAGCAATCAAAATAACAATGAGTGTTGATTCCATGCAAAAGCTTAATTTTATTAAAAATATCATTTGAAAATTAAGTTAGTGTTACAAAGAGTTACCCCCTTTGAGTGATTCTTCATCACTCAAGTTATCTTTGTTCAGTGTTTCAGTTTGTTTATACTCTAACAGGTTATAGATAAACCTGATTCTCGCTATTTTGTACTTTCTGTCAGTGAAGTGCACTGTACAAAAATGGGCATTTCTTTACATTGAACGTTTTTACTAAACCTGATGCATATGTGTTGAAAAACTGCATGAGATTAAATATAGTCTAGTCCTGTTAATCCGACATGGTTGGTTGCATATGATTATGTCGAATAAAGCTGATCATGCTGATTGTCGGATTAACATGTGTCAGATTAACAAGACCTGATTGTACTGTTGTAGAATGAGATACCAGCACCCCATGCTTGTTAGAGGTGAGGTGAGGTGAAATTGGGTTTAACGTCGCGTCCAAGATTATTGCACTTATGTGCTTATATAGCGACATGCATGCGTGCATGCGTGTCTGCTTGTACTAGTCCGGACTGATGCCGATTTATAGTGCTAGCCCACTGAGATACCATGCCGCAGTTTAACATGAATACCCCACTCAGACACAGTATACTGACTCTGAGCCGACCAGTCCTTGTTTTAGCCCCTTAATGCCGAGCGCCAGACAGCCATGCTTGTTAGAAGAGCTGTCTAATGGGGATAAAGTGGAATCAATGTGTGACCTCACATCCTGTCTGATTGTGAGCTGATGCTGTCTGGGAAAGTTGCTCATTCATCTTTCCATCAACTTAATTTGCTGTGACCAGATTAAGTTACTTACAGACTGCTGAGAGACAGGTATACTAAAATATCTTACAGCAGCATATAACCATGTTCAGTCTTACACAGGGGAATCTTAAAGAAAATCTGGTGATTGAAACCATGAAACTAACAATTTCACACTATTTCACAGTAGAGAGCTTCATGAATGGCTGTCTTTTCACACTGTTGTTACACATGTCAAATACAAGTATCAGACCTAGCTACAGTAACTGTATCTCTGTGTTGCTCCATATAAATAATTTTTAATTTGACTTGTCATGCTTGTCGCTACACAGAGTTACGAAATGTTCCGTAATGTCCACAGCGTTTTCCTAAAAGATCCCTGATCCACATCTGCCTTGCACTTTTTATGCTTCAGTAAAGTGCAGCGTCGTGATCTAAAAACAAATGATCCGCTTCTCGATAAGTACATACAAAGTAGAATCATCGAAAAATATAAGTACAAATAGTTGAAGGCAAATGTTTTATGGAGTGAATTGCGATGCAGTTCTCATGGGATTATGATTCATATACATAATGGCAGGGTTGTTAGTATGAAATGTTCTGAATCGGAGATCTAACAGGAAGACACTATGGAACAGCCCCAAATCAAAATTGTTTATAGGGAGCAGCATACACACACAGTTACTGTAGCTAAAGTGGACAAAGCCGTAGTTCCGCACTGTGTCAGCCTCTCGTATGTCCATGTACGTTCACTCACAATAATAAATTAGTAACATAGTACAAGATAGTAAACATACCTCCGGCATCTGGAAATCCGCCAGTTTACTTGACCTCACTGCGGCAGTGTGAAACTTGATCTCATGTTTCTTCTGCAAGTCATTTCTAAACAAGCACCTGCCCTGCTCTATCTCTGTGTGTGGGGGGGCAAATACTTCATCTTTATCCGACAATATTGGTACTTGTAAATAAGGCTGCAGCCGTGATAAAGGATTCCTGAACATATCTTGTTTCTTAGCTCCTGGTTTGTCATGTTTTGTATCAGTCTGTAGGGGTCTTGAGGTGGAAGAGTTCAATGTCTGGTTCCTAATAGAGGTAATGTTTCCGGGCATTCGATTCCGGAGCTGGCGTAAATGGCAGAAACTCAATGGAGTCTTCATGTTGAATCTAACAAATGAAATAAATGTTAAGGACTTTTGTAAACCTTCTCAACATGAATAAATAGTGAGTATACAAGTAGAGAATACTAGTGTGTGGCTGAGTTAGTTTTACACAGCTTTTAGCAATATTCAAGCAATATCATCATGAAATTAGCGTCATACATTGTTTCCATGTGGGGAATCGCACCTGGATCTTTTGCAAACACTTTAACTTCTAGGCTACCCCACCACCCCAAATAAATACTATGAATACTAAATGAAGCCTTCAAACTCTTAAGAAACACAGATCTAACAATTGAGAGGTTAAGTGTATGTGTTTGTGGGTGTGCGCTCTTGTACTAGCTCAGACTGATGCTGGTTTTATAGTGCTAGCCCACTGAGCCGACCAGTCTTTGTTTTATTCTCGTAATGCTCTGTGTCAGGCAGAGTAACAATAGGTATACCATCTTTTATTATCTTTTGGTATGACAAGGCCAAGGATCAAATCCACTTTCTGCTCACCAGGCAGATGCTCCATCCAAAACACCATTGAAGCGGCCCTTACAATGGAGAAAACACATCTTTCTTCTTTGCACTGACAATATTCTCTATGAATTTGATGATGAGACATCCAACAAGCAATACAAATTCTGATCTACATTGACTTCATCAATTTTATCTGTCAATACTCATGATCATTCATCAACTATTCAGGGTTAGAAAGATCTACAAACTATAACAGCCATGTAACAAAAGAAAGAAAATACAATACAGATTTTACTGTTTCTCTGTCCTTCTGTACTCATGGTACTAACAGATTACTACATATTCAAAGTGTTCAAAAGTCTAAACAAATACTTCTTTATGCACTGAGTCGCAGTAAGTATATACAAAAAAACTGTGATGAATAGGCCTACCAGAGAAATAGTTTGGTATCTCAGTTTCAATAAATTGCTATTTATAAACAATGAGAAACATTAAGAGATGACGTACTTACAGTACTTGAATGTTGAAGCGTTGCTTATCACACTCGAAATGCTTCTCCAAGTCGTCCTCTATGTACACTAATTGTGATCTTGAAGTTGAACATTAAAAAAGTTGGATTTTATGACACCCTAAATCTTGGCATGTCATTTACGGTACATATAGTGAACTGTCAACTTTAGTGGATCCAAACTTTTGAGTATTTAATCATTTCACGTGGATTATATAAGCAGCTTTACCAAACAACGGCATGATCGTGACGTTGGTCAACATCGCATGGCAGAGCAACGAGTCTTATCTACTGAAAAACTGAGTGTCTCGCATGGTATTCAAAGGGAGATAACTCTAATCTGTTGACGTTAGGCATTTCTGTTTCATCGGTAGACAAGCTGAATGTGCTGTCCCAATATACTTTGGTATACTTCAACGACAATATTAGCACTGACAGACTAACGTCCATGGTTTTATGAAAACAAATTTAAAATTTACATAAATTTGGAGTATATTTTCAACAACAAAATTGTTCAATATAAAAACAAAATGTCATATTTTTGGCCAATATTTTGTCAATGGGGAAAAAAGCCACCCAAGTGTTTGATCCTTTTTTTGCTTTGTGAAAATAAAAACAAAAACATACATGTTAGCAAAGAAATGTTTTATTGAAATATTCTATATTTCATAAATACATAAACTTCTTAAGGGCATTAGATGCCGTATAAATGTGTAGAACGGTTGAAATACATTCAGCCTTTACACAGTGAGATTTATTTTTATGAATAAATAAACACAGATAAACTTCATAATCTCACAATCATGGTAATGAAAGTCTTGCACATTGGTGAATTATCCACAAAGGATATGCTGCTACTCTGCAATGAGTAATAAAAGTTTATTATTGCAATACTAAGAGACTTATACAATATATCTCAAATTAAACATATTTTGACACCATGGATCACAAACCATGTCAACCATCAAAGTCATTGTAGTGAAGGTTTAATCGAGGCATCTTCCCGAGGCATCTTCCCGAGGCAAGGGTGATAACTGACTATGAAAGTCCAGTTTCCAGTGGAAATAGGACTTTTACATTCAGTTAACTCCCTTGCCTGGGTAAGATGAACCGAGAGGAAAACACAGCTTACACATACATGTATGGAAAACAGATAATCAGCTTCTTCAGTCCTAACTGTTTGGCATTGTAGAGTAAGTAAATAAGAAAACATACAACTTCATGTATCCAGTTGTCTGTGAGCTACCGTATTCGACGTAATAAGCGCCCCGCTCTAATAAGCGCCCACGGCGATATTTGCTAATATATTGGCTAGTGAACAATCCCAATTGGCACCCCTTCCGATTGATCAATGTACACAAGACTTATTTTTTCGCGAATAATACGCACTCGTGTGTTATATGCACCCTTAATTATGGGCAATTAAATTCTGGAAAAATATATCTGTCGTACATAAACATTTCAGGCTGTCAGCATAAACCACGAAATTTATCTCTCAACTCTGTTTTTTTCCACCAAAATAATATTCTAATAAGAGACCCCTATTTCTAATTTTGAGAGCGCCCTGGGCGCTTATTACGTCGAATACGGTACTTGTTATCCATCACGTGTTGTCATCAATGTTAATCTGCTGCTTATCACAACATATCATCTATATATATATACCTCTCATCACTTGGTTGTAGTCACTCCACCTTGATAACGGTGTACGAATCCACATCAAAATGTCGCTTAATGCATAAACCAGAAGTGGTTATCCATAAAGTTGTTTGTTTACTTATTTCTTTTATCTTCTATGGCAAAAGTTTACAGCACATAGTTGTATCAACTTGAAACTGTTCTTTGTTCGTCAGTATTCTTTTGCTCAATAGGACTTTTTAAATTCTGTTCACCACTGTTGACGAGTATGGTGAGTGAGTGAGTGAGTATGGTTTTACACTGCTTTTGGCAATGTTCAAGCAATATCACGGCAGGGGACTCCTGAGATGGGCTTCACACATTGTACCCATGTCGGGAATCGAACCCGGGCCTTTGGCATGACGAGTGAATGCTTTCTTCACCAGGCTACCCCACCACCCCTCACAAGTATGGCATGAAGTTACTTTTTGTGAAGTCCTTTTTTTCCCCTTCCCATCATGCAATGCCGAGTCTGTTTTTAGTACATGTATGTAAAAATCAGACTAAACCAATATGACAAGGGAAGTAACCCTTCGACGAAAACCTTTTTCTGAATTTCATTATTTTATCATGTTTAATTCACCTGTACATCAACTCTTAGGTTTGAGAGGAAAATGTTTATAGTAACCAAGTAATAATGAGAAGAAGGTTCAAATAAATGTAAGTCATCATATATCAGGCAGAATGGTAATTTCCTCATAATGAACATTTCAAAAAGTGAACAACAAAATAAAACATATCTTTGGCACAATGTTATGGCAGATCAACAAACTAATATTTCAATACACAATTGTCAAGCCATTTAAGTCACAAGTGAACAAATCTGTCAACCTATTTCAAAATACATTTTGAGCACAACACAATCAGCAGATCATCAACATGACCAATGGTGACTAGAAATAATTTATCCAACAAATATACCACCATCCTGCATGAACATATCACTATGCACAGCCACCTACGTATACATGCTCATTTTTCATGAGGTAGGCCATAGATTTTCCTCCATGACTACTGAATACGATTTATCAAAATGTTTGTCCTCAAAAGCTTTTCTATTATTTTCATGTCCCTCCCCAAAAGCATAAATTGCAAAACAAAAATTGTAAATAACTTTAATATCAACATTTTTACATGAATTTTGAGACCCGTGAAGATCCGGGGGAGAATAGGTCTTCACCAACCCATGCTTGCAGTAAAAGGCAACTATGCTTGTCGTAATAGATCGGGATGGTCAGGCTCACTGACTTGGTTGATGCATGTCATTGATCCCAATTGGGTGGATCAATGTTCATGATGTCAAGCACTGGATTGTCTGGTCCAGACTCGATTATTTACAGACCGCTGTTATATAGCTGGAATATTGCTGAGTGCGGCGTTAATGAACAAATAAACCATAAACAAACATGAATTTTGAGTATACAAATATTAACACACACAATCAAAAGTATAACCCCATGCCCCATCACACCCAGAAAATGAATGCTTCATGACCCTCCCTAAATTATATTTTACAATGACCCTCTCTAAATTTTTATTTATTACCGGTAATGACCCTTTCTAAATTATTTTGTCCATGACCCCTCCTAAATTATTGTTTTACAATTGCCATCCCTAAATCATTGTCCAATGGCCCTCTCTAAATTGTTACTTATTTATGACCATCCTTGAATTGACATTAGATTTTCATGACCCTTGAAAATTGATTTGTCAATGATCTTCTCTAGTTTGTTATTCTTTCATTGACCCTCCAAAAATATTACTTTCACAATGATTGTTTCAATGATTAAACTACATTCCTACATGACCCTATCTCTTGCCAATGTCTTACATGTGTTATAATGAATGAATGTTTGATTTTGGCTCAATAAACATGTTAAAATGATTGGTGATCATGATACTAGTATTAAACACATCTCCTGGGCCCGCTTGCACAAAGCGATCTTAGTGCTAAGATTATCGTAAGCCTATGTCAAAGTATGGGAGTTACGATCATCTTAACGCTAAGATCGCTTTGTGCAAGTGGGCCCAGATGTACATAAATATGACACAAAACGATAACCAGCAAGAAAAACAATACTGCAGCTCTCATCATACTTGAAAGGCTTATTAATATTTTGGTTTAAAAATTCACCAAATTTTCACAAAGTTGGCCAGCCTTTAATAACAAACCTTTTCTTGACATTGCTTGACAAGGGTAATGGAGGTAACTCTTTTGACAAGTCCTTCAAAAGAGCAAAATTCTCAAACAGTTCATTTCATCTAATACTTTCCACCCAACACTTAAAAATCAAGCCCAAAATATATGTTTTTCATCAATCAGTATTTTTGCCTTGAGCTCAATTGAAAACATAATTGATAAACCAAGAAATACAAATGTCTAATGACAACATAGAAATACAACGTTCAAAACACAACAATCACTGTCACTACCGTTGAATCAACCAAACATGCAATATAGGGCAAACAGCTGTATAACTGTTTCAAGATCATCTACACAAATACATTTGTGTGAGTGAGAGAGTATAGTTTTACATCGCTTGTAGCAATATTCCAGCAATATCACAGCAGGAGACACCAGAAATGGGCTTCACACATTGTACCCATGTGTGGAATCAAACCCAGGGCTTTGGTGTGACGAGAAAACACATGAACCACTGGCCTGCCCAGTCTGAGATACATTTGAAACTACTGTAAGCACAGAGCCAAAAACAGGCTCTCAGCTGTAGCTTGTGCCAGTGAGAAAAGATACTTATCCTCCATACCAACATGGTAATCTGTGTGATAATTCTGAGACTAGAAACTACTGACATTTCCTTGTTGACTGCCACTTTGACTATTAGGTAGATCAACTCCTTTGCAGATCATTTTCACAGATTTCAGTAAAAAAAATTTTTTTTAAATTCCGAAAATGACTCACTAAACACTTGATAAACCCGATCTTTCCTGTTTTAAGGATCAAAGTACAGGAAAAAAGTACAGGATATAAAGTCTTCGACACAAGCAATCAATAATCACATTTCAATATATTTTGCCAATCCATGAACCATGAGGCCTACACAAGTGTTATACCGGTACGTTACACAGACTTAGTTAGAGATGCTAACGAGTGAACATGCAGACCCTCATGTAACACACCTATCACAGGACGTCATGGTAAATAATACACTGTACATCAACATCAAAGCTACCCACCTGCATATTTCTTTTCAAATTTCTTTACCTTGGAATCAGTTGTTTATGTTATCAAAACCATCTTAACAATAACTGGCTTTCCTTAATACTAGGAAATAAACAGACATTATTATACTCACATGTGTCATACTGATTTTATGAAATGAGTGTCAGAATTCTTGTATATACCGTGCAAGAGCCAGGGTGATACATGTACATGAATATACATTTCATAAAATCAGTGTGACACACATGTGAGTGTAATAATAGACCCATATATAATATTACCCATTATTTCTTAATCTTTTTGAGCTCCCCTTCAGAAAAAGTGCACTGATCCCAACCGCCGCCTTAGAAAACCACAATTGCCGAATCACATCAACAATATTCAGCTATGACTTCATTTCTAGTGTGACATCATTCCGGCCTTACATCACAATAATGAATGTCGTCAACAATGCCGTCTGGATGACATAAACAATACCAAGGCCGTAGGTAACTTTTGTTTGACAGGGGGGGCAAATAATATTATTAATTTCTTATTTAAGTTAACTTTCACAAGGAAAAATGTTTTCTATAAAAATTCCAGGGGGGTGGGGGGGGCAGTTGGCTACGGGACTGACTATACACTGGTGCACGTGAAGTGATATTTGCACTAGTGTATATACTGGTTTTATTAACTCGGTTATTTCTAACCCCATGGGTTGTATTATTCTCATCAGTTTGATCAACTGTTGATGGTAATTGATTGCATATATTTTGTATGATGATCTCAATAAATCAGTGTAAATGCTGAACAACATAGGTATTTCACACATTCAGTTTAACATTTTCAAAGTGGAGCTAAAAAACAAATAGTTTTGGTTCTCAGGCACCACCTGCATCATCATAAAGTCTGCCGCACGTTTTGTTTTCTTCTCCATTTAAAATTTTAAAAAAAATCCTGATACTTAAACACAATGCACAAAAGAAAATTGAAAATGGAATCAAAAATGAAACGTGCAATGATCTTTATGATGATGCGGGCAGTGCACTTGCACTATACATGTTTTACCGGGCACATGTTGGCCATATTTGTTTGATGCTTCTAATAAAGCACCATTTGACAGTATGGCTATATGAAAAATGGGGATAAAGCTAAAAATAATCAGATAACATACCCCGCTTGCAACTGTATATGTCAATACAAATTTCTGAAACATTTAAACAACTATTTAAAAGACAAATGATACATAAAGGAAAGGCAACTATGGTGACATAAAAATGCTGATGGAAAATAACTCTCTCCAGTGAGTGGGTTTGGTAAACACAACTTAAACATTATCATGATTATATCAGTTATATCAACTGTCACCATTGATTTAAACAATAGGAAAGGGGATGCATAAGTGCTTGTCAGATCTCGCTTGCGATGCATAGTCCATGCAAAATAATGATGAAGGGACATTGTGCCAGATCCAGCAACAGCAATTCATCACGATTCCACATTAAGAGCACATGGCTGCAAACTTGGGGAAAAATTGATTAATTTATTTAAAACTGAGATTTTATTATGGTTATTATTTTCCTAGTGAGTGAGTATGGTTTTACGCCGCTTTAGCAATATTCCAGCAATATCACGGCGGGGGACACCAGAAATGGGCTTCACACATTGTACCCATGTCGGGAATCGAACCCGGGTCTTCAGCGTGACGAACGAACGTTTTAACCACTAGGCTACCCGACCGCCCTATTATTTTCCTAAAGTCAGTACTTTAACATTGAATTAAATACAACAAAACTAGTCATTAAAGACTCTTCCTGTTCCACTTATCAGTGAAATATAAGTCACTTGTACAAAGCCTTTACAAGAGTTATCACCATAAAACTCATCTTAGGGTGCCATAAAATCATTATCTTACACAAGTGTTGCACTATGATCTCATAAGACGATATCATTATCAAAGAATTTCCTATTGTTGCTGTTGATAGTCTGTCATGAGGGTACTTAATCAGGTATACATGTTCTCTTATATCCCCCATTATTCACTGTTATATCTGTGGAAAATAACCTCATTAGTATCAAAATAATTATTTAAAATACTATAATTGAAAACTGCTGAAAATTTATCATAAAACTTCAAAACATGATGAATTATAACAAATTGCAAGAGGAAATAGAAAAATAGATATCTGAAATTGGAATTTTATATTTTTAATTTTTCAATCTACCAACCTAAATCCATAAACAAAAAAAAAGGTCTGGCCTAATACACAGGGTAATCGAGGTGGTTCACAAGATGATGATGATGATGATGATGATGATGAGGGTTGATGATCTTAAAAACTGATATTTCTACAACATATTGTGGTTAAACCATGCTGTAAATACATATATCTTTGATCTAGTGGATATATATAGTAAACTACCTGAATGAAATTCAACCTCAGCAAATATAAAACTACTGGTAGTGATGGATTGATGAGCAAGTGAATATGTTTTTCCTCAACAATTAGGAATGACCCATCAATATCACGCTTGGGAATTGAACCCGGGACTGTGGTGTGACCAGGGGATACTGTATCCATTAGCCTTCCCCCTCAGTCCCACTGACTAGAGGAACTCAGGACTTTCCAAGTCTATATTGCTTATGTTTGATTGCGGCTTCTTATTCTCTTTGGTTCCTTAATGGCAGTTAATGCTTACACATGAATATCAAGTTTGACAAAATCAAGTAACTTGATTATCTGGAATAAAATTATGGTTTATACAAGTTACATATTTGGCATCTAGGACAACATATAATAATATAAATATATATACAATTTACCTTCCTTAGAAGATAAGCCTATTTTAAATAATGCAAAAGGTAGAAAATGAAAAAAAATAGAAAAAGAGTGTTAAATAAATTGCTTATCTTAACATATTGTTTTCCATGTTTGCTTTACCTAATATCAGGACTTGTTTTAAGACATTAACCCTGAAAATCAACCATGAAAACATTTGTATATAAGTGAATTTAATCTGGTCTCAAAATTCATAAGTGAATTTAATCTGTGGTTACTTATCGATTGAGCATGTTGAGTGCCAGGATGTGAATAAGCTTCAAGTGTTTAGAGGAATACGATTTGGATCTAATACCAGTGATGCAGCAGACATGGCAACCTCTATTAGGCTATTCTGTTTTCATTCTATTATGATATATACCCGGACCCATTCACTGTCATTGCTTTGTCTTGAACCTGATTCCAATGACACAGCACTAAACAAATAGCCCTCCAGTCAACCCGTGTAGATCCGGGGTAGAATAGGTCTTCAGCAACCCATGCTTGTCTCTCCGTGAAGATCCGGGGTAGAATAGGTCTTCAGCAACCCATGCTTTTCTCTCCGTGAAAATCCAGGGTAGAATAGGTCTTCAGCCACCCATGCTTGCCTTATAAGGCGACTATGCTTGTCGTAAGAGGAGACTAACAGGATCGGGTTGTCAGGCTCGTTGACTTGGTTGATACATGTCATTGATCCAAATTGCATAGATCGATGCTCATGATATCAATCACTTGATTGTCTGGTCCAGACTCGATTATTTACAGACCGCCGTCATATAGCTGGAATATTGCTGAGTGCGACGTAAAACAACAAACCAACCTTCCAGTCCAAATATTAGAGAGCAATTCTATTTTTTTTCTTCTATTTTTTTCTATGCCAATGAAATTTCGTTTAATTGGAATGGAAATGGTGAAGTAACTTCCGAAACAAACCAATGGTGGTGAATAGGTTCAAGGTATTTATCATAATATCCAACTCAAAATAAGTTAAGGACAACCCGATTCTTTCATATTACTATAGTTAATCTGTCAAGGCACCAGATTCTTTATATTATGAAAGTTCATCTGTCATGGCATGACAGATTAACTATAGTAATATGAAAGCATTGAGCGGTCCTTAAGTTTTTTTAAGCAGAATAGAATGGAGATAATCAAGGATTTCAACATGGTAATCCAGCTTCATCCTCCCACACTAAAGCTGGGGTTTGAACATGAGGAAGCCCATGATTCTGTTGGGTAGAGGAAGAGCCTGTACATCCTCTGCCCTCAGGAGACTGTTGAGGATGACAATGCGACACTGACTCTGTAGGCTGATGATCCGTGGGAGCTGGTAGATCTGTACTGTCACACCGTGGTCCTCTGTGTTGGGCTTGTGGTCCAGGATCCGCATGTAACTGCCACACTTCGAGAAGACCGGCTCGTAATTCACACGACAAATGTTGAACAACCCAGGGAGAGAGGATGTGATGTATTTGAACAGACGCATGTGATCTGAATTGAAGATGTAGATGTCAGAATATGACGTCACACCAAATCGGTCCTCAGTGAGTTTTTGAAGAATGAGTAATGTGCCGTCTTTGCTGTAGAGCAGATTGTATCGACTGCTGCCAAACAGAGTCGGCAGGGAGAGTTTACTTCTTTGGAGAGTCTTACATTCATCTAAGGAAAATACTACAAGTTCATGGTTAATACCCTCTTTCTTACACTCATAATTAGCCACGGCAATACGCGACCAGCTGTATCTGGGGTCAAAGGCCACGTACGGCTGCACTTCATGGTTAAGGGTGACATATTTGAGAATTTCTGTCGTTTCATTTGAATATATGTATAGATCGTAACAGAATCTCATCTCTCCAGAACATGAATAAAACAAGATGGCAGACTGTTTCAGGTCTGGCGTGAAATCACAATGTATAATCGTCATGTTCTTGCGAGGGGCTGCAAGAATGCCTGTGACACTTCGGGTATGAAGATTGACCAGTGGGAATGCAGAATTGACGACGAGATCCTTGACATGATGCAGCACTAACAGCACCAAGTGGTCCTGATGTGCAGCAGCCACCTGGTTCAGTTCATGTCCCGCCGAGATCAGTCGCTGGAACTCAAAGCAGTCGTCTACAGGAATCTGTAGTCGAGGCTGCTTGAACCTGCAATGTCAACAGTAGGTTGTCATATATGGTATAGAAAATGTATGTAGGAGCACATTAAGTGTATTTGAGTGAGTGAGTGAGTGAGTATGGTGTTACCCCGCTTTTAGCGATATTCCCGCAAAATCACAGCGGGGACACCAGAAATGGGCTTCACACGTTGTACGTGACCGCTTGAACCACCAGATTACCCCATCGCCTGTTCTCACAAAGACACGCACATATACTTATCACATACATTAAACAAATTTGTAATTAGTTTTCCAATATGTGTGTGCATCTCTCTCTCTCTCTCTCTCTCTCTCTCTGTGTCTCTCTCTCTCTCTCCAACCATGTCGGATTAACGGCACTTGACTGTATATGTGGGTATGTTGTTCAAACGTTGTTTTATGGTATTCCAAAAATCTTGTAATTATTCAAAACACATTAATAAACACAGTACCTGAACAAACAATGTTGCTGAAGTGAGTGAGTGAGTGAGTGAGTGAGTGAGTGAGTGAGTGAGTGAGTGAGACAGCTAGAAGATAGCAAAGATAGAAAAATGGCTATGCTGACAAAGAAATAACCGAGGTCATGAGTTTCTGGCATGACCAACATGACAAAGGGATGCAATTCTGCTCAGTGAATTGCAGCCCCTTAAACAACCAGACCACACATTAATCAGGCCCCTCCCCGAAAGGACTGCAAAGAATTGTCATATCTGTCCACTACCTGAATTAAGTCAATCATTAAAATAACGTTTCACCAAATTTATGAGAGTGCCTAAAAACAAACCAGCAAACAACAACACCAAGACTGTAGACTAAGAATTCCATGACATCCCGGGGTGATAGCAGTTTGACTGAAATATATTGTCTGCTTTCTACACAAACTGAATTACTACCACTTGACCTGTGACCTCACTACCATGAAATCAATAGCAGGACATTCCAAATAAGGAATATTCAAGTATGACAGGTTAGGTCAACTGACGAAGATTGTAAAGGGTTCAATTGTTACACGAGTTAGCACAATCCTTTGAATGCAAAATAGAAGTGTTCTGTATTCACCATGTCAGTTGTAACAGGTCTTCAGCAACCCATGCTTAATGTAAAAGGCGACTATGCTTGTCGTAAGAGGCGACTAACGGGATCGGGTGGTCAGACTCGCTGACTTGGTTGATGCATGTCATCATATCCCAATTGCGTGGATCGATGCTCATGATGTCAATCACTGGATTGTCTGGTCCAGACTCGATTATTTACAGACCGCCATCATAGCTGGAATATTGCTGAGTGCGGCGTTAAACAACAAACCAGACCAACCAATCATCATCTTCCTGAAGCAAGAGAGTTAAAGGACTATAAAAGTCCAGTTTCAACCCTTGCCGAACTAGGATGGTATTATGGAATTACAGTTTGGCTGGACTAATGAGTCTATGCATAGTCCAATCAAAATCGCGCACCGAAATCGAAATCCGGTTCGTAAACTGTCGTGCAGATTTGGGTCGATTGCAGGATTTGCGAAGCATGTGCACCGCCAACTCGTTGTCAGCAGATATTTTCCAAATCTTTTCATGTTTTTAATCAAGGTGCTCACCTGATTTGATGCATTTCGCTATGTAAGACCCGTTTTATCACAATATAGATCTTGATTATCGATCAGATCGTCCTGACTCGGCATCACCATTTTGTGTGAAGCAAACACAAGTGATATGAGAGGTGGAATCTGATTGGTCCATAGGAGAGGCTTAGAAGGGACATAATTGGTAATAGCCACTGGTGGCGCTGCGATCGAGCCCAGTAATTCCATCCTAGTTCGGCAAGGGTGGAAACTGGACTTTTAAAGTCAGTTAACTCTCTTGCCTCGGGAAGATGCCAATCAGTTGTTACCATGTTAAGCGAACAGTCACTGCACTGGTATGATCACAGACAATAAGTTTATCACCTTTCAATATCCACAAATTTCTTGTTCTTGCTGAAGACAGCTCGAATATACTGGAGACAAACAGATTCCCTGTCACAGTCACTTTCACGACAGCCATAACCAAACTTGTCAAATCCATAGCGACCTAAAACATATAATCACACACAAATCAAATACCACTTATTATGTTCAGTCTGATTTCAAAATCACGCTTCACATGCCTTAAGACACATAAACATATGCTTCTGATCAACAGTATCGATTTCAGTAAGGAATATCAATTGTATTTTTAACTATTTACCATAGTTTTACAGTTTCAATAAAATACATGCAATGCTGTTCAAATTTGTTTTTCTTTTGATCATGAGTGGTAGTAATTTACACATGGCAATAGTGATTTCCAGACCAATAGTCACCCCTACAATTGTATATGTTACCATTTAAGCATGCTTCAGTGACTGTTGAATTAAGCTAAAAAACAGGTTTTGTAGTAGGAAATGAAAATCGATGTTTAAAGACGCCACCCCGACTGGTTACAATCTTTTTATCCTGGGTGCCATTGTACAAAGTGATCATGACTCCCATACCTTAACATGGACTTTCGACAGTCGTAGCGCTAAGCTGTTTCGTACAACGGCACCCTGGAACCCAGGAATTTGTATCTTTAGAAATTCCTGTGCCTGTGCCTGAACTCACCTGCGACTGGAGACCATAACTGAATATCTCCAGAATACACCAAATCCCAAGCTCGATTAAACTTGGGCAATGTGACACTGTAGCCCCCTGCTTTGTGGCTGCTCTTACGATTACCCATGATTATGCTGAGGGCTTACACAGCTGTATCATACTTTACAATTACAGCTGTACGAACTGAAACAAACAAAACAAACATGGGTGATCTCACTGAATCATCAAAGTGATCAATAAGAGAGAAATATTTATCTGAAATGAAAAATTGACTCTTGTTAGAAAATATTTAAAAAACTCACCATAAAAGCACCTTGCTCAAATAGAATTTTAGAAAAGACGAGCTGGTGTCACATGACTAATGCACACATAAATAAAACTTGACAATGCATATTTAGCTCTGTCTTTGTTTACTATCTGTATGTCATTTCTTCCCAAAACTATAATTCTAAGATCTAATTTAGCTAAATATAAAAAAATGCCTAACCTGAATATATCACATAGATAGAATATAATATAGATACATAATGTTATGGACAAGCATATGTAGATTGAATTTGGGAGATATTGGTTCACGTCAGTTGGTAGACGACAAATTGATAAAATCAATTCTTATTAATTTAAATAATAAAATAATTGAAAACGATACCTGAGATAATAGAAAATATAATTTGTATAACTGATTGGTGCATGCGATCACGTGCAGTTTAGACGATGGCTATAACTGTTACATGCAGTTAGCCCATGGGAAGTTCTATTTCTAGTGTTTTGATTCACTCACGTTGTGTTATATAGAGAATCTCACCCGAGTGTCTTTTGATATCAAATATATCCACATGGATTAAAAGTGGGAAAACTCCAAGGCTTGCCGAGGATTTTTTCCACTTTTATCAACGAGTGTTGATATATTTGATATCAAAAGACACGAGGGTGGGATTTTATTTATCATACAACATTATTCTCCCAACTTTTTCAGTTTGTAGACAGTAATAAGCCTTGTCTAAGTGTAAAAAGTACTGCTTACAGCTTCAGTAGCAGAAACATTAGTGATGTCATTTGATTGTGATGTCACGGTAACAATGACGTCACAATGGTCTGCAAAGCATTGTGATGCAATTTCATTGCAGCGATATCTACAGTGGGAGCCAGTTTGGGATGATAAAACAGTTATCTGCTCCAACTTCTAGTGTTCGGGCACAGGCACCTGAAGCAGGATTCCAGTGCTTAATCAAGATACTGTGTTATGGGACTGTGTGTTGGGGTAGTCTTCCCTAACCCGAAGTTGACCTAATCATGCTAACTAACCCTAACTTTGACGAGGCACGCGAGATCAGTGAAGCGAGAGTCACAGAGATATATCAGGGCCTATAGCTCCGATAATCTGCAGTCTTGTCGTCTCCGCCTATGAATCAATTGTCAGAGTTTGTCAGTCTGGCATAAGTATACACATGTTCACAATGCTTAATTAATGTTTGTTCAGTTGTAGAGATTCAGAAGTAAACCGTAACAAAGTTCATTATTTATCTCTAACACATTTTGTTCATGTGCATACTTTTATTTTATTTTAACTATAGAATGCATCAATTTCATACCCAATAAATCTGTTTAACCTGCAACCTTTCCAAACAAATTATACTTCTTGCCGTGCTTTTCGCTTTGACGTTTGAGCGGAAGTTTCTGAAGCAGCGCCCTCTGAGCCTTTACGGAAAATGAGAGTTATCTACCTTTATCATTGCCTTGAGCTCTATGGCAAAAGCTTTGAGTGAGCAGGGACCATCTAATAGATTATGAATGGTCTCTGGAGTGAGCAATTAAGTTAGGGTGTTTGGTTGAACGAAGCCTTGAACAGTAATTCAGCACCATCAGGGCGTGTCAGCTTGATGTGGGAGGAAAGCCCTGAGTGATGCAGGTCTTAGACCGTTACTAAACTCACGAGCACCGGTATTAAAAAGCTTTGGTTTGGTCTGTAAATAATCGAGTCTGGACCAGAGAATCAAGTGATTGATATCACGAACATCGATCTACGCATTTGGGATCGATGACAAACATCAACCAAGTCAGCGAGCCAGACCACCCGATCCCGTTAGTCGCCTCTTACGACAAGCATAGTCGCGTTTTATGGCATCAAAAGCTTTGAGCAGCTCTACATTTAGATTTCTTAAATCGAATCAAATCAAGGATGATATATCAGGGACTCTTTATAATAGATTCCCCTCTTAAAAAGACCGTCGGGTCAAAAGGGTAAACCCAATTTACTCATTATTTGTGTGTGTGTGTGTGTGTGTGTGTGTGTGTGTGTGTGTGTGTGTGCGCGCGTATGAGTGCGTGTGCGCGCGCGCGCGTCTGTGTGCGTACTAGTTCGGATTAAGGCCAGTTTCATAGAGCCCATGCCCCAGTTTAACATGGATACCCCACACAGACGCAGTATATTGACCCCGAGTGCATGTTTATCCCTTCAGTGCGTCAGGCAGGGTAAAAAGTTCCATGTTTTAGCGTATTGACTTGACCATGGTATTACGTCGCCGGGGATCGAGCCACCGACCTGTCGGTCTCCGCCGCAGACGCTCTACCCACGAGACCACGGAGGCGGTCCACGTGATATGGAGAACAAGTAGAAAGCAGATAATGTAATAGGCTGTTTGGAAGTCTTTTTTTCTATCTGTCACAACCCGGAACCTGTGACGTAAACATCATGAGGTATTCATGTGTCAGAGCACTATATGTACATGCTTTGTTTGTTTGTTGTTTAGCGCCGCACTCAGCATTATTCCAGCTATATGACGGCGGTATATAAATAATCGAGTCTGGACCAGATAATACAGTGATTTATATCCTAACGTCGGCCCCGTTGACCAACCGATCCCGTTTGTCGCCTCTTACGACAAGCGTGGGTTGCTTAGGACCTACTCTAACCTATAAATAATTACAGCTAGACTTCAACGATGACAGTGAGGAGAAGTGCAGCCCTTCCCTATCCATAAACCCGGATGTCTTAACAGGCCGCATGTAGATTCCCTTATAAAAAACCAAATAAGTGTGATTTGTCACCAGACATAAACTGTCGCCTTTTACGGCAAGCATGGGTTGCTGAAGACCTATTCTACCCCGGATCTTCACAGATGTTAATATTAGTAGACCAAGTATTAACTAAAACCTGTAACTACCGATCTAGGTCATTTTCTGTATACTGTCAGAAGTAATTATGTCAGCTGATTATAAATTCCTTGTTATATGACTCCGGTGTGCTTGAATGCTTCACTTGATAAAAAAAAGACATGAATTGCAATATCCGTACTTCAGGCCTACTAATAAATAAAAATAAGATGGAATCGTGTATGTTACTTGTCGAATTTGCAGACCAAGAGGCCAATCTAAATATCTGTGATAAACGTTGTCACACAAAAAACTGGCGGGTCGGTTATAAGGCCACTGAGAAACAACGACAACACACCCGGCAAATGTCGATGAAATGGGTGTCGTTGTTTTCGGACACATCCTTTTTCATTGGTAGGCCTGTAGGTTGTTAAAAGTGTGTGTGTGTGTATGTGTAGGGGGGGGGGGGGGGGGGGGGGGGGGGTGTTGTCACCAGCCCACAACAGGGTCTTGTAACGCAAAAAGGAAATCGTTCCATATAGTATACTGACACTGGGTGTGACCATATATCTTGTAGCTGCTATTTTTTGCTTTACAAGCCCCTGTGACTAAGTCAACATGATCAAGCCTAGCGATTTACACATGTGGTCTACCTGTTTCGATCACTATTTAAACTGACGGTTAAAAAGAGTATATACCCATGATTGATGGCAGCTAAATATGAAACTAACATGAAATGGTCTATCGATGGCGATGTATATGATACCGGTACCATAGCTGTGATTTGGACCTACGTTTGCAGTGTTTCGGCGACTGATTTCACGTTTTCAAAACGTATATATTTTTTGGGTCAAATCCTTATTTTCAAGCGTGTATTTTCTTGTGCCCGGTAGTTCATGCCGGAAAAAATTGGTCTCATTTCTTAGAATAGTCATGAGTAGAAGTCAACCTCAAGAAGCTCTACGTTTTATAAATGTGGATCCTCCAGTTGCGGGGGGCACGGGTGGCCCAGTCGTCTAAGGCGCCGCGATTCGCTGTGCAGAGTTGCGTCCCTTAGGCACGCCAGAAACCTATGATTGTGGGTTCGAATCCCGGTTCGCCCCGATTATGTTTCTAGGTTTGTCAGCACCATACCCGTGCTCGTGGGTTTCATCTAAGTGGTAAACGTCTGAGACCTGCATCACTTCGGGCTTTCCTCCCACATTAAGCTGACACGCCGTGATATAACTGGAATACTGTTAAAAGCGGCGTTAAACCCAACTCACTCACTCACTCACTCCTCCAGTTGCGATGACTATGAGGGGAAAAAGTCGGGGACCAACATGTAGAGATTAATCGTCACCACTAATGTAGCTTGACGATATACACATGCGGGCCGACTTGTTTCGACCACCCAAAAAATCTATGCTCATAGTTATCGTCACACCAATACTATGACGCAGATTATATCTAGAGGCTGACAATAATTATTATAATTAAAGTGGGCCACAATTTAGAAAATTATTATCAACAGTAAACCAACCACTGAGGATGTGCATATCATAGTATCACACTCAACATGCCATAACTACTAACATTCTAAAATGTGGCAGCCAACTCTATTCAGAAAACTAACGTGGGCCCACAGGTGTTAATAGGGGTTAATATAAGACTGGATGATTTATCAGGGACTCTCTATAATAGATTCCCCTCTTAAAAAGACCGTCGGGTCAAAAGGTTAAACCCAATTTACTCACTATTTGTTTGTGTGTGTGTGTGTGTGTGTGTGTGTGTGTGTGTGTGTGTGTGTGTGTGTGTGTGTGTGTGTTCGCGTTTATTCTCGAATTCTTAATCAAAGTGTTTGGTTTTTTTGCTGCAAGTTACGGATAGGAAGATGAAAATAAAATATATTCAAGTATTGTATTAAAAAACGGTTGACCTCCGTGATTAGATGGAAATTGATAAATAATAAATAAATACAACGTGACTAACGCCATTTTTTATCAAATACGAAATCAACGGAGAAACAGCGGATACAAACATGGTTGCCGACAAGCGCGAAATTCAAGATAAGATTGAATGATAAATATACTCTTTCTTACACCAATATATGGTTTGGACCTTGTTCAAGCGTTGGAATTGTTCCGTAGAGATTCCTAATGTATTCGAAAACATTAGGAGAATGACAGTCAAAATGAGAGCCAATCAGGATAGCCCAATACGTATATGTCCTCTGTTCTCATTGTTTAGTATGTGTAACCTTCCATCATGGGTCACGTGCATATGTAGTAAGATGAATAATACTGTGTGCATCGATTATAATTATCGCCCATATATGTCTTTGGTTTTCAATGGGAAAAATCAGAGGTCGCTTATTCAATATGTGAATGGCAAAGTGGTTCATGCTGTCGGAATCTGACAAGTGCACCCTTCATGAAGGCTCAGTTATTATTAGTCTCTTCCTCTCTCCAACGTTTTTTATATTTATTTTAAACTGCCAAACTATCCTAATCAAAAGAAATAAACACCTTTTATGAGTATGCCTTACTACAAAAGAGAAATAAACACATTTCATGAGGAGGCCTAACTAACAAAAATGAAATAAATACCTTTCATGAGTTGGTCTAACTACCAAACAGAAATAAACACCTTTCTTGACGTAGATCTATCTAACATATAGTAACAAACAGAATTAAACATCTTTCATGAATAGGTCTAACAACCAAAAAGAAATTAAGATCTTTCAGGAGTTGGCCTAACTACCTAAAAGAAGTAAACACCTTTCTTGACGTTACTAGGTGTGGTAATGTCGTTTGAAATGCACGTTTTTGCTAATGTTTGTTATAATAACATGATTCTCAGGCTATTTCTTTTCTTGCAGGGACGGGGCGGTCGGAACGCCTACTGGTTAAAGCGTTCGCTCGTCACGCCGAAGTCCCGGGTTCGAATCCCGACATGGGTACAATGTGTGTAGCCCATTTCTGGTGTCCCCCACCGTGATATTGCTGGAATATTGCTTAAAGCGGTATGAAACCATACTCACTCACTCTTGCAGGAACTGATTTCTGTGCCCACTCTCGTTTTGAATCAAGCAAAGTTCAATGCAACGTCCGGCCTCAGTATGGCGGTAATTAACACAGGCATGACGCCTATAAAATGTCCGTGTTGATCCCAACCCGTTAAAACATCACCTATATCTCAGCATTTCGTTTGATATATAACGGGTGCGGGATCGTTTTTTGTTTACCGATATACCGATTCGCGTCAAGGGCTTATGTCTATTCACATTTGTCTCACTCAAGTGTATCGTCTATTCTGTCTCGTATATTATCTCGGCAGTCAAAGTGAGAGTCATATTTTCAAACGCAGAACCAATCTTGAAATTAGTAACCAAGCCCTGAAACGTCCAACTATTACATTATATATATCTGAACACCACTAATATCATAAATATATCAACACCAGAGCTTTGTGTCCCGTTTAAGTAGGGTTGTTATCTCCCCCGTACGTACCCCTGTACAATTTACAATTTAGTTACCTGAATACTGTTTTTCTCCCAGGGCACCAACGGGGTGGACTTATTTACTTTCACACAAAACACAAATCTTATCAGCCT